GCAATCTTGCATGTTCTTCACATGTACCCCAAAACCTAAAATGCAATAAAATAAATAAATGGGAAAAAAAATTTAGGCTTTGTTTTTTATTTTTTTTGTAGAATGGTATTTTTTATTTTAATAGCTTCAGGGATACAAGTGGTTTTTGGTTACATGGATGAATTATTCAGTGATGAAGTCTGGGCTTTTAGTGTATCTGTTACCTGAATAGTATACATTGTACCCAACAGGCAGTTATTCATCCTTCACTGCCCTGCCCCTTTCCACTCCAAATCCCCACCCTCTAGCAGCCTTTTTGTATCCAGTTTAGCTCCCATTTATAAGTGAGAATATGCAGTATTTGGTTTTTTGTTCCTGAGTTACTTCACTTAGGATATTGGCCTCTAGTTTCATCCAAGTTGCTGTAAAATACATTATTTTTGTTCTTTTTTAATGGATGAGTAGTATTCCATAGTATATATTTCACATTTTCTTTAACCTCTCATCGGTTGATGGGAACTCAGGTTCCATACCTTTGCTATTGTGAATTGTGCTGAGATAAACATATGTGTGTAAGTGTTTTTTTGATGCAATGACTTTTTTTTCCCTTTGGGTAGATACCCAGTAGTGGGATGGCTGAATTAAATGATAGATGTACCTTTATTTCTTTGAGAAATCTCCATACTGCTTTCTGTAGAAGTTATACTAATTTACACTCCCACTAGCAGCTTATAAGTTTTCCCTTTTCATCCAGTCTGCACCAACATCTGTTGTTTTTTGACTTTTTAATAATGGCTATTCTGGCTAGGGTAAGGTGATATCTCATTGTGGTTTTAATTTGTATTCCCCTGGTGATGGGTGATGTTGAACATTTTTTTCATATATTTATTGGCCATTTGTATATCTTCTTTTGAGAAATATATGTTCATGTTATTTTTCCACTTTTTAATGGGAGTACTTGTTTTTTCTCTGCTGGTTTGTTTGAATTCCTTGTAAATTCTGGATATTAGTCCTTTGTTGGATGTATAGTTTACAAATATTTTCTCCCATTCTCTTGGTTGTCTGTTTACTGTGTTGATTATTACTTTTGCTGTGCAAGAGCTTCTTAATTTAATTAGGTCTCATTGATTTATTTTTGTTTTTGTTGCGTTTGCTTTTGGGGTTATAGTCATAAATTCTTTGCCTAAGCCAGTATCCAGAAGAGTTTTTCCTAGGTAGCCTTCTAGAATTTTTATGGTTTCAGGTCTTAGATATGTAGACTTTATTTTTTTTTAAGAGCAGTTTTTAGGTTCAGAAAAAAATGAGCAGAAAGTACAGAGAGTTACTGTATACCTACTACCCCTATACATGCACAGCTTACCCTACTATCAACATCCTGTAGCACAGTGGTACAATTGTTGTAACTGATGCATCAACACTGGGACATCATTATCACTCAAAGTCCATAGTTTACGTCATTAGAATTCACTTTTGTTGTTGTACATTCTATGAGTTTGAACAAAAGTATTATGACATATAGTCAACGTTATAGTATCATGTAGAATAATCACATTGCCCTAAAATCCTCTGTGCCCTAGCTATTTACCTCTTCTTCCCCCATCCCCTGGAAAACACTGATTTTTTTTACTGTCTCCATAGTTTTGCCTTTCCCAGAATGTCTATAGTTGGAATTATACAATATGGAACCATTCAGGTCAGGCTTTTTCACTTAATGTGCATTTAAAGTTTCTGTATGTCTTTTTAAGGCTTGATAGCTCACTCTTCTTTAGCGCTAAATAATATCCCATCCTCTACATTTAACATAGTTTATTTATTCATTACTGAAGGACATCTTTATTGCTTTCAAGTTTTGGCAATTATGAGCACAACTGCTATAAACATCCAATTGTAGGGTTTTGTGTGGAAATAAAGTTTCAACTTCTTTGCGAAAATACCAATAAATGCAATTGTTTCATTGTATGGTAAGAGTATGTTTTGTTTAGTTTTGTAAGAAACTGCCAAACTGCCTTCTGAAGTGGTTGTACAATTTTGCATTCCCATCAGCAATGATGAGAGTTCTTGCTTCACATCCTTGTCAGCATTTGTTATTGTCAGTGTTTTGGGTGATTGCCATTCTTTTTTCTTAATTGAGTTTTTTCTTATTATTTTAAATTGACAAATAATAATTGCAGATATTTATGGGGTATATTGTGGTATTTTGATCTATGTATACATTATAGAAATATCTAATCAAGCTATTAACATATCCATTACTTTATAAACTTGTTTTTTGTGGTAAGAACATAAAAATATTTTAGTGATTTTGAAGTATATGATACATTATTTATTAACCATGTTCACCATACAATGCTAAAACTTGTTTCTCCAGTCTAACTGAAACTGTACCCTTTGATCAGTGTCTTCCCTTTCCCTATCCCTTTTCCTCCCCCAAACTTATCTACCTCCAACCTCTTTCTACTCTCTGTTTCTATGAGAACAACTTCCTTAGATTTCACATGAAAGTGAGAACACTAAATCATATAGTGTTTGTCTTTCTGTGCCTGTATTATTTCACTTAGCATAATGTTTTGCAGTTCTATCCATGTTATGGTAAATGACAGAGTTTCCTTCTTTTTAAAGGCTATATAGTATTCATTTTTATATATTCACTACATTTTCTTTATGTGTTAATCTGTTGATGGACACTTAGGTTACTTTTATATCTTGGCTGTTGTGAATAATGCTGAAACAAATATGGGAGTGCAGATATCTCTTCAACATACTAATTTCAGTTCCTTTGGATTTATACCCAGAAGTGGGATTGCTGGATCATATGGTAGTTCTGTTTTCAGTTTTTGAGGAACCTCCATGGTGTTTTCTAGGATGGCTGTACTAACATTCATACCAACAATGTGCAGATGTTTCCTTTTCTCCACATCCTTGCCAACATTTGTTATCCCTTGTCTTGTAGATAATAGCTATTCTAGGAGGTGTGAGATAATATCTCATTGTGGTTTTATTTTACGTTACCCTAACAATTAGTGATACTGAACATTTTTCACAAACCTGTAAGCTGTTTGTGTGTCTTCTTTTGAGAATGTCTGTTCAGATCCTTCACCCATTTTTGAATTGGGTAGTTAGTTTTCTTGCTTGAGTTGAGTTCTTTATATAATTTGGGTATACATCTCCTAATCCCTTAACAGATGTATGATTTACAAATATTTTCTCTCCTTCTGTGGGTTATTTCTTCCTTGTCGATTGTATCCCTTGCTGTATAGAAGCTTTTTAGTTTCATATAATCCCATTTTTCATTTTTGCTTTTATTGCCTGTGCTTATAGAATCCTATTCAAGAAATAATTCCCTAGATCAGTATGGTAGAGCTTTTTCCCTATCTTCTTGTACCTTTACAGTTTTACGTCTTGCGTTGAAATCTTTAATGCATTTCAAATTGATTTTTATATTTGGTGTGATATAATTGCCCAATTTCATTTTTCTGCAGGAGGATATCCAGTTTTCCCAATGCCATTTATTGAAGAGACTGTTCTTTCCCCATCATGTGTACTTAGCCCTTTGTTGAAAATCAGATTATTGTAAATATTTGGATAATTTCTAAGCTTTCTATCTTATCCTATTAGTTGGTGTATCTGTTTTTATGCCAGTACCATTCTGTTTTGATTACAGTTGCTTTATAATTGAAATTATAGAAATTAGGAAGAATAAAAATTTTGAAATTAGGAAGTATGATGCCACCAACTTTGTTCTTTTTGCCTACATTTGCTTTGGTTATATAGGGTGTTTTCTGGTTCTATATAAATTTTAGGATTTTTTGATTTCTGTGAAAAATGACATTGGAATTTTGAGAGGAATTGCATAGAATCTGTAGATAGCATTGGATAGTAAGACATTTAAACATATGAATTTTTTGAATCCATGAACATGGGCTATCTTTTCATTTATGTTTTCTTTAGTTTCTTTTTTCCAGTTTTTTTTTTTAAGCAAAGTTTTATAGTTTTTTGTTAAACTTTCACCAATCTAACAGGTATGTAATGGTATTTCCTTTTAATTCACAGTTCCCTAATCACATTATAATGTTGAGCCTCTGTTCATATTCTTACCTACCACACTTCTGTACATCTTCTTTGGTGAAGTGTCTGTTCAAGTCTTTAGTTCATTTTAAAGTTGAGTTCCTTTTTATTATGTTTTAAGAGTTCTTTGTATATTTTGGGTACCAATTCTTTATCATATATGTCTTTTGAAAACATTCTTTCCCAGTCTATGACTTGTCCTTTTGTTGATATGGTGTCTTTCACAGAGCAGAAGCTTTTAATTTAAATGAAGTCTAGCTTATCAATCATTTCTTTCATGGATCATGGCTTTGGTTTATATCTAAAATTTAGTTAATTTTTTATAATAAAAAAATTACTTTGCAAAGAGTATGATAAATTTTGTACCTCGATGCCTTAAGAGCTAGATACAGGCCGGGAGAGGTAGCTCATGCCTATTATCCTAGCACTTTGAGAGGCTGAGGTGGGAGGATTGCTTGAGCTCGGAAGTTTGAGACCAGCCTGGGCAATGTAGCGAGACCTCATGTCTACAAATAATAAAAAATTAGCCAGGCATGATGGTGCATGCATGTGGTCTCAGCTTCTCAGGAGGCTGAGGTGGGAGAATTGCTTGAGCCTGGGAGGCCAAGGCTGCAGTGAGTCATGACTGCACCATTGCACTCCACCATAGGCAACAAAAAGAGACCTTGTCTCAAAAAAAGAAAAAGTGCTAGATTAAATAACCATTATATTTATTTATAAATGATGTTCATTTTATAGCTATATAATGCACTAAGGAAAATTGGAGTTATTTACAGTATGTACTGAATCTGGAAAAATAATACACTAGTGAGTAAAACCTTTTTCAACAAAATTCTCTTTGGTAGCACTATTTGAGAAAGAATATCAATCTAAAATGAACGATTTGACCCAGAATGTCATATTTAATATGTTTGTGCAAAAAGAACATGCTTGATTGTGGCTCTTATATTCCCTAGGCAGAGGAAGATATTGACTTATTAGATGATGCCTGTAATTCTTTTGCAACTGACTTGCCATCAGGAACTATTGACCACAAGAAATACATCAGGTTTTCTAAAACAATAGAGAAGAAAATTTCACCAGAAATTAGGAGTTTGAGCCCAGAATATAAAAAAATGTAAGTTAAAAACTCTGAATTTACTTTATTGGTTTATACATTTGCAAGTTAAGAGTGTCAAAATGTAGCTTATGTGTTCTCATAATGTACTGTACCATGTGTATAGGATCATTCTTTCAGTAGCATGATTTAAACTCCTAAATAGCTGTTCTTACATTTTTTCTGACTTCTCTCATAGCCATGTGGAAGCCTATAGGCTTCCATGTTGTGTTAGTCAGTTCTTACACTGTTATAAGAACTGCTTGAGACTAGGTAATTTATAAAGAAAAGAGGTTTAATTGCTCATGGTTCTGCAGGCTTTATAGGAAGCAAGGCTGGGGAAGCCTCAGGAGACTTAGAATGGTGGTGAAAGGTAAAGGGGAAGCAAGCATATCTTCACAAGGCTAGCAGGAGAGAGAGTGAAGGGGGAAGTGCCGCATGCTTTTAACCAAACACATCTTGTGAGAACTCAGTATCATGAGAATAGCAAGGGGGAAATCTGTCCCTATGATCCAATCACCTCCTACCAGATCCCTACCCCAACATTGGGGATTATAATTCAACATGAGATATGGGTAGGGACACAGAATCCAACCATATCACATGTGAAAGCCTATAAGGAAGCTGTAAGCTAACTGGAATCATAGAATTCCAGTTAGAGGAGAACAATTATCCATATGTCTGTTAAGTTTTTCTTAAAGAGAGTAGGCTTGGCTTTGTGCTTTCCATGAAGTTAAACTATTTGAATCTTTTGGCAGTTCTTTCTTGTATGCTGCATTGACTGGTTGCCTTTTGTTAGTTATAGAAGTGCTAGCATTTTATATGCACGTAGGAGAAATACTCAATCTGTATTTATTATTTATAAAATGACTGAAAAAATAAAAAAAATTATCCAAAGCCTTTGAGAAAACATTCAGAACTTATGTCACTTTATGTTTCTCTAACTAAATGCTGCTCTTACCTGTTGGTGAAAACTGGAAATTACCTACACATTGTGATTGGAGAGGCACTTAAATAAAAACCTCCTCTACCTTCCAGAAGTCTGTATTTTCCTTTTATTTAATCTAACATTTTTACCACTACTCCTGTTTGTTAGATGGCAAAAGATCAAGCAATTATTTCTAGAAGACTGCAATAAAACTTGTTATTTAGGAAGAAAAGGAAGGTCATGGGAGCATCCATTAGAATTGTTCAAGATAGGTTAGCACTGTGAGAAGCACATGCCTCAAAAGAATGAGGTACAGTGCATGTTTTCACTTGTAAAAGGGAGCTAAACAATGGGTACGCATAGACATGTAGAGTAGAATAATAGACATTGGGACTACAGAAAGTAGGAGGAGGGGTGAGGGTTGAATTTGGTGATGGGTACGCTGAAAGCCTAAACCCACCACAATGCCATATATGCATGTAAGAAATCTGCACTTGTACCCTCTAAATATATAAAAATAAAATTTGTTTTAAAATGGGGTACAGGGCAAATGTTTTTACTTATTCATTATTTATACCCAATTATCCTTATTACATGAAATGTGTGAAGCAGCTCATAATTAAAAAGTACACTTATACTTTTGTTTACCTAAATAAGGAAACGGAGGCAAAATTAATATAAGTAGAGAGTTTATTTGGGCCCAGTTTGAGGATTCTGGGAGGCACGCTGGAGAACAAAGGAGAGGCTCAAGGTTTTAAAGAAAAAAGGTACCAGTCAGGAGGGGTTGATTACAAAAGTTGTTTTTCAGGAATTCTCACTGGTTTACAGAAATAACATTGATTAGCAATTGGCTATACATTGCTGAATTGTAGGGTATGAGTTATGGTATCCCGTGTATGGCATTGTGAGGCTAATTTGTGGCTGCTTGGTGACAAAGTCTACAGTCCATATAGCAGGCCACTTTGAAATAATTACTTGGCTCAAGGGGATGTGAGATAGTGACTCCTATCTACTTTTAATGCCTCTTTGGGCCTGATAATTTAAAGAGGCCTTGCACTCTAAGATTAAACATTTATTTTCTTTCTCACTTTTTGAAAAAAGGTGAAAGATCAAAAGTCATGTAGTGGAGTGGAAGTCATGATTATACTAGAAATAAGAAGGCTCAACTTCAATAATGATATGTGGGGGATATAAAGCACTAGTAAACTATAGGTTATGACTCATTAATGGGTCGTGAAATCAGTTTAGGAGGTCACTACTAGTTTTTATTTTTTTCTTCTTGTTTTTTGAGGCAGGAATATACTCTGTCATCCTGGCTGGAGTGCAGTGGCATGATCATAGCTCATTGCAGCCTGGAACTCCTGGGCTTGAGGGATTCTCCTGCCTCAGACTCCTGAGTAACTAGGCTTACAGGCGTGCACCACCATGCCTGGCTAATTTTTAAATTTTTTGGAGAGATGGAGTCTCACTATATTGCCCAGGCTGGTCTTGAACTCCTGGCCTGAAGCAGGCCTCCCACCTTGGCCTCCCAAAGTGCTGGGACTGCAGGTGAGAGCCACTGCAGCTGGTTTACTTCTAGTTTTTGTTTTAAATAAATACATTAGAATTGAAAACATTAGAGTGCTTTTTCTTCCTTCTCTCCCCCCTCGCTTTCTATTGCACTCCTTCTCTCTGTATATGTATTTTGCACCTCATTAGAGAATATACTTTTGACTGTGGGTCATAGGCAAAATAGTTTAACTTGCTTTTGAGACTAGGGGACTGCAGAGGGATATAATCATATGGCAGCTTCAGGGAAGTGAAGAGCAAAGTATGGATGTTCACAGGGTGTGAATTTGGGAGATTTAGATTTATAGCGATAGTGTGTCAAAAAAGCAAGGTACTTTTTCTTGGAGAAATAAGTCAGAAAAAAAAAGAGCAGGGTACACCATAAATACATACAATTTTATTTGTCAATTAAAAAATAAATTTATTTTATCTGTCAATTTAAAATAAAATAAAATTGAAAAAAAAGGCCAAGGTACTTGCTAAAGAAGGGGAATGGCATGAATGATAATTTTTTTTTTTTTTTTAATGCCACAGTTTTGCTTAGGGCCGAGTTTACCTGAAGCTGTAGTAGATAGTATAGTTAGTCACTGCCCTGTTAGAGTTCTTGAAATTTAGGTTTACCCTGGATTACTTGAAGCATTTAAGAGTATGTATCTTCTCTTTTAAAATTTAATTCAAATATAATTCATAATTATATTTTTATCTCATTGTTGTATAGTTTATGGTAGTAGTCTCCCACCTTCTTGGCACTAGGGACTGGTTTCATGGAAGATAATTTTTCCAAGGACAAGAGGATGGGGAGGAGGCGGGAGTGGTTTCTGGATGAAACTGTTCCACCTCAGAAGATCATCAGGCATTAGTTTCTAATAAGGAGGCGCAACCTAGATCCCTTGCATGCACAGTTCGCAATAGGGAGAATCTAATGCTGCTGCTGATGTGATAGGAGGTGGAGATCAGATGGTAATGCCTACTCTCCAGCCACTAATCTACTGTGCAGACCGGTTTTGGTCTGTGGCCCAGAGGTTGGGGACCTCTGGTTTATGGAATGTTTGTGTTATGAAAGGTCTTGAAATCGCACCACTGTGCTTTCACCTGGGCAGCAGAGTGACAACCTGTCTCAAAAAAAAAAAAAAAAAAAAAAAAAAGAAAGGAAAAGAAAAAAGAAAGATCTTAGACAGTCTAATAAGAAGAGGAAAAAGGAGAAAGAAGAGAAAACCAAACAATAAGCAAGAAGAATGAAGTTCAGCTTCTAGTGCCCAAACTTTAGTCTTGAAATACCATTTCTTATTAGAAGGCTCTTTAGAGAAATACCGATTGCATGTCTGTGAGAGAAAATGTAGAGATAAACCTGGAACATCTTATCTTCCAGAGATAAGGAAACTATTAATAAAAAAGACTGCTACTAGGGATCAATCAGAAGGACTCAATGGCCTACTTGAAGAGGGTCCCACCTTTTCTTATAAAAGATGAGAAAATTAGAGCATCAATAAGAATAATAATTTTGGGAATTAAACTGCATCAAACTTATTTAAGTCCATGTGTTCAAAAGGGTATAAAATTATTTTGTCATTTTTAGAGGCTACAAGTGAGTCAAATCTTTGTCATGAAAAGTGGTAAATCAAGGAAAATAATAGAGCAATTATCTTGCCTTTCTTTCTTGTTTTTTTTTTTTTTTCAATCAGTTGAATCTCTATATCTTGTGTTTCAATATGAACTGTACCAAATAGTACATGAGAGAAACCAAATAGTATTTGAGAGAAAGTTTCTATTTGTAGAAATATTCTAGCAGTCAGGCATGGTGGTGCATGCCTATAGTTCAGTACTCAGGATGCTGAGGTGGAACAATCACTTAAGCCCGGGAGTTTGACTGTAGTGTGTGCTATAATCATACCTATGACTCTCTACATATACAAACAAGAAATATTCTAGCTAATGATTGAAGGAATGATAGATTTATAACATAACCACTTTGCAGTCCCTCATGATTTATCATTTTTATTTATTTATTTTTGAGACAGAATCTCACCCTGTCACCCAGGCTGGAGTGTAGCGGTGTGATCTTGGCTCACTACAAACCTCTGCCTCCCAGGTTCAAGCAATTCTTCTGCCTCAGCCTCCTGAGTACCTTGAACTATAGGCATGTGCCACCATGCCTGGGTAATTTCGTATTTTTTTAGTAGAGACGGGATTTCACCATGTTGTCTAGGCTAGTCTTGAACTCGTGACCTCAGGTGATCTGCCTGCCTCAGCTTCCCAAAGTGCTGGGATAACAGGCATAAGCCACCATTTCTGGCAAGTCCCTATAATTTACTGGATCTAGTTATATGTATTAGTAGCTGCTAATACCACAAATAGCCAATTGGACATTATGTACTTCCTGATGGAATAACATCACCACCTAGATAGTGGTTTTGCATCTCCCTCAAATATTAAACATTAATATGTTCAATCCTCTAGAATCTTACAACCATGGTGATACAATCAGCAAAATCCCAACTGTGGAAAATCAGCAGGACAAATGACCTAGTAATAATAATTCTAATGATAATAAAAAGTAAAGAAGGAGAACTTACAGATGAAAAGAAGTTGAAAAGAAGTTTAAAAGACATTTCAGTCAACTGTGATGCTGGGATTTTATTGAGTCCCAATATAATATGTTAAAAAAATTTATGAAATTTATGAGACAACTAGAAATGTGAATACTACCTGTATACTTGATATTAAGAAATTGTTAATTTTTTAGCTGTCATATGGTGTTTTTTGTTTTGTTTTGTTTTGTTTTGAGATGGAGCCTTGCTGTGTCACTCAGGCTGGAGTGTAGTGGCTGGATCTCAGCTCACTGCAACCTTTGCTTACCAGGTTCAAGCAATTCTTGTGTCTCAACCTCCTGAGTAGCTGGGACTACAGGCGTGTGTCACCATGCGTGTATACATATATATATATGTGTGTGTGTGTGTATATATATATATGTATATATATATATATGTGTGTGTGTATATATATATATATATATATATATATTTTTTTTTTTTTTGTATTTTTAGTAGAGACAGGGTTTCACCATGTTGGTCAGGCTGATCTTGAGCTTCTGACCTCAAGCAATCTGCCTGTCTTGGCCTCCCAAAGTGCTGGGATTACAGGTGTAAGCCACTGCACCTGGCCCATAATCATGTTTTAAATGAAAAAAGACACATTGTAGAGATTTTTATTAAAATCTTTAGAGATGAAATTATATACTATGATTTATTTCAAAAATAATAAGGGATGGGAACAGGGATGGGATATAGATGGAATAGGATTGGCCATTGTTGAAATTGGGTGATGGAATTCTGTATACATTTGTGTATGTTAGAAAATTTCCATAATTAAAAGTTGAAAAAGCAAAAGTAAAAAGAAATTCAAGAGTGATTCAATTTCTGTGTAATTTAGGTTTGAAACATCAATATTCCTTTGTGGAGAAGAAAAGTCCTCTGATTTGGCAGAAGAAAAAAAAGTCAGGAAAAAGAGTTTACAAATACAACAGCACAGCAAGAGAACTGAGGTAAATAAAAATTTGGAAATTTTTCTTTTATTTTCAAGTGTTCTCCTTAGCCTTCAAACATTCCCTTATATTTTTTAGTCCATGTGTTGAAATGTCACAGTCTTAAATATTACTACTTGCTCTTGCTCCTCCTTTTCTCTTTGTTTTCCTTTTCCTTCTCCTCCTTTAAAAAAAAAAAAAACAGAACAAGGAATCTTTTCAGAAGCTTATGAAAAATTTGCCTTTATTTTCTATGAAGCAATTTTTTACTGTGCTCTCTGCTAACATTTTTTATTTTTTAACAGTGATCTTAGGTGTTCTTTGGTTTGTGGCAGCATAACTCCAAACTTTGCCTCCATCTTCCCATGAATCTTCACATGATCTTTCTTCCTGTGTTTGTATCTCATCTCCTTCTTCCTTTCTCTTATAAGCACATCTGTCATTGTACATTTCATTTCAAGATCTTAACTTGATTACATCTGCAAAGACTTTTTCTCCAAATAAGGTAACATTCACAGGTTTCAGATATTAGAACATGGAATATCTTTTTGTGTAGTCACCATTCAATTCACTGTGATATACTTAGAGGTATATTTCCATTTTTCTCCTCTGTCTTAGTATTTGCTGTGCTTCTTAAATCTGAGAATGCATGCCTTTCTTCAATTCTGAAAAATTCTAATATATTATCTTTTAGAATATTTCCCCTCCTTCAATCTGTTTACTGTCCTTTTTTTATCATCTATTAGATGTGTATTAAATTTGTCTTCCTGTTTTCTATATTCTTTAACATTGCTTCATATTTTAATCTATTCTGTCTTTCTTCTTTGCTCTTGGTAGTTTCTACCCATCTACTTTCTAGTTCACTTATTCTTTATCCAGCTGAATCTAATCTGCAGTTTAATTTTTCCATTGAGATTTTAATTTCAGTGATTCTATTTTTTACCTCCAGAAGTTTTATTTGGTGATTCTTAAAGTATGCCCTATGTCATGTTTTTCGCTCATGTTCCATAGTTATTTCAAGATTGATATTTGATCAATTCAATATATGAAGTTCTTGGGGGATCTAAATGTTGTGTTTGTTGTTTTGTCTGATTCTCACTCATGTTAAGTTATGTCTTTGGGTGTTACATATGTTTTGTACATTCTTTCATATATAGTTGATCTAAATCTGTGGGAATCTTCAGTTTGCCCTTCTTCAAGATAATTTTTAAAATGAGAATTTGCATTTGCCTCTGCCATGCACTTCAGAAATGTTACAAATCTGAGATCACTTTAAATGAATTTTTTGGTTTCTGTTTCCCTGGCCCACATATTTAGTGTAGATTTGAATTCTAAGCTCATATGTAGGTAGAGTTATGATTATAACTAATTAGCAGGAGTAGTATTTCTTTTTTTCCAACCTGGAGCTGGGATACAGACCTATTTTAATCATACTTTTTCATTGAGGGATAAGTTTTTTCCCACTCTTGCTGAAAACATCATCTTTTAAAGATTTTGGTTCTATGTGGCATTTCAGTACCAATTCCTGTCAATCTTGTGTAGTGTGAGACTCTTTTTTCCACATCTTGCATGGCCATTAAAACTCAAGGCTTAGGGTTCCATGTAAAATTGAAGACACCTATAAATAGAGTTCTCATTTTCTAAAGTGGTACTTTCCTATCCACCTAGCTACTTGCCTTTTTGGATTCATGTTTATACATGCAATCTTAAGTGGATAATTTACTCAATGATAAGGATAATTGAAAACAAAATTACCTATATCATTTGAATATCTGTGTTGATTCTCCGCATTGCACGTAAGTCAAAGCCTTTGTATGTAGCCTGGAGTCTGGTAACTGAGTCATCTTGTTTTCTCTACCATAGATTTGCCCTGCTTTGTAAAATCCAATTCTATATATTGACCAAATATTAATGACATGATTAACTGCATACTTAAGAAAACCATGGCTTTAGAAAAGAGTATTGTATAGTTTATATAAAATTTTAGTTTATATTAAATGTAATTTAATTACGAAAGACAATTTTACACCAGAAGCATAATTAATGAGGAGCCAAAGTATGATTAATTGCCTTTTAAGAGTTGTGTCATCCAAGAATGCTGAATTACCAATGTGATCTCAGGCACCAACGTACATGCATTTGGCTCTAGATTGGCCTTCCTTTTCTGAAGCTATCAAAAGAGAAGGTGACTAGGAAAGAAAACTCTTTACGCAAGTTGCCGAATCAGTACAGCGTTGACAAGACTTCATCACCTCTTTGTACATCTTCCTCAATTACTCGGTATTTAAATCCTTGTACTCTATTTCTTGAATGTTGGGTTCAGACTTGGGTGTTTCTCTTCAGAATCATTTATCCCTTCCACATAAAGAATATCAAGTAGTTTGTGCTAACTATGCTCTTAGGATTGTGTAGAGATAAGAGCACTGTATGTGGAATTGGAGGACTTAGACTTGAGTCCTGATTGACCTCACATGCTTAGACTTTTGTAAAATTTGTATCTCTGGGCCTCACTTTCCACATCTGTATAAGGATCTTGTACTAAATGAACTCTTAAGATGTCTTCCAACACTAACAGTATATGATTTTAGTTATTTATATGATGTTATAGTATTAGATAATATTTTCCAGACATTTTTACTGATAGGTGATGGAACCTGAGATTCTTTGGCTGTTTAAAGATGTTCTTCGTTTGCTTTATTGCAATAACTTTCTTAAAAATTTGCCGTGACTTGGATTAAGAATAGGAAAAACTGGACCATAGTCAAAGGATAGTGGGCCATGGGCACTATTTACAGATTGGGTAAATTCTGCTTTACAGAAAAGTATCCGTAAAAGAAATAAGGTGGGAATTCTGAAGTAAAGAATATGGGATTCTCCATAACTTGGACCGTTCTTCAAGAAAGGTTCTTATGAATCTCAGACTATTGATAGGTTTGTTAATATTTTAAAATGGAATTTGCATATTTTCATTGCTGCTTTCTAATATGGCTGTTTCTTTGACAGGGGCAAGAAAATGCTCTCTAACCTCTACCTGACATTATATGATGAAGTAACCCATGGATATTTATACTCCCAAGAATTAAGTGGTAATAAGAGGTTCTAAAATTTCTTGAATACATTTCCTGATTATGTGCTTTTTAGGAATTGTTTCAGCAGGTAGTGCCTCTTCTTCTACTCCTAATGGCTTATGGTATCAACTGATAAAACATGATATAGCAAATGCTGCAGGCTGTAAGGAAGCAAATGTGGATAGTTTAATCCTTAAATATCTTTTGTTATATTGGTAAGATAGGCAAAATATGTAGCTTATACTAGTTCAAATGTATTTTTTGGAAAAATGTCTACATGTTACACCCCATGGATATATTAGTAAGTTCTGAAGCCACTGATATCACTGGAATTTAGTCTTTGGTATCTTAATATTAAGGCTTATACTACCCTTTACTCCTTCATGATACTGACTTCTGCCACATCTTGGGCTTCTCCTTTATATTTATGGAATAATTTGGCATAGTTTTCCTTTTATGTTAACTCTGATTGTCATAATATGTATCTTAGTGTCCAAATGGGTGACTCATACCGCTCTAGCTTCAAACTTTCCAAACCAATTATTTTACCTTGATTCTTCTGACCAACACTGATGGCCACAAATTACATACACATTTTCATTATGTGAAAATCTGAGGCTTTAAAGTCTTGTTTTTCACTCACAATCTCTTATTCTTCCAGCTTTTAGAATTTTATTTCCTTGACCTCTCCATTTGGTGCCACTATGATTGATTTCCAACCTCAGCTGCCCTTAGCACCAGTTGACGTTCCCTTTATGTTTTGGTGTGATCTCTCTTTGGTACCTATTCCAAACCTTCGCTACTCTCCTCAAATCCTCAATTATGTCACCTATCTAACTCTAAACATTTAAAAATGTTTTACTTAGTTAAAATAAAATTAATTGTTTTCATTAATTGCTCAATTTTCTCACTTCCCATTTCATGGAAATCTGCCTTCCACCTCCAAAATTCTACTAAAACTTATTTTATTAAAGTCATTATTATCAACTCTTTAGTCTTTCTTTTGTATTTAGCATTGTCAGGGTTGGGTGAGGTGGCTCATGCCTGTACTCCCAGCACTTTGAAAAGCCATGTGGGAGGATCATTTGAGACCAGGAGTTCAAGACCAGCCTGGGCAATATAGTGAGACCCCATCTCTATAAAAAATAATAAAACCAAAAAATTAGTTGGGCATCTTGGCACACACCTGTAGTCCTAGCTACTTGGGAGATTGAGACTGCAGTGAGCCATGACCATACTACTGCATTCCTGCCTGGGCAACCGAGAAACTCTGGGTTTAAAAAGACAAACAAACAAAAAGTACTGTCATCGATTGCCGCTTTTCTGAAAATAAAGTGTAGTGTCCACTGAACCAAAAAATTCAGTTCAATGGACTTTTTTTTTTTGAGAATTTATTCTGAATTAGGCACTGGAAACAGAAGAATGAAAAATTTTGCTCTGTAGAAGCTGACAGTTTAGTGAGTGGTATTGACATACAAGCAATCATAATGTCAAGGGCTTTGACTGAGATACATAGTAAGTGCAGTGGGGAAACACAGAGGAATGATTTGCTATTCCCAGGGCAAGTTGTGGAAGCCTTTGCCTATGTACCCTTGTGTGACTTTCCTGACAGTTTCTGAAAGTTCTTTAGGAAACAGGTTGAAAGATTTGAATATTAAAAGATTGAAGGGGGTGGGATAAAAAAGAAAGAAGATTGAAAGGCTGAAAGTACAAATTTGCTCCCCTTTCTTTTAATGATTATTAGTTTTTTGAGAGATGGTGGGGGGAATAAAGATAATTATTATTTTTGAATAACTAACTAAATGTTTTGTTATGTGTGTACAGCACTTCATAAAGCCTGTAAAATTTTTAGTAAAATTCGAAGTGGTAAGATTTATGTGAATGATCTTCCAGTGATCCTTTGCATCTTCAGAATTTCTATAAGTAATTTAGAAATGCGACGGGCACTAAAGACTATTGATATTGATGGTAAGTTTTATATTTTCAGTATTACCTTAAGGGTCTGCAATCATAAATATGTTATGTTTGTCAGATTAATTACAAACGATAGGAAAACTAAACCTTAAAATGTATTATAAAAACATCATTTTTGGTCATATTATATGTTATAAAACATTTTTATATGTTACAAGAACATTACTTACAATAATGATATTAAAAATTGGCCTCAGGTTTATGTAATTGGGTTGATTAATTACTGGATTGGATTATGGCATATTCTCATTATTGGTCCATGCATGGTCTACTCTTATTTAGTTATGTAATTTAAATAAAGTAATAAATACTTGACCTAACCACCCAAAATAAAAATTAGGACATTGTCAATAATTCGCCTGTAGCTATAAAGTTTACTAAGCAACTTATTATTCTGTTTTTCCCAATCTGAAGTAAGCATTATCTTGAATCCTATATTCATTATTCTCTTTTTTTTTCTTTTTAAATAGTATTATTGTTATGGATATGTATTTTTGTAAATTGGTTCAAAAATGTTTATTGTTTAAAAAACTTCAGTAAACAGTTCTTCATGATGTATATAATCTTTTGGAGACTTTTTCACTTAATATTATGTGACTAAGATTTATTCATATTGTTGTATACTGCTTTTTTTGTATGCTCTTACCACCCTTGAATTGATCAGCCTTTAAATTGTTCTGATAGATATACAGTTATTATCTGATAGTGGTTTTAATTTGCATTTCTGAATGATTAAATAATGTTGAATATCTTTTCATGTGCTTACTTGCCATTTGTATATTTTTTGCCCATTGAAAAGCTGTGTTCTTATTATTGCATTTTGAAATTCTTTATATATTCTGAATGTAAGTCCTTTATTGGATATGTGATTTGCAGATATTTTATTCCATTCTGTTGCTTGTCTTTTTATTCTCTTAAGAATGTTTTTAGAAAAGCAGAAGTTCATACTTTTGTTGAAGTCTAGTCTATAATTCTTTCTTTTATGAATTGCTTTTGATACCTATCTAAAAGATCTTTGCTAACCCAAAGTCACAACAATATCAGAAAACAAGTCTTTCATTAAAACATTAAAACAAATAGTTCGTTAAAAATTAGACAGATGTTTCACTGTTTTTGAAAGAAAGGAGTGCCCATTCTCAAGTTGTTACACTGAAGAAGTGGAGGCAGACAACTTGACAAACTTTTCAGTATTGGAAAAAGTGCTTCTGTGGTATGGAAATGAGAACAACCAAGCCTTGTCATTTTCTCTGCAGATGAGTGGAAGCACTGAAGTGTTCTTCTATAGGCTATTTTTGTTCAGATGACATTAAATTGAAATGTAGATTTATACTTGTTTTCTTCATGACATAGATAACATCATTGATGTAAATAAACCCTGTCAAAGTTAGCCTCATTTACTTGACAGGAGGAAATGAAATCATAGTTATTTAACTTGAAGAATCTTGAGGAATTACCACTGCAATATCTACAGTACTAGACCCATAGCATTCTTATTACTGCTGGAGCACTGTTTACTACGTAATTACAATATGTAAATTTTTTTCTGGTAAATTTTCTTTTTACATTCTCTATATAATGTTGGTTGCTCTATGTATAGATAATGGCATTCTAATGTCATTGTTAATTCTATTTATATTTTTAGTTGCCATTTTTATCTTATGTTCTTAGTGAGTTTCCTAATAATGTTTGCTGATGGAGTTTTTTTCCCTTCTGTTTTGGAACCATTTTTATAGTTAATGGAATGCTGGATTTTTCAAATTTTCTTAAAGCTGTGACTGATGTTTCTTATTTGGTCTCTCAGAATCCAGGTAAAAAAGACTTCTTTAAAAGTATAGAAGATAATAATTTTGTAACTGATTTTGGGGTTGGGCAGGGTAGTATTTAACATATGAATTAATTTATATTTTACAGAATATCTTCATTTTTCTCCCACTAGTTTAGGCTGAGAACAATAAAAGGCATTACAAAACCTGGCTTGAACCGCCCCAGTATCCCAACTTTCTATCTCTAATCTCTAGTTTTTCCTGCACATTAACTGCTAGACTAATTATCTTAAAACACTATTTTCATCATGTCATTTTCCTGCTCAAGAATTTAGATGCTCTTGTTATTATCAAATGCGTCTAGGCCAAGCTCTCATGCTTAGCCTCCTCACCCCTCTTCGTAACTTTGTTCATCACTCTTTGTTTTATCACAGAACCTTTTCCAGGCAAGAACCCTATACTCCAGTTAGTCATAATGAATCTCCATACTTGCCAATATAATTCTTAATCTCATGCCTTTGTGTGCTTGTTTTTTTTTTTTTTTAACTGTTGAAATCTCACATCTATTTTCTTCTTCATCCTTGACAGTGCTTTGCTCCTTTTGCTGGGAATCTGCTTGTATTTCTTCCTAAAAGTTTCATAAATTTATGGGTCTCCTAATAACATTAGTTTACATTACCTATGCATTAGAAATAAAGTGGTTGGAAAGAGTATTTATATTAATGGTAGAAATGGTACCCCCAAAAACATGAAATTTATGGCATTCGTGACCTGATGTTAGCAATTCTTCTATTCCTCCATTAGGCAATATCAAGTTCTTATGCTCAGTCCTTGGAATTATAAATTTTAATTTTAATTTGTATAAATTTAAGGGGTGCAAATGCAGTTTTGTTGCATAGATATATTGCATCCTGGTAAAGTCTGGGCTTTTAGTGTAACCATTATCTGAATAGTTATACATTGTACTTATTAAGTAATTTTTCATACTTCACCCCCCTCCCACACTTCCAAGTCTCCAGTAACTATTATCTTATGCTCTATGTCCATGTGTACACATTTCGCTGCCACCTATAAATTAGGCTCCTGTTTATAAATGGCTTTCATTATCTTAAGTGAAATAACTCAGAAAGTCAGATAGATAATAGTTTCATCCACGTTGCTCTAAAAGATATGATTTCATTCTTTTTTTATGGCTGAATAGTATTCCATTGTGTGTGTGTGTGTGTGTGTGTGTGTGTGTGTGTGTGTGTGTGTGTATACCACATTTTCTTTATCTAGACATCCATTGATGGACACTTAGGTTGAATTTACATCTTTGCTGTTGTGGATAGTGCTGTGATAAGCATATGAGTTATGAGTGCAGGTGTCTTTTTGAGATAATGGTTTCTTTTCCTTTGGGTATATACCTAGCAGTGGAATTGGTGGATCAGATGGTAGTTCTGTTTTCAGTTCTTTGAGAAATCCCCACACTGCTTTCCATTTTTTCATAATGCTCGTTTGGCTATTTGTATGTCTTATTTTGAAAAATGTCTATTCATGTCATTTGCCCAATTTTTAACAGGTTATTTGTTGTTTTTTATCATCGTTGAGCTGTTTGAGTTCTTTGTAAATTCTTGATATCAGTCCCTTGTTGGATGCATAGTTTGCAAATATTTTATCCTGTTCTTTAAGTTGATAGTTCATTCTGTTGATTATTTCTTTTGCTGTGCAGAAGCTTTTTAGTTTTGTTATCTCATTTGTCTTTTTGTTGTTGTTGTTGTTGCTTGTGCTTTTGAGTTCTTAGTCATGACTGATGTCAATAAGAGGTTTCCTTAGGTTTTCTTCTAGTATTATTATAGCTTCAAGTATTACATTTAAGTTTAGATCCATCTTATCGTTTCATTACATTTACATTTAGATCCACCTTGAGTTGATATTGTATATGGTGGGAGATAGGGGTCCAGTTTCATTCTTCTGTGAATGGCAATCCAATTTTTCCATTACCGTTTTTTGAAAACAGTGTCCTTTCCCCAGTGTATGTTTTTGTCAACTTTGTCAAAGATCAGTTAGCTATAGATACGAAACTTCATTTCTGGGTTCTCTTTTCTGTTCCACTGATTTATGTGTCTACTTTTATACCAGTACCATGCTGTTTTGGTTACTATAGCCTCATAGTATGATTTGAGGTCAGGTGATGTGATGCCTCCAGCTTTGTTCTTTTGCTTAGGATTACTTTGGCTATTTAGGCTCTTTTAGTTCCGTGTGAATTTTAAGATTATTTTTCTATTTCTGTGAAAAATGACATTGGTATTTTGGTAGAGGTTGCATTGAGTCTGTAGATTGCTTTGGGCAGTGTGATCATTTTAACGATATTAAAGTTTTGATCCATGAGCATGGGATGTTTTTCCATTTGTGTCATCTACTTCATAAGTGTCATGTAGTTTTCCTTATAGAGATCTTTCACCTCTTTGGTTAAATGTGTTCCTAGGTCCTTTTTTTTGTAGCTAAGGTAAATGGCATTGCCTTTGTGATTGGTTCTCAGCTTGATATTAGTGTATAGAAATGCCACTGATTTTTGTATCTTGATTTTATCTACTTAAACATTACCAAATTTGTTTATTAAATCTAAAGGTATTTGGGGAGGAGTCTTCAGGGTTTTCTCAATATAAGATTGTATCATTAGCAAACAGACATAATTTGACTTCCCCTTTTCCAATTTGGATGCCTCTTATTTTTTTTTCTCTTGCCTGATTGCTCTGGCTAGGACTTTCAGTAATGTATTGAATAGGAGTGGTGAAAGTAGGCATCTTTGTTTTGTTTTGGTTCTTAGGGGGAATGCTTTAAACATTTCCCCATTCAGTAGAATGTTGGCTGTGGGTTTGTTATATATGGCCTTTATTATTTTGACGTATGTTCCTTTTATAATGAATCAGATTTTTTCCATGTCTGGCTAAATTTTTGTATTTTTAGTAGAGATGGGGTTTCGCTATGTTGGCCAGGCTGGTTTCAAACTCAAGTGATCTGCCTGCCTTGGCCTCCCAAAGGGCTGGAATAACAGGTGTGAGCCACTGCACCTGGCCCAGATTTTATTTTGTTAGAATCAAGGACATGGGAATGTGGTAGTCTTTATATTCCTGGATTAGAAAGTAAAAGGCAATAAAAACTTTTCAATGATTATTTATTCATTTATGTAATAAACATTAATGCCTATATATGCAGCAGTGAAAAATATAGATAGGATTCTTGGCTTGCTTTATCTTTTTGTTTCCTTATTTCCTATTTGGCATTTTGTTAGACTCCATGGCATTAGGATTTTCCTGGTTCTCTTGTGTCTACTTGGTTTTTGACTTATATTTTTTTCTTGTTTCATTTCATTTAGCTCTTCTCTGATCTTAGTTATTTCTTTTCTTCTGCTAGGTTTGGGTTTGGTTTGTTCTTGTTTCTCTAGTTCCTTGAGATGTGACTTTAGATTGTCTATTTGTGCTCTTTTAGACTTTTTGATGGAGGCATTTTATGCTATTAACTTTCCTCATAACTCAGCTTTTGCTGTATCCCAGAGGTTTGATAGGTTGTGTCACTAATATTGTTCAGTTCAAAGAATTTTTAAATTTCCATCTTGATTTCATTGTTGACCTAATGATTAGCCAAAAGCAGGTTATTTAATTTCCCTGTATTTGCATGGTTTTGAAGGTTCCTTTTGGAGTTGATTTCCAGTTTATTCCACTGTGGTCTGAGAGAGTGCTTTATATAATTTTAATTTTCTTAAATTTGTTGAGACTTGTTTTGTGGCCCATCATCTGGTCTATCTTGGAGCATATTCCATGTGCTGATGAATAGAATACATGTTTTGCATTCGTTGGGTAGAATGTTCTGTAAATTTCCATTAGGTCAATTTTTTTCTGGAACGTAGTTTAAGTCCATTGTTTCTTTGTTGACTTTCTGTCTTAATGACCTGTCTAGTGCTATCAGTCGACTATTGAAGTCCCCCACTACCGTTGCTGTCTATCTCATTTCTTACATCTGGTAGTAACTGTTTTATACATTTGGGAGCTCCAGTGTTAGGTGCATATATATTTAGGACTGTGATATTTTCCTGTCGGACTACTCCTATTATTATATAATGTCCCTCTTTGTCTTTTAAAACTGCTTTGTTTTGTCTGATATAAGAATAGCTACTCCTGCTTGCTTTTGGTGTTCATTTGCATGGAATATCTTTTTCCACTCCTTTTCCTTAGGTTTATGTGAGTCCTTAAGTGTCAGATGAGTCTCTTGAAAACAGCAGATACTTGGTTGGTTAATTCTTATCCATTCTGTCATTCTGTATCTTTTAAGTGGAGGATTTAGACCATTTACATTCAATGTTAGTATTGAGATGTAAAGTACTACTCTATTCGTTGTGCTTTTTGTTGACTATTTTGTGTCTTTTTTTCCTTGTGTTATTGTTTTATAGGTTCTATGAAATTTATGCTTTAAGGAGATTCTATTTTGGTGTATTTTGAGGATTTGTTTCAAGATTTAGAGCTCCTTTTAGCAACCAGTAGTGCTGCTTTCTCCTGGCTTGTAGGGTTCCTGCAGAGAGATCCACTGTTACTCTGATGGGCTTCCCTTTGTGGGTAACCTGACCTTTCTCTCCAGCTGTCTTTAACATTTTTCCCTTCATTTCATCCTTGGTGAATCTGACGAGTATGTGTCTTGGGGTTGCTCTTCTCAAGGAGTATTTTTGTGGTGTTCTCTGTATTTCCTGAATTTGAATGTTGGCCTGTCTTGCTAGGTTGGGGAAATTCTCCTGGGTAACATCCTGAAGAGTGTTCACACCATTTGTCACACTCATTCTCTATCCAGTTTTGTTCCCTTGCTGGCGAGGAGTTGTGATCCTTTGGAGGAGTAGAGGCATTCTTGTTTTTTGAATTTTCAGCCATTTTGCACTGGTTTTTACTCATCTTCATGGATTTATCTATCTTTGGTCTTTGCTGTTGGTGACGTTTGGATGGGGTTTCTGTGTGGCCATCCTTTTTGTTGATGTTGATGTTATTCCTTTCTGTTTGTTTTCCTTCTAATAGTCAGGACCCGCTGCTGCAGGTCTGCTGGAGTTTGCTGGAGGTCCACTCCAGACCCTTGTTTTCCTGGGTATCACCAGTGGAGGCTTCAGAACAGCAAAGATTGCTGCCTGTTTCTTCCTCTGGAAGCTTTGTCCCAGATGGGCACCCACCAGATGAAGTGTCTGTTGACTGCCTGCTGGTAGGTGTCTCCCAGTCAAGCAGCACGGGGGTCAGGGACCCACTTCAGGAGACCGTCTGTCCTTTAGCAGAGCTCAGGCACTGTGCTGGAAGATCTGCTGCTATCTTCAAAGCCAATAGGCAGGAATGTGTAAGTCTGCTGAAACTATGCCCCTTCCCCCAGGTGTTGTGTCCCAGGGAGATAGGAGTATCTATAAGCCCCTGACTGGGGCTGCTGCCTTTCTTTCAGAGATGCCCTGCCTAGAAAGGAGGAATCTAGAGAGGTAGTCTGGCTACAGCTTTGTGGTACTATGGTGGGCTCTGCCTAATTCAAACTTCCTGGCAGCTTTGTTTATACTGTGAGGGGAAAGCCACCTATTCAAGCCTCAGTAATGGTGGATGCCCCTCCCCACACCAAGCTCCAGCATCCTGAGTTGACTGCAGACTGCTGTGCTGACAGTGAGAATTTCAAGCCAATGGATCTTAGCTTGCTGGGCTCTGTGGGGTTGGGATCTGCTGAGTGAGACCACTTGGCACCCTGAACGATTCTGTCTCACTGGCATTCTAGGTGCCACTAGACTATGGAAAAAACTCCTGTAGCTAGCTCAGTGTCTGCCCAAATAGCTGCCCAGTTTTGTGCTTGAAACCCAGGCCCTGTTGGTATAGGCATCTGAGGGAATCTCCTGGCCTGTGGGTTGCTAAGACTGAAGGAAAAGCGTAGTATCTGGGCTGGAATACACTGTCCTTCACAGCACAGTCCCTCATGGATTCCCTTGGCTATGGGAGGGAGTTCCCTGACCCCTTGTGCTTCCCAGTTGAGATGCCACCTCAACTGGGAAGCACAGGGGGTCAGGCTTGCCTTCTGTGGGCTGTACCCACCGTCTAATCAGTCCCAGTGAGAGAAGCCAGGTACATCAGTTGGAAATGCAGAAATCACCCACCTTCTGCATTGATCTTGCTGGGAGCTGCAGACCAGAGCTGTTCCTATTAAGCCATCTTGCCAGCCACCTTGAATTGTGTTTTCTTTTTGTCAAGGCTAATTAAGGGATGTAGTGGTCGGGGAGAATTTAAATTTAGCAGTAGGACACAGCTTTCAATATGTTTAATTTTTAAGGAAGAATCATTTATCTGAATATTTTCTTTTGAAAATTAAAAATATACTGAGCTCTATATTGTGACTCTAAAAATTTCAGAAAATGATAAAGTGATTTGGTGTTTAATTTATTTTAGTTAAATTGTTTTAAAATTATAGAATCTAAGATTCAGAAGTAGATGTCTTGGGGAGCCCCAGATTTGGTTTGCTAGTCAGGGCCATACTGAATATTTTCTTCTGACCATGTTCTTTCCAATTCATTTTATATGCTAAGGACTGTTAACACAAGAATATGCAATTCCTATGGAGAAATAAAAGACCAATGTTTTAACCACTATTATAAAGTTATTTTGTAATAGTTGTTTATTTGTAGATAGATATTTAGAAAACCTCATGCTTATGTATGGTTATTTTCCCTTAGTAGGCTATTGGCACAAAATCAGTTCCTTTTCCAAGAAAAGCTCCTGATTCTCATGGTATAATAATTTGTTTTTTTTGTAGCATTCCAGAATGCCTTGAAGATTTTCTGTAGGATAAAATGTGGTCGAGTTTTAATTGATGAAGTGTTTGCTGTTTTGGATAGCATGGATATTCCTATAAACCCTGAAATTTTTGAAGAAGTGATAAAACATACTTATATTGACAGTGAGTTATTTGCATTGAGATATATATGTCAATATGTGTGCATATATTTATGTATTTTTTTTCTGGATATCAATTTTGTGATGTGTCCTTTGCTTCTCCTTTTTTCTCTTGATTTTTACCTTTTGCCATTTACACCATTTACTGGTGTCCATAGTAAGAAATAGTCTAGAAACATTAAATGAGAAGTTTCTAAAATTGTTATATTTTGGTTTGTTTGGTAAAAGAGTAAAATGAATTTTTAAAAAATTCAGCCTTATATCTCTTTTCCAATAGTAGTCATTTCTTGTCTTTGTGGAGAAGTAGTTTCTTGTAGTGTCAAGGGCATCGACTCTACAAATTAGAAGACCTAAATTTCTTGAATTCTCAATTTTATTATGTAGCTTTGATTAAACAGTTTCTATGCTCTTCAGTTAATCTCTGCACAATGTGGATTGCTTTAAACATTATAAAAATATTTAGGAGGTGTTTTGTATTACATGTTTACTTGTAACCAGAGAATGTCCTATAATAATTAGTGATTGATTGATTCATTCATTTGTTTTATTATTTTTAGAGACAGTGTCTCGCTGTGTTGCCCAGGCTGTAGTGCAGTGTCATGATCACTGCTCACTGTAATCTTGACCTCCTAGACTCAATGATCCTCCCACCTCATATTCCTGAATAGCTAGGACTATAGGTGTGTGCCGTCATGCCAGCCTAGTTAATTTTTTTTTTTCTTTTTGGTAGAGACGAGGTCTTATTATGTTTCCCAGGCTGGTCTCGAACTCCTAGCTTCAAGTGATACTCCTGCCTCAGCCTGCTGAGCACTGGAATTACAGGCATGAGCCACTGGGCTCAGCCTGATTCATTCATTTAATTAATCAGACAGTCATTTAAATCTACTATGCCTAGAACTGTTCTAGGTGATGCAAAGTTGAATAAAACACACTCTTTTTTGAGGTAGTTCACATTCAAGTGTGGAAAGAGTCAAGTAAACAGAAAATTAAAATGCTCAATGGCAAATAGTATAATAGAGTGTATATAGGCTGCTAATACATACTGAAAGCCTTAGGGAAAGATTATCCAAGAGATTGATGTCTGAGCTAAATCTTGAAGGATCGGTGTGAATTAAGTAGTTAAAGGTAGCAGCGAAGAGTGAGAAAAACATCTTAAGCCAAAGGAACAGCTTGTGTAAATATGACAGAAAAATAATCAGACATGACATCTCTTTGAGTGAGCTTCCACTGGTTTTTGTCATTTATTAATGGTGGTTTTGTAGTGGGCTTTTGGTTGCTGAAATGTGGTCTGGAGATAGAACAAGGCCTCATGGAGTTCTATTAGGAAGTCAGATATGGTGAGCTCTGGGGTGAGGCATGAATGGGAGGATATGATGGGGTATGAAATGTAAAATGGGGATTTTAAAGACTAATTTTAAGCCTTTAGGGCATACCCTACCAGGAACAACAGAAATCATATAAAACAGCTGCAGTACCTTGCTTTTTGGCTTATGGAGTTCTGGTCTGGGTCTCCAAGTCTCCTGCATTATTTGGGGAGGTAGATTGGAAAAAGGATACTAATTTTATAGGATTATTTTAGGAATTAAATATAAACATTTATCACAGTGCCTGGCACTTAGACATAAGAAAGGTAAGGCAGAAACCTGAGAGTCATCCTTGAAAACTCTATTTCTCTATTCCTTGTGCAACCTAAAGTCTTAGATATATCTTTTTAAAAACATTTTCCCACCTGTGTGGGCTGCAGTGGAGGGAACCTAGCAGAAGTGCATGCCTGCAGGCAGGCATGGGTGTGTGTATGATGGTGTAATGAGGAATCTTGAGATCATCCTGGATGACCAAGGTAGGCCCTAAATTCAGTGGCAAGTGTCCTCACAAGAGGCAGAAGACATAGACACGGAGAGGAGACCAGGTGAAAACAAAAGAAGAAGCTGGAGTGATACAATGATCAGGGAAATGGAGAAATCTTAGAATCAGGAAAAGAAGAGGGGAACGATCCAAGATGGCCTAATAGGAACAGCTCCGGAGTGCAATTCCCAAAGAGAACAATGCAGAGGGTGAGTGATCACCAGATTTCCAAACGAGTTTTTACTGCATACAGACCAGGAGATTCCAGGGCTGAAAAGTGCCACAAGTTTCCAGCACAGCTGTTTCAGCTGACACCACAGGTCTCCCCAAAAAATTCACACAAATCTGAGCGGCCCATTCAACTGGTGCCTGGAATGCCTGGGAGACAGAGCCACCCATTCAACTGAAAAAAAGGGGGCTGAAACAGGGAGCCAGGTGGTCTGGCTCAGTGGGTCCCACCCCAACAAAGACCAGTAATCTGAAACACTGTGGATTGAGAGTTTCACAGCAAGTGCAACTGGACCCAAGACGGTCCAGCTTGGTGGGGGGAAGGGCGTCAGCCATTACCAAGGCAGTCCACCACTACCGAGACAGTCAGCCATTACCAAGGCAGTCCGCCATTACCGAGGCAATCCGCCCTTACTGAGGCAGACTGCCATTACTGAGGCAGTTCTAACTGTACCTCTGTAAACAAAACCACAAGGAAGTTCACACAGCAGCTGGGCAGAGCCACGGCAGCTCAGCAATGCCTCTGCTGGCAGACTGTGACTAGATTACCACTTTGCTAGGCAGGGCATCTCTGAAAAAAGGCAGCAGCACATCAGAAACATATAAATAAAGCACCACCTTCCCAGGAGAGAGCACCTGGGAAAAGAGGCGGTTATGAGTTCCACTGCAGCAGACCTAAATGTGCCTGCCCAGCAGCTCTGAATGGCACAACGGAGCTCCCAGCTCAGCACTTGAGCTCCTATAAGGGACAGACTGTCTCCTCAAGCGGCTCCCTGACCACCATATAGCCAAAGAGACACCTCATAAAGGAGAGCTCAGGCTGACATCTGGAGGGTACCCTTCTGGGATGAAGATAACAGAAGAAGAAACTGGCAGCAACTCTTACTGTTCTGAAGCCCCCATGGGTGATCCTAAGGCAAGCAAGGTCTTGGAGTGGAACTCCAGCAGACCTACAGCAGAGGGGCCTGACTGTTAGAAAAAAAAAAAAAAAAAAAAAAAAAAAAAAAAGACCTAAAAAACAGAAAGAAATAACTTCGACATCAACAAAAAGGACATCCACTCAGAGACCCCATCTGAAACTCACCAACTACAAAGACCACAGGTAGATAAATACATGAAGATGGGGAGAAACCAGCGAAAAAAGGATGAAAACACCCAAAACCAGAAGGCCTCTCCTCCAAGGGATCACAACTCCTCAACAGCAAGGGAACAAAGCTGGATGGAGAATGAGTCTGATGAATTGACAGAAACAGGCTTTAGAAGGTGGGTAATAACAAACTTCTCTGAGCTAAAAGAACATGTTCTAACCAAATGCAAAGAAACTAAGAACATTGAAAAAAGGTTAGGCAAAGTGCTAACGAGAATAAACAGCTTAGAGAAGAATATAAACGACTTGATGGAGCTGAAACACACAACACAAGAACTTCATGAAACCTACACAAGTTTCAATAGCTAAATCCATCAAGCAGAAGAAAGGATATCAGAGATTGAAGATCAGCTCAATGAAATAAAATAAGGCAAGATTAGAGAAAAAAGAGTGAAAAGAAATGAACAAAGCCTCCAAGAAATATGGGATTATGTGAAAAGACCTAATCTACATTTGATAGGTGTACCTGAATGTGATGGAGAGAATGAACCCAAGCTGGAAAACACTCTTCAGGTTATTATCCAGGAGAACTTTCCCAACCTAGAAAGGCAGGCCAACATTCAAGTCCAGGAAATACAGAGAACACCACAAAGATATTCATCAAGAAGAGCAACCCCAAGGCACATAATCGTCAGATTCACCAGGGTTGAAATGAAGGAAAAAGTGCTAAGGGCAGCCAGAGAGAAAGGTCGGGTTACTCACAAAGGGAAGCCCATCAGACTCACAGCAGATCTCTTGGCAGAAACCCTGCAAGCCAGAAGAGAGTGGGGTGCAATATTCAACATTCTTAAAGAAAAGAAATTTCAACCTAGAATTTCACATCCAGCCAAACTAAGCTTCATAAGTGACGGAGAAATAAAATCCTTTACAAACAAGCAATTGCTGAGAGATTTCATCACCACCAGGCCTGCCTTACAAGAGGTCCTGTAAGAAGCACTAAACATGGAAAGGAACAATCAGTACCACCTGCTCCAAAAATGTACCAAATGGTAAAGACCATCGACACAATGAAGAAACTGTGTCAACTAATGGGCAAAACAACCAGCTAGCATTAAAATGGCAGGATCAAATTCACATATAACAATATTAACTTTAAATGTAAATGGGCTAAATGCCCCAATCAAAAGACACAGACTGGCAAATTGGGTTAAAAGTCAAAACGCATCAGTGTGCTGTGTCCAGGAAACCCATCTCATGTGCAAGGACACACATAAGCTTAAAATAAAGGGAGGGAGGAAGATTTACCAGGCAAATGGAGAGCAAAAAAAAGCAGGAGTTGCAATATTAGTCTCTGATAAAATAGACTTTAAACCAACAAAGATCAAAAGAGACAAAGAGGGGCATTACATAATGGTAAAAGGATCAATGCAACAAGAAGAGCTAATGATCCGAAATATATACACACTCAATACAGGAGCACTCAGATACATAAAGCAAGTTCTTAACGACCTACGAAGAGATTCAGACTCCCACACAATAATAGTGGGAGACTTTAACACTCCACTGTCAATATTAGACAGATCAATGAGACAGAAAATTAACAAGGATATCCAGGACTTGAACTCAGATCTGGACCAAGTGGACCTAATAGACATCTACAGAACTCTCCACCCCAAATCCGTAGAATATACATTCTTCTCAGCACCACATTGCACCTACTCTAAAATTGACCACATAATTGGAAGTAAATCACTCCTCAGAAAATGCAAAACAACGGAAATCATAACAAACAGTTTCTCAGACCACAGTGCAATCAATTAGAACTCAGGATTAAGAAACTAACTTAGAACTGCACAACTTAATGGAAACTGAACAACTGGCTCTTGAATGTTGACTGAATAAGCAGTGAAACGAAGGCAGAAATAAAGATGTTCTTCAAAACCAACGAACACAAAGACACAACATACCAGAATCTCTGGGACACATTTAAAGCAGTGTCTAGAGGGAAATTTATAGCACTAAATGCCCACATGAGAAGCAATGAAAGATCTAAAATCGACACCCTATCATTAAAATTGAAAGAGCTAGAGTAGCAAGATCAAAAAACCTCAAAAGCTAGCAGAAGGCAAGAAATAACTAAGATCAGAGCAGAACTAAAGGAGGTTAAAAAAAACCCTTCAAAAAAATCAACAAATCCAGGAGCTGGCTTTTTGAAAAGATCCACAAAATAGACTGCTAGCCAGATTAATAAAAAAGAAGAGAGAAGAACCAAATAGATGCAATAAAAAATGATAAAGGGGATACCAGCACGGATTCCACAGAAATGGAATCTGATGGTAGTAGATTACTACTATCAGAGATTACTACAAACAACTCTATGCACATAAACCAGTAAACCAGGAAGAAATGGATAAATTCCTGGACACTTTCACTCTCCCAAGCCTAAACCAGGAAGAAGTTGAAACTCTGAATAGACCAATAACAAGGGCTGAAGTTGAGGCAGCAATTAATAACCCACCAACCAAAAAAAGCCCAGGTCCAGATGGGTTCACAGCCAAATTCTACCAGACGTGCAAAGAGGAGCTGGTCCCACTCTTTTTGAAACTATTCCAAACAATCCAAAAAGAGGGAATCCTTCCCAAAATCATTTTATGAGACCAACGTCATCCTGTTACCAAAACCCAGCAGAGACTCAACAAAAAAAGGAAACTTCAGACCGATATCCATGATGAACAAAGTCTTCGTCCACTAGGGACTATTTAAGTAGGTAATATGTGTTTGGGAGCTTCATCATAGGTGTTTATTATTGCATAGATGCAAGGAATAAATTTGAGCAAGAGCTAATGAATCTGTGAACATGGTTGAATACTACACTCTTATTAGTTGAGGTTGGACTTCTGTTCAGAGAAAGGAGTTTTCTAAATGAAGAGCAGGTAAAAGTGAAATGGCCATCTACACTGGATTAATACATGTATGGTCTAACAGAATACATTTCAGTGATCAGATTCAAGAGTTTGAGGGTTGAAGCTTTGAGTTGTCTTAGGACTTAAGCCATGATCTAAGAACATGGGACATCGAATCAATCTACAATAAGTGACAGTTACTGGGAAGGCTCTGAGAAGTGTTAGAACAATAATCAAAACCAGAATGAGGAGAAATGCCAAGGAAATAAGAAACCAGAATGTAGGAAGCAATTCCTAATCAGAAGGCAATTTAGCACCAATTTAGCCTAGGATTTCTTTGATTGGTTCAAACACATAGCACTTGCTTTGTAGTGATTTGAAGGCCTACACCTGAAAGACCAATTTTCAGAGAATCAGTGAATCAGGTGAACCCAACACCAAAACGATACTATTCTTTGATTTAAAAATTTGCTTCTTCTGGTCGCCGCGAGAGGGGCGGGGTGACTGTGCCACTCCCTTCAGTCCTGTTCCCAGCCTGCCCCACCCCACCACCAAGGGCTGGATGAGGGTACATATTGCGAGGAGGCGCAGGACGCTGACGCAGAAGGAGCTGGACGGAGCTGTGGTTGCGCGAGGAAGCTTTGTAAGTATATGCATTGCACCCCTATTTTCACAAAGCTTGGCTCACAGAGCATTGTGAACATTAATGACCTCAAACTCAGGTTGTCCGAAGCTGAGCAAGAACATCCACTATGTTTCTGGAGTGAGCTTAAATAAGCTCAACAGGAAGAACTTTATGCAAAGCTCCAGGCCATGAACTTTGAGGAGCTGAACTTCTTTTTCCAAAAGGCCATTGAAGGATTTAACCAGTCTTCTCAGCAAGAAAAAATGGATGCGCGAATGGAACCTGTCCCTTGAGAGGTATTGGGCAGTCCTACAGGGAATCTAGATCAGCTCCAGGCCTGGGAAAGTGAAGAACTTTTCCAGATTTCTCAGAACGAAGTAACACTTCTAGCTGGTGGGCAGGGGACTAGACTCATTGCATATCCAAAGGGGATGTATGGTGTTAGTTTGCCATCCCATAAGATGCTTTTTCAGCTTCAAGTAGAGCGTATCCTGAAGCTACAACAGCTGAAAAATATTATGGCATCAAATGCATTATTCCTTATAATAATCAGTAGCAGAACAGGGGAATCTACAAAGGAGTTCTTCACTAAGCACAAGTACTTTGGTTTGAAAAAAGAAGATAAAATCTTTTTTCAGCCAGGAATGCTCCCTGCCATGAGTTTTGATGGGCAAATTATTTTGGAAGAGAAGAACAAAGTTTCTATGGCTCCAGATAAGAATAGTGGCCTATACTGGGCTTTTGCAGCCTGGAATACTGTGGAGGAGATGAAGCAAAGAGGCATTTGGAGCATTCATATCTATTGTGTTGACAACATATTAGTAAAAGTGGCAGACCCATGGTTCATTGGATTTTGCATTCCGAAAGGAGCAGACTGCGGAGCAAAGGTGGTAGAGAAAACAAACCGTACAGAACTGGTTGAAGTAGTTTGCCAAGTGTGGAGTTTACCAGGTGGTAGAATATAGTGATATTTCCCTGGCAACAGTTCAAAAATGAAGCTCAGATGGATGACTGCTGTTTCATGTGGGGAACATTGCCAACCATTTCCTCACTGTACCACTTCTGAGATATGTTGTCAATGTTTATGAATCTCATTTGCAGCACCATGTGGCTCAAAAGAAGATTCCTTATGTGGATACCCAATAGCAATTAATTAAGCCAGATAAACCTAGTGGAATAAGCATGGGAAAATTTGTCTTTGACATCTAGTTCGCAAAGAAGTTTGTGGTATATGAAATATTGTGGGAAGATGACTTTTCCACATTAAAGAATGCTGACAGAATGTGAAACACAACTCTGCTACTGCAAGGCATGCTTTCATTACTTGCCGGGTCCTCAATTCATGGGTCACTTTATAGATGAAAATGGCTCTCATCTTCCAGCAATTCCCTGCTTAAAGGATACCAGTGATGTACCAATCCAGTATGAAATCTCTCCTCTTATCTCTAATGCTGAAGAAGGAATGGAAAGTTATGTGGCCGATATATAATTCCACACACCTTTAATCATCGATGAAAATGGAGTTCATGAGCTGGTGAAAAATAGTATATGAACTGTATACCAAATTCTACCACAATAGGAACAGCTGTTATTTTTGATATACCAACTGTGAACATATAGGACCTTCTGGATGACTGAAGTTTAAATATTCACAGGGCTTTATTTTGCTTGTTGAACTCTCATAGCTACTGCAAACTTCTCAAGATCTAGATGTCTGAATTTCAGATAGCATTTTTATAATTCCCAACTCATTGAAGGCGAAGGCCTTATTTATATTTTTCAATTGTCCATTTTTTTTCCAAGGCAAAGAAACCACTGGCAATCCAAGAAATTTCCTACAGCTGAACTATAGTCAGGATGTTCTTTACTTGGAGCTGGAGGCATTTGTTTTTGAAGTTGTACATAATAATAATATGTTGTTGTATATGTTGAAAGGTTTCTATGGTACCAAAAGTTTACCAGATATTAAACTTTATAAACAAAATAATTGGACAGTAAAATAAATGTATCTTCCTGTCTCTGGGGAAAAAGATTTGCGTCTTTCTCTCAGAATTTTCACTTGTGCATATTATTGAACAGTTGATTTCTTAGGAATAGACTGAAGAAAAAAGTCATCGCTAATATAGATAGATAAGTAAATTTTCAGTCTTTTTCATATTGGATGGCAGGCAAAACCAAATATTTGGGAGGCAAGAACTGTTGGGCAAAGCATTTTCTACCTCTGTGCAGAATTGAAATGACATTACTCACGGTCACTGTATCCGAACACATCCTTAGTCATGCATTATCCAAGAAGAAAAATGGTCTTAGACAGAGGCAGGGGCAGGAATAGTGGGAAGTTATAATTATGAGAGTCCTGGACACAGAGAAGGTACAAAGTAAATCATTATCTGCTATTCACTATGTAGACATTGCATTGTTTTTTATAGTCCTCTGTATATTTTGTTCAGCCAAAAATAATTTTTAGTGATAAGAAGTAGGTACTTTGCTAGGCATTGGGAAAACAAATGAAAGACACATCCCCTGTTTTTGAGAACTTAAAAATCTGGAAATAAAAACAACAGAGAAAAAATAAACTTTAAAAAAACCAAAAAAAAATTTAAAAATAAAAAAAAAAATTCTAATTAGCATGAGGGCTTAAAACAAGACTATTTCTTTTGATTGAAAGCTCTTTTATTAAGGAGAAAAGACCATGGTCTTAGGCCTATGTTTTAGTGTGTACTGAGTTGTTAATTCATTATTTCAGATTTTATTCAAGCTTGTAATAGTTGGCTCTTTGTTCCTACTTGCCACACATTCTGTGGTGTTTTCGTATTAGAATAGGATGGCAGATATATCTATGTTCAAAAGTAAATACAGTATTTGAACTTACTCTATTACAGGTAACCACATGGTGGATATTGGGGATATTATATTTATTTTGAATGAACTACAGGAACAGTATGAGGAAGTTCGTAAGTGAGCTCTTGTTGCTATGGCAAATTTTGTTTATAATTAAAGTCTTTACATTAAATCTTAATTTTTAAGTTTTATTTTATAAAGGTTTTGGAAACCTTCTCTGAACAATTTACTGTCTTAAATCAGGGACATAAAAATATAATACTCAAAATGCCATTTATGTGTCGTCTTTTTAGAAATGTCTATGCATATTCTTCTCCCAGTTTTTTTTGTTGTTGTTGTTGTTGTTGTTTGTTTGTTTTGTTTTTGTAAGACTGAGTTTCTCTCTTGTTGCCCAGGCTGGAGTGCAATGGCATAATCTTGGCTCACTGCAACCTCCACCTCTGGGGCTTAAGTGTTCCTCCTGCCTCAGCCTCCCTAGTAGCTGGGATTACAGACATGCACCACCACGCCCAGGTAGTTTTGTATTTTTAGAAGAGACAAGGTTTCACCATGTTGGTCAGGCTGGTCTTGAACTCCTGACCTTAGGTGATCCACCTGCCTCGACCTCCCAAAGTGTTGGGATTACAGGTGTGAGCCACCACACCTGGCTCTTTGCCCAGTTTTTACTTTTTTTGTTTTTTTAACTGTTGAGTTGTTTGAATTCCTTATATATTCTGGATATTAGTTCCTTCTCAGATGAAGTTTGCAAGTATTTTCTTCCATTCAAGAGGTTGTCTCTTCATTCTATTATTTCTTTTGCTGTGCAGAACCTTTTTAGCTTAATATAGCTTTTAGCTTTTTAGTTTAATTTAGCTTTTTAGTTTAGTTTATAGTCCTATTTGTCTATTTTTGTTTTTGTTGCTGGTGCTTTTGAGATCTTAGTCATAAAATCTTTGCCTAGAAAATCACCTGCTGTCCTATAGACTTAACCTTATGTTATCATCAAACAGTTATTTAGTTTCAGGTCTTATGTTTCAGTCTTTAATCCAGCTTGAGTTGTTTTTTGCATATGATGAGAGTTAGAGGGTTAGTTTTATTCTTCTGCATATGGTTATCCACTTTCCCCAGCACTATTTGTTGAAGAGTGTATTCTTTCCTCAATGTATATTCTTGACTGCTTTGTTGGCTTTGTTGCAACAAAGCTGTTTGCCTGTAAACAAACAGTTGGTCAGTTGACTGTAAATATGTAACCTTATTTCTGGGTTCTTTATTCTGTTCCATTGGTCTCTGTGTCTATTATTATTATTTTGAGACAGAGTCTCACTCTGTCTCCTAGGCGAGAGTGCAGTGGGGCATCTCAGCTCACTGCAACCTCTGCTTCCTGGGTTCAAGCGATTCTCCTGCCTCAACCTCTTGAGAAGCTGGGATTACAGGCACGTGCCACCACGCCCGGCTAATTTTTGTATTTTTAGTAGAGACTGGGTTTCACCATATTGGTCAGGCTGGTCTCAAACTTCTGACCTCAGGTGATCCACCTGCCTCAGTCTCCCAAAGTGCTGGGATTACAGGTGTGAGCCACTGTGCCCAGCCTCTCTGTCTATTTTTATACATACTGTTTTGGTTGCTGTATTAGTCTGCTCTCATGCTACTAATAAAGACATATCCGAGACTGGATAATTTATAAAGTAAAGACATTTACTTGACTCACAGTTCCACATAGCACTCTATGTCTTTGCACTGGAGATTTTAATTCATTTACATTCAAGGTAATTACTACTGACATTTTGTTAATTGTTTTCTGCTTGTTTCATAGATCCTTTGTTTCCTTATTTCTCTCTTCTTTTGTGATTTTTTCCCTGTTGATGATTTTTTTTTTTTTTACTTTTTATCTTTCGTGTATTTACTGTATGTTTTTGATTTGTGGCTACGCTGAAGCTTACAAAATATCTTGTAGTTATGACAGGCAATTTTAAGCTGATAGCAAATTAACTTTGCTTGCACAAACAAACAATGCTTTTATCTCATCTCTCCTGCATTAAAGATTTTTGATGTCACAATTTACAGATTTTTTATATTGTTTCCGTTAACAAATCATTGTAGCTTTTATTATTTTTAACCCTCATACTATGTAAGTGAAGTGTAGGCCACCATTACAGTATTAGTCTATTCTGATTTTGACTGTGTACTTACTTTTACCAGTGAGTTTTATACATTTATATGTTTTTGTGTTACTAATCAACATTCTTTTATTTTGACTTGAAGAACTCTTTTTGACATTTCATGTAAGACAAATCTGGGGGATGAACTCTTTCAGCTTTTGTCTGGGAAAATCTTTATCTCATCTTCATTTCTGAAGGACAGTTTTTCTAGGTACAGTATTATTGGCTGGCAGTTTATTTCCTTCAGTACTTTGAATATATTGTCCCATTCTCTGTGAACCTATAAGGTGTCTGCTGAGAAATTTGCTGTCCTTATCGGAATGTATGTGTCATTTACTTTTCTCTTGCTATATTCAGACTCTTCCTTTTGTTTTTGATATTTGACAGTTTGATTATAATATGTCTTTGCGTAGTTCTTGTTTGAATTGATCTGATTGGAGGCATTTGGCCTTCTTGTACCAGGATATTTATGTAATTTGCCCAAATTTGAACTGTTTTCTATTCTTCTTTATGTAAGTTTTCTACTCTTTTGTCTTTCTCTTCTCCTTCTTAAACTCTTATAACTTGACCATTTTCTCTTTGGACGCTGTTCCATAAACCTTGTAAGCTTTCCTCGTTATTTTTCATTCTTTTTTTTTCTTTTATCCTCCTCAGACTATACATTTTCAAATAGTTTTCCTTCAGGTTCACAGATTCATTCTCGTGCTTGATCAATTATGCTGTTGATGTTCTCTGTTGTATTTTCTATTTCTTTCATTACGCTTTTCAGCTCTTGATTTTTATTTATTTTCTTTTGTGTAATTTCAGGGTCTCTGTAAAATTCTATTTTTGGTAATTTATTGTTTTCCTGATTCCATTGAATTTTTTTTCTCTGCATGTCATTTATTTTATTCCCTGAACTTTCTCTAGACAATTAGTTTGAATTCTGTCAGGAAGTTTCTATATCTTTATTTCTTTGGGGTCAACTGTCAGGAGATTATTGTACTCTTTTGATGGTATTTTGTCTTCTTGGTTTTTCATGTTTCTTGTTGCCTTATGTTCATGTCCCTTCATTTCAAGGACTGGCAAAGCCCTTAAGCAGTCAGCCCATCCAGAGATTCTGGGTAGGCTATTTGGTGTGGTCCAAAAGCCTAAATCAGAAGTGTCAAATATTATATTTTTACCCATTCACTAACCTATTTCTTTGATAGATAGCACTTAGAGATACATATATACCACAATATTTAAATATTTCCAGACTTTAATATTCAAATATTTTCATATAATTGTTTATTCTCATAGAGTCTAAGATAAGAAATGTTTTTATTTCCTCTAGGCAAAATTTCTTCATAGTTGAAATTACACTGCTGCTCTGTTGAAGTCTAATTAGTTTTTTCTTTTTTGAGCTTGGGAGCTTGACAGTCTCATAGAGTTCTTTTGAGGATCAAATATTATAACATTTGAAATACTTTAAAATGTGTTATTAAAATGTAAGATAATATTCTGAACCATCAGATGAATTTTGTAAATGAAGTCCTAGTCTGGGGCATTGTGTTAATATTTTTCTAAAGATGTTATTTTACATATGAAGTTATTTTTTCCTCGACAAATACCAAGAGTATTTAAGAGAGTAATTACTTAGATTCTAATTTTATAAATAAAATTTCCCCTTTCCTCACAGTTCTGTACTTTTATAAGTAAGGAATTTCCATCTGTATTAGCTTATTAATCTATTATCTTTGTCAATTGGGAAGGAGTGGGGAATGAGAACCATATGCTTCATTAGACTATCATTTTAGTTTCAGTGTAACTTTAAATAGCTTTGGATGGGAATACTTAAATATATTAAAGCAGCACATTAAATTTGACCTAGTTAAAAGTCCAATCTTTTTACTGTCAGTTCTTTAATTTTTTTCATTTGTTTTATATGTTTAAGCAACTGATAATGTTTTGAATAGCTTTCATGAGGCCTTAGTTGTTGTTTTTGAAATGAATTGCAAATTATACAGGTAAATGAAATAATTGTATGTTTCTCTTATTTAGCAATTACAGAGGGATCAACTTTGGATGAAATTACTTCAGACAGAAAGTTATCAAGTGTAGCAGGATGCTATCTACAATGTAAGAAGAAAAACAGTTTGTCTTCTAAACTCCCAGAACCTTCAATATCCAAAAAGTTAAATAAAAAAAGCCACCAATATTCTAGCAAAATTATGGAGGAGACTGGTGGCCTTGAATCTAAAAGATCAAAAAATGCTTGGGAAATAAGAAAATTTCTGGATGGGGTAGGCAGCAGTAATGCAGGAGTCCAAGAACCATATTCAAAGAATGGCATAAACTTTAAAAAACAATCAGAGAAGGGTGAAATTCATGACTCAAAGTCTAAACCACAAAGCTTGAAGAGTAGTGCAAGCCTCAGTAAGTCTCTGGATAAAAGTAGTATTTCTAGTATCCCAAAACTTCAGAAGTCAGCTGTGAGAAATTGTTCCAGCCTCCTAAAACAAGTTTCGTCTATGGAAAAAACTGCACTTAATGCTCTGGGTAAGTAAAAATCTAGGTTCTTGAGTTCTTCAATCATCTCAGAAATAAATAGAATGAATTAATTATTAGATAGTTACAAGCATTTCAATTGCTAATACCTTGGGTAACCATCACTTCTTTTTTTAAAAAAAAATTTAAAAATTATTTATAGAGATAGGGTTACCCAGCCTGGTCTCAAATCCCTGGCCTCAAGCAATCCTCCTGCGCTGGCCTCCCAAACTGCTGGGATTACAGGCATGAACCACCATGCCTAGGCAAAAATTCTGGAAATGTACAGTAGTGATGGTGGCACAACTTTGTAAATGTGATTAATGCCACTGAATTGTATGTTTATTTGTTATTTATTTTTTTGAGTCAGAATCTCACTCTGTCACCCAGCCTGGAGTGTAGTGGCATAATCCTGGCTCACTGCAGCCTTGACCTTTTGTGCTCAAATGATCCTCCTATGTCCTCAGCCTCCCACATAGCTGGGAGCATAGGCATATGCCACCACACCCAGCTAACTTTTTTTTTTTTGTAGAGACCATGTCCCACTATGTTACTAAGGCTGGTCCTGAACTCCTGGCCCCAAGCAGTGCTCCCATCTTGGCCTCCCAAGGTGCTGTGATTACAGGCATGAGCCACCCGTCCAGCTTGCCACTTCTGACACATAGACCAATGGATATAATATTGCGATTTTGATGATAATTCCTTTCCAGATGCCCCCTTTAGGGAGGAGCTTAACTTTTCCTGAGAAGCTTGTTCAGTGATTAATAATTAGAGTCATTAACATTCCCTAGAAAGTACAAGGCCTGGCATCTTTTGGAAATGTTTATTTTGTAATTTATTAAATGTTTAAACAAGTAGGAAATCTACGTGAAATTTTTGCTCAGAGTGCTGTAATTTAAATATATCATATTGATAGTACTTCAGGTATTATCTCTTATGGAAGAAGAATATTAGGAAAAAATTATATTGTGTATCTAGGTCTCCAAGTCTGTAACAGTTTTCTCAAAGATGAGCAATGGTTTCCCAACCAAGATATTTTCTCTTCCTGTGCTACTTTCATCACAGAAACACTGTATGTGGAACCCAATTAAACATTCCCTCCTTGTAGTCCTCTGCTGAAGTTACTTAAGTCATATTTATTCTGTAAAAAAAACTTACTGACCTTTGTATTACATTTAGTATTTAATGTAATAGATAAAATGATTGTTTAGTGAAAAATCTGTGATTCGTATGTTAATGCATAATTCAAATAACTCAATGGGAAAAAATGTGATCTATTAAGGAGGCATGGTGATGATCATCCTGATTCTGATTCCTTTACCAATGCCCTTTCTGCTACTTTGTGCCTCATTTGTATTTCTGGGAGTTCTTTTTATTTCAATAAGAATTAAAACCTTGGGTTAAAAGAATAATGAAACAGCAGACAGACATGGGTAGAAGAGGCCATCAGAAGAAAATAATATCTACCTTTCTTGTGTCACTAAAATAAAATAATGTCACCTACCACTGCCATACTTAATGCTCTGAATATAGAGAAGTATGAAATAGTTTCTCTGGCATAACTTCCCAAAACAAATTGATGGTAATTGAGCTTTTATGGAATATGACTGCCTTATGATTTACATTAAAGCAATTCTAACTTTTCATTTTTAAATAATTTTACATTCTTAAGAGGCACAAAAATAGTACAAACATTTCCATATGTTTGTACTCTCTATCAAGTTTTCTCAAATATTAAGATATTATATAACCATAGTACATGATCTAAACCAGGAAATTAACACTGATGCAATACTACTTACTGAGCTACAGACCTTATTCAAATTTTGTCAGTTGTTCCATGAATGTTCTTTTTGAATTCCAGGATCTAATCCAGAATTACCCATTACATTTAGCTGTCACTTGTCCTTAGTCTCCTTCAAGCTGGGATGGTTCCTCAATCTTTCATGACCTTGGCACCTTTGAAGAATATTGACTAGTTGCCTTATATGATGCTCCTCGTTTTGGATTTTTCTTTTATTCCTTCACAAATAAATTTAGTTTGTACATTTTGGTCAGATTACCTCAGAAGTGATATTGTACCCATGTCAGTGCATCATAGTAAGAAGCTCATGATGTCCATGTCTATTTGCTTCTAAGATTTATTTTTTGAAGATTATGAACTGAAAACATGGTAGAGTAAATTAATGGGAAGGTAAAGAACTCTACATTTTTGTTTGGAATTCTTCAATTTAAACAAAACACTTCGTTTTTTTATTTCTTGGACTCATTAATTTTACACAGACACACACACACACACACACACACACACACACACACACACACACAGAGGCTACAGTGCAGGGTGCGATAGCCCACTGTGACCTCTGCTTTCTGGGTTCAAGTGATCCTCCCACCTCAGCCTCTAGAGTAGCTGGGACTACAGACATGTACCATCATGCCTGGCTAATTTTTGTATTTTAAGTAGAGTCAGGATTTCACCATGGTGGCCAGGCAAGTCTCAAACTCTTAACCTTGAGTGACCCACCTACCTCAGCCTTCTAAAGTGCTTGGATTGCAGGTGTGAGCCACCATGCCTGGCTCCATTAATTTTAATCAGAAGTAAGCAGCATTGGCTGGGCCACTGGAACAGGCTGTTCCTCCAAACAAGTAGTTTATCAATGTTTATAGAATGTTAAGACAGTTCTGTGTTTGAGCTATAAGAGAGAGATTAAATATAATATATAACAAAGATATGGAGAGATAAGCAGTCCTGTAAAATCTACAAGGTAATATAAAATAGATAAAACTTGTTCTCTGATTTCTAAAGCTTTTGAGTATTAATTATTCATTTTGACACATAAATCCGGTTGCCTAATAGTCTTCTCATTTTGTATATTTAGAAAACTTTCCTGAAGCTGTCAGTGAACCTCAAGAAAATTACTTTGCTGCAGAAGGACTTCAGTCTATTTTGCCTTCAATAGGAATTGCTTTATTAGATAAAGAATTCCAGAAGATTGTGACAGACACTACTAGAAATGGTGAGAGACTGATAACACTGAAGTTTCTGAGAAAATTAGATATTTTATGGGATAGTATTAAATATTGGAGGAATTCCTCTCAATTAGAAATTAGAAATGGGACAGAATGGGCCATTCTAAAGAAAATTCATATATAAAAATGGAAAATAGTAAAAAAAAAATTCCTGTAAGTTCTGACCAAATGGATGGGTTTGGAGGGTATAGGCCTTTCATAGTTCCAAATCATTTCAGTAAAGCTCTTTATCACTATCCCTAGCTGTGGCTATTAATAGTAGGGTGGTACTGGGGAAATTGATCTGGTTGTAGCGAGGTTCAGACAGTAAGACCACAACATCTAAGGGGTACAGAAATTTCTAAGCAAATAGCCCAAGAGTCCAAAGATTAGTAATTGGAGATTACAAAATACAGGGAGAATTAGATCCAGTGATGCTTAACAATTAAGCTATGCAGTTAACATTTAGATGTTGAATGACATACCCCAGTCACCAGCCTAAACTAAAGGCAGAGTTTAAGTTTCTAGGAAGGGTTTTTATACTAGAGAAGTTGTTTTTATCAGTAACTAAGACTTTCCCACAACAGAAGTTCAATTGAGGAGAGGAAAGAGGAGATATTTTGGGGAAAGACTGATTTCAGAATAACAATTAGAAGTGAATCCTCAGAATCTGGGTACAATTTCTTAGCTAAGGCAAATCTGAAAGAAGATTCAATTAAAAAATATATAAAGAGTGGTAGCACTTAAATTATTAGGCCCTTTTTGCTGCTTATCAAAATTGACATGATAACTCTGAGGGTTTATATCTAAAAGTAGGTAAAACATTGGACCACACTAATACTAGGGAGATAGGGATGGGAATACTTGGTTCTGTCAGGGTTGGTTAGTATTGTTAAGGTGTCTTAATGGATAGCATAGTGAGTGGGTTTTCAAGATGGTATGAAATAGACTCCTTAACTCTCTCATGGTCTGTCTATATGGACATCTTTCTTTTTTCCTGTATCTGTTAAGGAATTGACATTTAACCCAGTCCTTTGCATGCAATAGATATTGAAAAAGCAGGGATTGTGTCTTTCTTATTTTTGTATTCTCGGTACCTAGCATGATTCTTGGTACTAAGAAGCTCTCAATAATTGTTGAAATGAACTGACATGATCTAGAAAGAACTATCATAAGAGACATGATATGAAGGAGAAATAGGATGATGAAATGAAGGATCAAGTAAGTTTTAAAAGTAGTTGTATTGGAAAGCTACAGTAATCAAAACAGCATGGTACTGGTTCCAAAACAGTGATATAGACCAATGGAACAGAACAGAGGCATTGAAGGCAATGCCACACATCTACAGCCATCTAAGCTTTGACAAACCTGAGAAAAACAAGCAATGGGGAAAGGATTCCCTGTTTCATAAATGGTGTTGGGATAACTGGCTAGCAGTGTGCAGAAAGCAGAAACTGTACCCTTTCCTGACACCTTACACTAAAATTAACTCCAGATGGATTGAAGACTTAAACATAAGATCTAACACACACACACACACACACACACACACACACACACACACAGAGTTGTATTAAAATGTAAATTTACCTTTATACAAAAATACACCAGAATGTATAATCTAAACTCTTTTTTTAAAAACAGGAAATGGAATGGTGAAGTTAGATGACTTTATAAGTGCTCTCGCCAAGGAGCAAAGTGTTCCTGGATGCAATAGTAAGTAGGAAATTTGTTTTAAAATGATTTAGAGGAAAGAGCAATGTGTTGAGAAGAATTAGGTTCAATAAAACTGGGCTTGCTTTTGGATGGATACTTAATAGTCCTGTTACTCTTAGGCAAGTCAATTGCCAGTTTTTTAAAACTTGCTATGTCAGGGTAATAATAGCTAACTTGTTTACCTCACAGAGTTGTCATGTGAATTTTGCAAGCTGAAGAGTGCTGTATAAATGTATGGTAATAATGATAATGAGGAGATCAAATAGGTAATTAGCCACATTGATTAGGAGTTGATGGGTGATTTGGCTTCTATTTTTTTTCAATGGACTTGTTTGAATGAAATACTGTTTTGGTTTACCTTTAATATGGAACAGTTTTAAAAACAGCTTTATCAAGTTATAATTTATGTACATAAAATTCACTCATCCACTGATTTTTTTAAATTTATTGAGTTGTACAGCTGTTACCACAATACCTTTTTTTGCTTGCAATTTTTAAATGATTAAATACTTTTTAGTAAGATTAAAATGAGAAATGAAAGATATTAAGGCTTGCTGTTTTATTTTTTTCTGTTTATACATATGCTAAAAAAGAAAGATTAGCTTTTTGTCTTTTTCCAAAAAAATTATCCAGATAAGGAAAAAAGTACAAAGCAAGAGATTTCCTTTTATACTTACATGAGGAGACTTATGTTAAAAGCTGCATTGTAATTTATTATTTCTGATGGATGTAAGTGCTGAAATGTCTGGATTTCTTGAAGACAATATTAGCAAATAGATTTCTTTTAAATAAATGTTTCTTTATGTTTGGTTTGTAAGCAAATAGATTTCTTGAATGCTTCATGTAACCATCATTCACCAACTCAGTCATTGTTCTATTGTTATTCTTGTGAAGTATAAATGTCTTGGTCATACCTGATGATTTTTCCCCCGTTGTGCTATTTTTTAATTTTTAATTTTATTTTTAATTGTGGTGAATAACATATACCATACAATTTACCTTCTTAATCATTTCAATAGCATCAGCTATTGAATTAGCAACCAATCTCCACAACTTTTTAATCTTGCAACACTAGTTCCCATTCAGCCTCTGGCAACCACCATTTTATTTTCTATTTCTATGAATTTTACTATTCTAGATACCTGGGAGGAATCATAAGTATTTGTCTTTTTGTGACTGACTTATTTCACTTGGCATAATATCCTCAAGATTTATCCATGTGTAGCATGTGTTAGAATTTAATTGTTTTAAAAAGCTAATTAATAGTCTGTTATATGTATATAGCACATTTTGTTTGTTTATTAGTTGATGGACGTTTAGGTTGCTTCTACCTCTTGGTACTGGGAATAGTGCTGCTGTAAACATGGTATGCAAATATCTCTTTAAGCTCCTGCTTTTAATTCTTTTTAGTATATATTCAGAAGTGGACACAATCCAATTTTATAACATTTCTATCACTCCTGTTTATTCTCTCATGCCCATTTTTAGTTAATCCACACTTCCATTCCCAGACAACTATTTATCTGCATGTACGTCCTGTCCCTACAAATTTGCCTATTTTTGACATTTAATTTAAATGAAATTGTATAATGGTATATAGTTTTTTGTACCTGACCTTCTTCACTTTGCATAATATATTTTTTAATTTTTTTTTAATATTTATTGTACTTTAGGTTCTGGGGTACATGTCCAGATCATGCAGGATTTTTGCATAGGTACATACATTGCAATATGGTTTGCTGCCTCCATCCCCCCATCACCTATATCTGGCATTTCTCCTCATGTTACCCCTCCCCACCCTCCCCATCCCCTGCTGTTCCTCCCCAGTGCACACCCCACCCCCACAGAACCCAGTGTTTGATGCTTCTCTCCCTGTGTCCATGTGTTCTCATTTGTTCAACACCTGCCTATGAGTGAGAACATGTGGTGTTTGATTTTCTGTTTTTGTGTCAGTTTGCTGAGAATGATGGTTTCCAGATTCATCCATGTCCCTACAAGGGACACGAACTCATTGTTTTTTATGGCTGGATGGTATTCCATGGTGTATATGTGCCACATTTTCCTTGTCCAGTCTATCATTGATGGGCATTTGGGTTGGTTCCAAGTCTTTGCTATTGTAAACAGTGCTGCAGTGAACATACATGTGCATGTGTCCTTATAATAGAACGATTTACAATCCTTTTGGTATACGCCCAGTAATGGGATTGCTGGGTCAAATGGAATTTCTATTTCTAGGTCCTTGAGGAATTGCCACACTGTCTTCCACAATGGTTGAACTAATGTACACTTCCACCAGCAGTGTAAAAGTGTGGGTGTTTCATAGACGCCCTTCATCAGTTCAAGAAAGTTCTCTACTTTTCCTAGCTTATTGAGAGTTGTTATCATTAATTCCTGTTGTATTTTGTCAAGTGCTGTTTCTGCATTTATTGAGATGATCATGTGTTTTTTGCTGGAACCAATTTTGGTGTTTAGTTGAAACTCAATAATCCTTTTATTTTATTTTATATTTTTAATTTTTGTGGGTATGTAGTAGGTATATATATTTATGGGTTACATGAAATATTTTGATATAGGTGTGCAATGCATAATAATCACATTAGGGTAAATGAGATATCCATCACCTCGAGCATTTATCCTTTGTGTTACAAACAATCCAATTATACTCATAGTTATTTTTAAATGTACAACTTATTTTTTACTACAGTCACCCTATTGTGCTAGCAAATAATAGGTGCTTTTAGTATATAACATTGCTGAAGTGATTTATATTTTCGTTAATTTAGTGTTAGAACTAAAATTCATCTTATTAGTGGTATTTATATTTACTTATATTTAATTCTTATTAGCATACTCCTTTATTTTTAGCGTTGCCTGGTGTCATTAAAGCCATTGATAAAATTAAAAATAAAAATGTGGATTATGAGGATCTAAATACTTGTCTTCAAAATTTTGGTATTTACCTTTCTAAGCCAGAATTTAAGAAGATCACAGAATTGATTGAAGCTGGTGGTGAGTGATATATTTTTAGGCAAACTGTGTTGACACATCTGGAAGGAGGGTTAACTTGTTATGTTTTTCCTTAGAAAAATGACTAATGTTTTTATTATAAAAATTAAATTAATACAAAATTATGAAAATACTCAAAAGTACAACAAAACACTCAAAAGACCATTATTTAGAAATGACCAGTATTAATAGTCTTTTTAATTAAAAAATGTTTAAATTTATTTTTTAAGTAGTCTAAGGCAAACAAAAAGAAAGCAGAATTTGTGATATTGCTATCTGACAAAGTAGAAGTCATTCTTCTTTAATGCTATCTGAAAAGCATTAAATGGGGGAAATAAGGATTCATTATTATGTCAAAGCCTACAATTCACAATGAAGGTATATCAGTTTTGAGTATCTGTGCCCATATAACCTAGCAGCAGCTCTTCTAAAGGGAAAGGGTGAGAGTGGCTAGACAGGAGATTGGGGTTATAGGTGAAATAATAATGTCTGTGAGTTGATAATTGTTGATGCTAGAGAGAGTACATAAACATATTACCCTATATTTCTATTTTGTATATATTTGTTTTACATAATAAGAAGTAAAAAAAGGAACAAATCTAAGTTGTATAATACCTATATAGAGAAAATAAGACTTTGTGAAGGCATTAAAATCTAGATAAATAAGCAGGTATTCCATATTTGTGGATTCAGAGACCCAAGACTGTCAATTCTCTAACTTATTTATTCAAAACAATTCTAATAAAACCCTGACTTTTCTGTAAGCTAATTCTAATATTTATATGAATGACCAAAGGCTAAGATAGCTAAAGCATTCCTGAAGAACATTTATGGAAATATGTGTGTGTTGGGGTTAGGGTTGGGGGGGGAGTTTGCTCTCCTGGGTATAAACACTCCTTATAAAGCTATAGTGATTAAATGAGTATGAGAATGGCACAGGGATAGAGAAATTTACCAATGGGACACGATAAGGAACTTCCAAACATATCCACAAACATACATGGCAATATGTATGATAAATTGGTGGGTCACTGGGGAAAGGAGGACCATTTAATAAATGGTACTGAAATAATTACTTATTCAAATGGTAAGAATAGAGTTAGATGCCTGTCTCACACCATATTCGATTAAAATTTCCAGGTGTGAAACTAAGTTTTAGAAAACAAATAGAAGAAAAATGTTCTGACTTAGGAAGGATTTTTAAAGATAGAAAACAAGAAACTGGAAAAGATTGATAATTTTGACTACCTTATAAAGACAGATCTTTTGGCCTCAAACTCCTGGGCTCAAGCAAACCTCTCACCTCAGCTTCTTGAGTAGCTGGAACTACCGGCACAAGCCACCATGACTGGCTCATGAGATACATTTTTATATCCACTAAATTGAGAAAAACTAAGAAATATGTTAATCTAAGTATTGGTAAATATGGTGAAAGTGGTAAAACCACTTTGGAAAACAATATGTAGTATCTGGTAAAGTTTGCACATCCCATGGTTTAGAAATACTATTCATAGCTATATATCCTAGAAAATCTCTTGCACTTAAGTACCAGGAAACATATTCAGGAATGTTCACGGCAGCACTGATCTTAATGGCAAAAACGGAGAAAGAAAACAACATGATATTCATCCACAGAATGTATAAATAAATTGTGGTATACACCATTGTGTATTCATGTAATGGAAATGCCATATCTACTAAAAACACAAAAATTAGCTGGGCATGGTGACACACCTGTAATCCCAGCTACTTGGGAGGCTGAGGCAGGAGAATCACTTGAACCTGGGAGGTGGAGGTTGCAGTGAGCTGAGATTGCTTCACTGCATTCCAGTGTGGGCAGAAGAGTGAGTGAGACTCCATCTCAAAAATAAAGAAATAAAAATAAAAGTTAAAAACATTATGTATGTTTGAGAGGGACTGGAAGAATTTAGACCAGTTTTCTTGGTGTTTTTCAGCATTTACTTTTCTACTGTAAATTGAATGGCTTTTCCCCTTTATACTTATGTATTTTTATTGGGTAGTATTACCTGATAGATGTAATTATATGTTTCTGAATATATTTTACATAATTCAATATTTTTCGTAATAATTTAATACTTAAAAGATACTGAAGAAAATGTGTTTCTTTTCCTGTAGAAACAGAAAAAGTAAATTTTAAAGAATTCATTGATACTATGATGAGCAACGCAGAATGCTTCTCTGAAAAATTATGTATGTATGAATATCATGTCTTCTGCTTTTTATGGACCAAATGGTTTGATAGATTTTAGAAGAATGTAAACACTCTTTTAGTCTCTTACAGAGCTAGTTATCCTGCAGGTCATCAGACAAATAAATGTCTGGCTTCCTGCTGCTATATCTGGCCTTAATCTCCTCTAATTGCCCCTAATTCTAGAATGCCTTCTACATGCAAGTGAATTAAAAGCTATCATAATTTTACTTTTCATTAGCACACTTATAATAGAGAGCTAGAACTATGTATAGCATTCATTTTGAGGAAAGATTTAAAATGTCTTTTCACTTAGGAAAAATGATACCAGCTAGTGGCTGAGTACTAATATGAGAATTTCTGGTTATATATGTTCCCATTTCTTTCCATCTTCCAATTTATTCAGTAACATTTATGAACCACTAATATGTAGTAGGCTTTATGTTAAGCTCTAAGTGTGGTAATATGAAAAAGATAGCTTTGCCACTCAAAAGCTCACCATAAAGAAATGTAAGGTCACACATGCATATTTTTAATGGAGTGAAGTTAGTATGCATTCTAAAAATTGGGGCTAAAAGTAACATTGTGTTATTTTGTGCTTACATGTTGGGTCATAGTAAATTTGAAGTAGAAGCTCTTTTTACCTCACAATGTAAGATTTAATTTGTCTCCTATACAATGGTACATAATACAGAGATATTGTTTTGTCAGTTACTTCATTTTTCCTAGGAATTTCAGTTTTATAGAGATTAAAATCTTAGCACAGAGTTATATAGTATTTTACCTTGTCTGTCATTATATTTCATTTCTCATTGTTAATATTGCATGTTTATGTTTACTTCTTCTTCTTTTTTCTTCATTAGACTGCTCAGAGCATGTCATCTTTATTGGTTCCATATACCTAATTGAGACCTTACATCCCTTTACCCCTCCACTTTCTCCTAATCCATCAGTCTCCTCCTGTTTTCACTTTTCTTCCGGTTCAGTTTAAATTATCTTATCTATATATACCTAATAACCTAAACTATCTTGCCTCTGTGTACTTTTGTTGAACCTATCTGGCAAAACTCTCAACTCAGAATGAAACTAATTGCTTGCCTTCTTGTATCTGACAGCATTTCTGGAGAAAATCACACAGCTGTGAAAATTATACAGGTTATAAATAAAATCTTGGTTGCTAATATCTGCTGACCCTTTCTAACTGTCTAATCTTCCTGAGAATCCATTCTCTATATAGCAGATAGTGACTTTTTACAAATTTGTAGTAAGATAATTCTCTCCCTCGTTTAAAATGCTCCAATGATTTCAAATTGAAATAGTCTGTCTTTTTGTTTTCTACTGTGCTAGACTGAAGAGGAAGTAGGAGACAGAGGAAAATTTTAGGGGGAGATATAGAACAAGCTACTTAATTGTTTTATCAATTGAAAATGTTTCTGAATTCACACTTTAAAAAATCTAAATTCAATCACAATTATTATTTATAACGATTATTCAGTGTTGAGGTCACTGTAAGTTCTTAAAATATTTCAGGATCCTTAAAAATACATTATATTTGAGGTTAAACATTTTATTATATTTTGATATTTGAAAGTTGGCAATTCATTTATGCTATATTTATTATTCTTTTAAACCAGAAAAACCTTAATTTTTGACTTCCAGATGACAGTTTACTGTATTAACTTCTTGGATAAGCATTTGTAAAACTTGTGTTTTATCTACCCTTTAGTATTGCCTGATGCTATTGAAGCCCTCGACAATCTCAGAAAGGAGACGATGAGTGTTTCTGACCTGTGGAATACTCTGTCTAGTTTGAATACTCATTTAAAAAAGGATGAATTCCTAGAGGCATTGAAAATAGTGACAGTTGATGGTAAGTGTTACAAATACTGAAATTAAAAAGTATACAAAGATATTACTCTATTTCCTGTCAACTCTTACTTGTCGTGTATCTTGTACTTGGCGAGATGTAGTGTTCCAATTTACTTGGCGAGATGTAGTGTTCCAATATGATTGAAATGCCAATATATGCATTTAGGAAATACTGAATAAAGAAAGTTCAGATTGTTTGGCTATTCAATATAAAACTTAAAAAAATATTATTATATAATTTATTATTACTCTAAATTGATCAAATATGCATTGAGTACCTTCAAGTTGCATGGTATGTTACCAGAAAATGGTGTATCCCAATGAACCCAGAGGGCAGGATTAGGAAATGTTAAGAGATCTATTCAAATTTCATAATAACAGTACTTGGAATATTCATACTGTTTTGTTGAAATAGGCTTTTATTTAATTTGGTAGAAAAACACACCTGCTAATAGCTACCACCTCTACTTAGCAAGTTAAAAAAAGTAAACAAAATAAAAACAAAGTTCAAAAAAGTATTGTATAACAAAGACTGTAGACTAAAAAATTTAAAGTAAATCTCCATTATTTACTGTTGATATTCTACATGCAAGAAAGAGAGTACACAGGCTACAGGTAGACATTCTACTCTTTCATATTCTTAGTGCCTAGAAGTTTAAAAAAGGGCCAAGTACTTTAATATTCTTTTATGTGGAATGTTTATACAGAACTAGCTTAGTAACATGAGCGCATTGTCAGGGGTCTTTGTCAAAGAACTGTCTTTTTCTTTGACAAAGATCCCTGACAGTGTGCTCATGTTTATTATCCTTTTCATCCATGAAGCTTCTATTTAGGTGAGGCTAGCAAAATTGGACTTTTTTTATATTGATTATTTTGTTTATTGGGAGATTTGAGGAGAAAAGCATTGATGAAAAAAAGAAGGATAGTTTGTTTTCTTTCTTTCTTTTTTTTTTTTTTTTTGAGACGGAGCCTTGCTCTTGTTGCCCAGGCTGGAGTGCAGTGGCGCAGTATCTGCTCACCACAACCTCCGCCTCCCAGGTTCAAGCCATTCCCGAGTAGCTGCCTCAGCCTCCTGAGTAGCTGGGATTACAGACATGTGCCACCATGCCTAGCTAATTTTGTATTTTTAGCAGAGATGGGGTTTCTCCATGTTGGTCAGGCTGGTCTCGAACTCCCAACCTCAGGTGATCTGCCCGCCTTGGCCTCCCAAAGTGCTGTGCTGGGGTTACAGGCATGAGCCACCACCCCTGGCCAAGAAGGCTAATTTCTACTCAGTAATATAGATTTTCTTCCCTTTTTCTCTGTGGCAGTGCTTCAGGGTCTTTTGTTAAAGTTAAAGGAATTTATAGGCAACATGTACCACAGAAAGTAATAGATAGCTTTTATTTGAACCAGACCAATAAAGTATTATTTTTTGAGATATGAAAATAACTAGAAAAGTATTTATTATGTTAGTAAAAACTCATATATTGTGTTTATTATTCTTTTTTTGTGGGGGGTGGGATAAAGTCTTGCTTTGTGACCCAGGCTGGAGTGCAGTGGCCCAATCTCAACTCACTGCCACCTCTGCCTCCCGAGTTCAAGCAATTCTGCTGCCTCAGCCTCCAAGTAGCTGGGACTACAGGCGCACAGCACTATGGCTAGCTAATTTTTGGTAGAGATGGAGTTTTGCCGTGTTGCCCAGGCTGGTCTCAAGCTCCTGAGCTCAGGTGATCTACCAGCCTTGGCCTCCCAAAGTGCTGGGATTACAGGGGTGAGCTATGGTGCCAGGCCTGTGTTTATTATTCTGTACTTATGAAGCAAAAGACAGTATATAAAATGCAGATTATTTTATCATTTAAATCTAAATATATACATGATATTGAAAACTATATCTGTACCCCATTCATCATATCTTTTCTTCTTTTAACATTGTGACCATAGTACAAAGGTATTTAGTTATCATTTTAATGCAGTGGTTTGCAAAATTTTGAGGTTTGTTATTTTTGTTTATATTTGACATTGTTAAAGCAGAACCCTTTTTTATCCAATTAAATCTTATACAGTATCCTAATATATAAAATATTAAAGTTGAGCTTCTCTGACCAGAGTGGGAGAAATGACCAAGTGAGCTGCTGAAACAACTCCACAAGACCTTAGAAATATAAGAAAGAACTTAAAATTACTGATGTAGGATATTCTTTTGACCAGGTTATGTTAAAAAGAAAAAAAAAAACAAAACTAAAAAACAACAGATCCGGATTCTCTCTAGCAAAATTGAAGAGTGAGTTCTTGGTTATTGATGGTATTTCATATTGACTCCTTAATATATTTAAAATTAAAAATAATTTTGTGATGATTACAAAAAAGCATTGAAAAATAGAAAGGGTAATTTATCATTCAGCAAATTCAGAAATGCTATCCAAATATCTAATTATATAGTTTATGAGCTCTCTTGTTTCTTCTGAAAGACCAGAGTGAGGAAAGTTGGTATTGAGCAAAATTATGTAAGATGGTATGGAAAATGGTCAAGTTGAATGTGAGACACTGAATCTATAGGCTAAGAATTAGATGGAGGAAATCATTAATAGGTATTGTTAGGCATTTAAGGCCTGGCACATTCTTTTGGCTGCTGGTGGTTTCTCCAGCTTTATTTGTTTCAGATTTTTAATTTTAAACTGATGTTCTCTGTTTCTCCTGACTCTGATATCTGATGTGGTTGAAATTAGCTTAATAACTGTTTTTTTTTTCTGCTTGGCAGCAAGACTCTGAACTTAACCTTCATGATTTTTTATGCAATATGCATTCAAGCCAGATCTGAATCTTTGTTTGTTGACCTCAGATGGCTCCCTGCTTCCTTTCTTTCCTTTCCCTCCCTCCCTTCTTTCCTTCTCCTCCCTCTCTCCTTCCCTCCCTCCCAGAATTTTCGGTAGCTGTGATTTAGTTCTACTTGATGATACGTACCAAGAACTAGATTCGGAGGGGACTCCATTTAGGTGACTGAGTTACAATACCCATTGCCTACTTTAAGCTGATCTTTAAGCTACTATAAATTGAAGACGCTTAATTGAGAAGGTCTTTATGTAACATGGCATTAGAATATTTGATTATGTAACCTTGCTGATTAATGTGAGGCTAGTGGAAGGCCATCCTGAGTGGTATATAGGTATAAAAGAAGCATGGGAAATGGAATGCACAAACACTTTCTGTACTTCTCTACCGTTTTTTCCCATCAGAGAGCGAACACAGAATCAGGGGCAGAGCCTTTACAGTTAGTGATTTATAGGACTCTACTAAATGACAGAAGCAGCAGAAATGCCGCAATAAAGACATGTGTTTTTACCGTAGAGAATAGTTCCTAAAAGTTCAAGTGTTAATTTAAAGCCAAGGTAGAGAGAAGGTGAGACATCATTAATTGTAGCTATATACTTAAGCCCTGTTCAGCCTTTTATCTGCTAGTGACACATTTTGCTTGTTGTGCATTGTTCTACTCTATGATAATAAACTATAATGTTGCTAAATCCTAAGCTTCCTTATTCCTATCTGGGAAAAACAAAGCTGCTTCTATTTCCTGTGCTTGTCACTTTAACTTTTTAATCTAGTACTTGTGTATTGTGTAAGAAATGGGTGAAAACACACGTCAGAAATTACAGTCATAGGGCTATCAGGCACTGAAAGAAGTCTTTAAAGTTTTCTAGGGTAGAATTTTTATCTTTAAACAATTGACAGACAAAACTAAGACTGAGGTATGTCTCTTAATTTTGTCTAGGAATATATCTTGGTTTTGGGATATCCATTCAAGCCAGATCTGAATCTTATCCATATTTTGGGAATATGGATTGCATTGTTTCCATTGATTGATTGAGAACTCAGCCTGACTTCTATAGTCTTAATATTTATTAATTTCATAAAATTAATCCTTTGGTTACTAAAAATATGAAAAGGAAATATGATTCTTATGAGTACATCAAATGGTTTACATTTTTATAGGTTGCTTTACTGGATATGACTTTTGCTTAATGAGGTTGGTCTGTTAAATGTTTTTTTTTTCCTCACAGAAGGTGATAAAGTACAATTTGAAGAATTTGCAAAAGTAGTAAAGAATATGCGTGATGCCTCCAGGTTAAAGGGTAAGTACTGAATTATTTGTAATGGTTAGATTTACTTTCATTGAAAGGACTTGTTTTTGTTTTTTAATGTTGTGTGTTCAGCTAATTTCTGGTTAACATGTTGGGACTGATATGTTTACATGCAGACAAAATTTGGTTTTGATTAAAAGTTGGCTGGCATATAGGAACTTGGTTTTGATTAAAAGTTGGCTGACAATAAGGATGAGCCTAGCCTCAGAGCACATTGACCTCTTAACTTCAAAAGGCCTTTATTTCTTTTCCAAAGTCATCTACACCAGTGGCTATCCTTAATCCTTATCATTACCTAGAATTGTCTATTCCACCTTTAAAATCTTAAACTACAATCTCAGACACTGACCATATTCCCTTAAAATTACACGTGTAGATATTGAAAGAAGGCATAGAACTTTATTCATACATGCCTATTCTTTTGGCTCCTTCAAGTTCTTCAAATAATCTAGAGACAGTATACCAGTTTTATCAGTTAGTAATGAAGGATACATTCTGAAAGCCAAGCTCCTATATGCTTGGCTTTCAGAATGTATCCTTGATTTCTTCCCTTTCCCTCCCTCTCCTTCCCTCCCTCCCTCCCTTCCTCCTTCTCTCTCCCAGAATTTTCAGTAGCTGTGATTTAGTTCTATTTGATTATACGTACCAAGAACTAGATTCGGAGGGGACTCCATTTAGGTGACTGAGTTACAATACCCATTGCCTACTTTAAGCTGATCTTTAAGCTACTATAAATTGAAGACAGTTAATTGAGAAGGTCTTTATGTAACATGGTCTTAGAATATTTGATTATATAACCTTGCTGATTGATGTGAGGCTAGGCTCATCCTTATTGTCATTGGATGAAAATGGGATGAGAGATAGAAGGAGGATTATGATCAAAGTGCCAAAATCTTCAGAGAATGTGAAGGAGTGACTAGACAGTAAATCAATAATGTTGTCAGGAGAGTGGCACAGTTGAATAACAGGCCTGAGCCTCAAGGGAGAAAATAAGGTTTAATTGAAGGTGAAACTAAAATGGCCTGACAGCAGCAGCAGAAAGATAGGAAAATGCTATTCTGCTTCCTGGTCCTACAGTCTGTGGAGCATGGGAAGATGAGCAGACTCCACTCAGGGTGGTTGTGCAAAAAAACTGTTTTTAAAGGAAATCAAGTGCTAAGGCAAAAAAGCAGAGCTGGTACAGTTTTTTTTGGGTGTCAGCAATTTCAGATTGCCATCTGTAGTTGCCTCCTAGTGATGCTAGGGAAACAGGAAGGTGAGGTAGGATATAAAGCTTAAACTGTGATTACTGTTTGCAGCTAGTTTCTGTTGGCTTTAATAATAATAGCAGTAAAATTAATTTTACTCTATAATTATGAAATGTATTGAGGCATTATTATATGCCTAATGCTGTCTTAAGTACTTTTTGTACATTATTATGTTTACTCTTCACATCAACCTTGTGAGGTAGATATTAGTATTATCCCATTTTAGATGAAAGAGAGGTTAAGTAGTAATAATTTGCTCACAGTTACATAGTTCCAGGTTACAAGTCCTGGAGCTAGAATTTGAATGTGGGTCTGACTTAACCAGGGCTGGAAATGAAGCAACATTTTAGATGCTAGGGTACAGTTGAGTCCTGGTGGAATTGAAAAGGATAACTTAATGAGCCCTTGTAAATCTTGTCCCATATTTTACATTTTTCATGATTCTGAAAGTTATTTTGCCTATATCTTGATGAGTTAATTTTGTTTGCTTCCATTAGAGGTCCATAGCAAAATACTTTGTATAATTGCAGTAAAAAAATCCACTATATGAGTGATTTTGGTTGTGCAAATTTTATAAAAGCACTAGATAAATATCATAGATCAAGAGAACCCTTTGCACATTGTGCTGCTGGTCATAGAATTCTATGAGGGCTGAATTTCTCTTGAGATTTCTTATTCCTCAGTTCAGGATGTAATAATAAACTATGGATTTCCACTAACAAATGTCTTGAGTGATGGCTGCTGGCTTTTGTTTTTTTAACAAGAGGTTAGTTTAATTATTAAATAACTTTTTTCTACTTGTAGAGTTACAAGAAGTTGTCTTAGCTGCTGATTTGCTTGAAGGTGACATGATAGCTGGGAAGAACTTGGAAGACTTTCTAAGAAATATTGGTATTAAGTCACCTAAAGAAGAGGCAGAGAAAATTCTTCAATCAGATTTTGTTTCTGGTAAGCATTTTAAATATTACTCTCAGAGTTTTGTTTTTTTTTTTTGTATGAATACCTATAAAGAAGATGTGCGAGGTCTATAGATATTTGCTTATATTACTATAAATGTAATCTTTGAAACGGAGCCTGTCTTCTTAATTTCCTCTTTCACAGTTATGAGAATACTTTTACGCAAGCAGGTCTACATTTAGTGGAAGTGGGCTTGTTAGAATCCTCTCTCCTCATTGCTATCTTGATTTAGTGAATAAAGAACATCTTAAGAATTCAAGTTCTGTGAATAGAAATCCTAGCTTTGCTACCTTGATCAAATTACTGCTCAAAGTTACTGGGGCTTTCTTTGTACTTCAGTTCCCATTGTAGGTAGAATCAGTTTCCATTGTAGGTATACTTAAAACACTGTAGGGTTATTGCAATGCTTAATGGATGGAAATGAATCTAAAATTACCTTGTAATTAAAATGTTCAAGAAATATGTAAGTTATATGCTGATTTTGATGCTAGGCTTTGAGTATTACTTTGTCCAGGGGTTCTCATTTGTCATCTCTTTCTTTTTGTTGCAGAAGATAACATGGTGAACATTAAAGACTGTATGAAGGCTTTGAGGGACACCCAGAAATTTTCCAATTATATTGGTAAGAGCTTTAAGGTAAAACTGTTAGAAGGCAACAATACAGAACTTATTCAAAGTTCATCTAGTAAAGCACTAAATTTGGTGTTTAAATCTTCTATATAGTATCTGTGCCAAATGTTTGTTTCATATGTACTTGAACACTTCCAGTTATGGGGAACTTCCTGCATTTTATTTTTAAATTTAAGAATTGTACATTTGTGATTGGAGATTGGAGAAAATGACAAGGTTATGATCTTTTCCAATAGTTAAAATAAGACACCTTTATTATATATGAATGAATAGTTCTTTTTAATGTTGTAAAAAATTTAAATGACCAAGAATGTAGTATAAAGTGCAATTCTTGTAACGTCACCCTCCAGAAATATCCCTATTAAGGTTTGGTAGGTATCCTTTTAGGCTTTCTTCTTTATATCTATTCATGATATTGCACAACTTGTGTGCAATATATGACAGTATATCTTGGATATAATTCTGTTCCACTGTATTATATAAACCTACCTCATTTTTTAAAAAAGACTGCCTAATATTCTACTAGAGGAATGTACTATAATTTTGTCTATAAAACTTTTAATAAACATTTAGGCTATTGCCATTTTTTACTATTAACAAACATGTGGTGAGTATCGTTGTACATATATCATTGTGCACATTGCACACAATTTTTCTGTAGGACAAATTCCTCAGCAGTGGACTTGCTGGGCCAAAGTATTTTTAGATGCAAACTTTTAACAAGCTACTGCCTAATTACCCTCCTAAAAATTTGTAGAAATTCACGTTTTTACTAACAGTGGTTATTATTTATTAAAAATTCTGATAGGAGCATTAATACTTTGTCTTACCCATTTCAGGTTTTTTCTAGTTTATTATTGATTTTTTGACTTTGTTTTTGGTGGATTGCTTTTTACCATCTTTTGTCTTATTTTGTCATTTTGGTAATTTGATTCTCATAGGAAATTTTAAATTTTATTGAGGTTTAAAATTACTTAGAATATTAGGACAGTTCTATGCACTTATAATTATTTCGATTTTTTGGTATATATGGTTATTTTCTCATTCTTAAATATACATATATATGTATATAAACAGAATATATATATTATATATAAATTTTATATATAATTATATATAATATATTATATATATTAAAACATATATTTTATATATGTTTCTTCTTTGTTTGCTACTGAATGTTCTATTATCTCTTTTTAAAGTACTAGCTCTTGGGTTTATCTTTAGTGTTTCTGTTTATATTTTAAAAATTAATTTCTGGTTTTATCTTTAGTAAGTTATTTATATTGTTCTCTTATGCTCATTTAATACCTTTTCTAATTTCTTATTTAAATTATTTATTTTCTTTTTTTTTTTCTTGCTGAGTAATCAATATGTTTAAGGTGGTCAATTTTCATTTTAGTGAAACTTTGATTTATTTGACAGTCTCTGACTTGTTAGGCTATTATTATTGTTATTTTATAAACATTTCCAGTTGCATTTTGATTTTCTCCTTGATGTGAGAGTTACTTAGGAGGAAACTTTAAATTTCAAAGCAATTTAAATGTCATTATTGCCTTAAGTTTGTTGTTTATATCTAGTTGTATTTTATTGTGGTCAGAGAATGAGGTCTATAATAGAGGGTTTGATAGTTCTCTAGTTCATTAGAGACAGAATTCCCTCAATCTTTGTATTTACTATTTAAAAATCAAAATCAAATTAGTTGGTTGCAGGGATAGGCTAGGTAAGGTAAATTCACTCATTTCACTCTTTGTCTTGGAAGTCCATATGACTTTTTCAAGTAGCTCATTCCATAATTTTGGACAGCTACAGAACTAGAAAATTATTTCACATATTTGGTGGAAATCCATTCCTGGAACCATATTTAACATTTGGACTCTTCCTGCCATTAATAGCCCTCCAGAAATGTCAAGATAACTCACATATTCTCATTCTTTCCCACTAAATTCATCTTCTCTCTAGACTCAAATATACTTTCAACTCTTCTTCATGACCTGTTTTTGAAACTTCTTACCAGTGACTAATGACTATATCATATAACAACATCCTGAGAGATGCCTTTTTAGAAATATACTTTGGAAATGTGAACTTCTAAAGTTTTTTTAAATCAAGGGAGGTCAGCCATGGTCTTCCTAGTTTAAATATTTGTTACTGCGCTAAACATAAGAGACTATGACGATTCTCTAAAATGTGTGAAGTTAGCAAGGGATGCAGGGAAGGAAAGAGAAAAATTGGCATTTAGGAAGAGTTGTGAGGAATGAAGAGGACTTTACTGAAATGTTGAGCTTATTGAGACAGTAACTAGAGAAACTTTAGCATACTTTTGCCTGTAGCAGAATAGCTCACCCCAAACCCAGACATTTAACAAATTAATTTTAAGAATAAAGAAAAGGGTTATTTTAAACTATTAGAGTTCCAAATAGAAAGCTATTGGAGTGGGGAAAAGTAGTTAAATCGGGTTATAGAAAATTATCACAGTAGAGAATGGACCACTCTGCACATTTAAATGGGCACATGGGGCTGGTGACTGCCTTATTGGACATTGTAGATCTCAAAGAGGCCATCAGTTTTGTTGTTATGCTCAAAAGATTTAGATCCATGTCCTGAATTACATGTTATTATGTATATTCTCTATTTGTAGCATTGAATGAGACTATCAATACATTGGACTCCATGAAAGAAAATTGTCAGTTTGACAAAGACAAAAATCCAGATGTACTTGAAAACACTGATAGGCTTTCTTTTACTGATGACATTCTTCAGGAAATAATGGGTGACTCCTTTGTTGATGGTGAGTTGATTTGGCAGATAACCAGCAGCTTGTATAAAAAATTTTCTCTGAATTTTATTTAGTTTTTTTTTTTTTAATTTAGGAAGGTCAGCCATGGGGTTCCTAGTACAAATGTTTTATATTACTGTTCTTCTAAATTTTTATCCAAGGATTTAAAACTATTTTACCAAGTACTAATTAAGTCTTAATACTTGGTCCCTAAATCACACCATTAACTTGTTGGACACTTTACTGTAGAACATATTTAGGTCTACACGTTATATGTGCCCACAGAGATTTAGTCATTACAGTATCAAGTTCCTTGGTGATCTGATGACCTGGATTGTAAAATTGGTCTCAGAGTATTTATATATTTTGTTGCATGGCTTTGAAGAATAATTTTATTTCAAAGTTAATCCTTCTCCTTTTATGTGTTTTAGAGAGGTCTTAATGGTTTTGTAACTTTCTGTTTTTGGGTGAAAGACCCTTTGAGAAGTACAGGTATTGTTGAAAAATTAAAATATGTTTATTTCTATAGCCAATTGTAAGTGTTGAGTTGGTTTTTACTTTATTTACAAAGAATTTACCTGATCCATCTATATACCCTCAACTTGGATGTACTGAGGTGGATTTTACCCCATATTTAGAAAGCCATTTCCTGGCCATACTGCCCAGAGTAATTTATAGATTCAATGCTATTCCCATCAAGCTACCATTGACTTTCTTCACAGAATTAGAAAAAAACTACTTTAGATTTCATATGGAACCAAAAAAGAGTCCGCATAGCCAAGACAATCCTAAGCAAAAAGAACAAAGCTGGAGGCATCACACTACCTGACTTCAAACGATACTACAAGGCTACAGTAACCAAAACAGCATGGTACTGGTACCAAAACAGATATATAGACCAATGGAATAGAACAGATACCACAGAATAACACCACACATCTACAACCATCTGATCTTTGACAAACCTGACAAAAACAAGCAATGGGGAAAGGATTCCCTATTTAATGAATGGTGTTGGGAAAACTGGCTAGCCATATGCAGAAAACTGAAACTGGACCCTTTCCTTACAATTTATACAACAATTAACTCAACATAGATTAAAGGCTTAAATATGAGACCTAAAACCATAAAAACCCTAGAATAAAACCTAGGCAATACCATTCAGGACATAGGCATGGGCAAAGACTTCATGACTAAAACACCAAAAGCAATGGCAACAAAAGCCAAAATTGACAACTGGGATCCAATTAAAGAGCTTCTGCAAAGCAAAATATCATCAGAGTGAACAGGCAACCTGTGGAAAGGGAAAAAATTTTCGCAATCTATTCATCTGACAAAAGCCTAATATCCAGAATCTACAAGGAACTTAAACAAATTTACAAGAAAAAAACAACCCCATCAAAAAGTGGGCAAAGGATATGAACAGACATTTCTCAAAGGAAGACATTTATGTAACCAGCAAACTTATGAAAAAGAGCTCATCATCACTGGTCATTAGAGAAATGCAAATCAAAACCACAATGAAATACTATCTTACACCAGTTGGAATGGTGATCATTAAAAAGTCAGGAAACAACAGATGCTGGAGAGGGTGTGGAGAAATAGGAACGCTTTTATACTGTTGGTGGGAGTGTAAATTAGTTCAATCACTGTGGAAGACACTGTGGCTATAGCCTGGCATGGTGGTGCATGCCTGTAGTCGTAGCTACTTGGGAGGCTGAGGCACGAGAATGCTTGAATCTGGGAGGTAGATGTCATAGTGAGCTGAGATGATGCCACTGCACTCCAGCCTGGGTGAGAGAGCAAGACTCTGCCTCAAAATAAATAAATAAATAAAAAGTATGATCAAATCCCTCATTGCCCCCCACCTCACACCAGGGAATATTTGGCAATATCTAGAGACAATGTTGGTTATCACAACTGATGGGAGAGTACTACTGGCATCTAGTGAATAGAGGTAAGGGTTCCTTACCTGAGGAATCCAAGATTCCTCAAGGATCTAGAACCAGAAATATCATTTGACCCAGCAATCCCATTACTGAGTATATACTCAAAGGGTTATAAATCATTCTGCTTTAAAGACACATGCACATGTATGTTTACTGCAGCACTATTTACAATAGCGAAGACTTGGAACCAACCCAGATGCCCATCAATGATAGAATAGATGAAGAAAACGTGGCATATATACCATGAAATACTATGCAGCCATAAAAAGGATGAGTTCATGTCCTCTGCCAGGACATCGATGAAGCTAGAAACCATCATTCTCAGCAAACTAACATAGGAAGAGAAAACCAAACAGTACATGTTCTCACTCATAAGTGGGAGTTGAACAATGAGAACACATGGACACAGGGAGGAAAACATCACACACCGAGGCCTGTGGGAGAGTAGGAGGCTAGGGTAGGGACAGCATTAGGAGAAATACCTAATGCAGATGATGTGTTGATGGGTGCAGCAAACTACCATGCCTGTGTATACCTATGTAACAAAGCTGCACATTCTGCACATGTATCTCAGAACTTAAAATATAATAATAAAAAAAGTAATTTCCTGCCTTTAAATTTAGCTTCATCTAAAAAATGTAATCAGGCTGGGGGCAGTGGCTCACACCTATAATCCTAGCACTTAGGGAGGTCAAGGCAGGCAGATCACCTGAGGTCAGGAGTTTGAGAACAGTCTGGCCAATGTGGCGAAATCCCATCTCTACTAAAAAAAATACAAAAATTAGCCTGGCATGGTGGTGCATGGCTGTAGTCGTAGCTACTTGGGAGGCTGAGGCACGAGAATGCTTGAATCTGGGAGGTAGAAGTCATAGTGAGCCGAGATGATGCCACTGCACTCCAGCCTGGGTGAGAGAGCAAGACTCTGCCTCAAAATAAATAAATAAATAAAAAATATGATCAAATCCCTCATTGCCCCCCACCTCACACCAGGGAATATTTGGCAATATCTAGAGACAATGTTGGTTATCACAACTGATGGGAGAGTACTACTGGCATCTAGTGAATAGAGGTAAGGGTTGCTGCTAAACATCCTACAATTTACAGATAATACCCTTGCCCCCAAATAATTACCTGGCCAAAAATATTAATAGTGTCTAGGTTCAGAGATCTTGTTTTAGAGTTATCATATAAAATTGCCCAAACCTACTATTTTAAGAGTACTTTTTATAGGTTAGTTGTTTTGTTCATCCTGCTTAAAACAAAAACACAAAGCAAATATAATTTATGTATATTTTAATCTCTGTTTGTTTCAAGGTAATACCTGGGCTGAGTTATTCTAAACTGTTCTTTAAGTACAGTAGGGTCCATCTATGCAAATGAACAGATTTTATTTCTGTTCCTCAGATCTCTATACCAATTTGCATCTCGGTAGGAAGTGTGTGGGGTGAATGGGTATAACTGTAACTTGTCCTTAGGAAAAATTCTAGGATTAGGTAGTAGATAGGTAGGTAAGAGATCAAAAAGGACAGTGTAGACCAATAATTAAGCATTTTATTGAACAGATAGGCTGGGGATTAACTTGTCCCTTTAGGGAGAAAGGAAGCATTTGTGACATTAGAAACTGCCACATTTAAGGAGTTAGTGGAAGATAACCATGAGAGAGCCTAAGAAGTAAGCAAAGAATGAGGGGAGAATGGATATTTTGGGAGCCAGAGAACAATTTTTGAGAAGAGAATGGTCATTGATGATAAATGTTAGTGGGAAAAGAAGTATTCAGTCTGTCCATTGGTTTTCTTTTAAACCTGGGTAAGATCAGGATGCCATTCCTCATTGTATAATCTCTCTCTCTGTAAATTTGCAGGTTTTAGGAAAGAGGCTTCAGATCTAAAATTACCAACGGTAAATGGTGAGTAAGAACTTTGTATATGAGAAAGATTTCAATAATAAGAGATATTTTTTTAGAATAATTGCCAAGTACCAATGTATTTCTACTTTTTCCTGCCTACTTCACCCTGATTACTATTTTTCCACAATAGAAATCTGATCATGTTACCTCCCCCTATTTATAACTCTTTAAACATTTCCTGTTGTTATTAGGATAAAGATTAAAATCCTCCATGCCCTATCTCTCTAGCATTATTTTGTACCATTATCCTTGCTTTGTGTACTTCAACTAAATTGACTTAAGTTTCTTACTCTCCTTTCCGCTCACCACAAGACTTTTGCATATTCTATTCCCTGGAATATTCTTCCCTGATCCTCTTCGCCTACTGTTGTAATCCATTTTGTGTTGCTATAACAGAATACCACAGACTGGATGATTTGCTTAAAAAAAAAGAAAAATATATTTATTTCTTATATTTCTAGAAGCTAGGAAATCCAAGGTCAAGAGGCCCACATCTAGTGAGGGCTCTCTTGCTGTGTCATCCCATGGTAGAAGGCAGAAGGGCAAGAAAGTTTGAGAGAGCAACAGAGCAAGAGGAGACTGAACTTACTTTTATAACAAGCCCACTCTTGCAATAACTGAATCACTGACATTAATTCATTCATGAGGGCAGAACCTTTGTGACTTAACCTCCTCTTATTAGGCCCCACCTGTCTACACTGTTGAATTGGGGATTAAGTTTCCAGCACATAAACTTTGGGGAACACAATCAAACCATAGCATTACACCCCTGGCTCTCAAAATTGATGCCCTTTTTACATGCAAAATACATTCATTCCATCTGAATAGCCCCGAAAGTCTTAACTTGTTCCTGCATCACTCAAAGGTCCAGATTCCAGAGTCTCATCTTAATCAGATGGGTAAGACTCAAGGCACAATTTATCTTGAGGCAAATTCTCCTCCAGTAGTAGGCCTGTGAAATTAGCAAGGTACATGCTTCTAAAACACATAGGCATAGGATAGACATATCCATTCCAAGAGGGCGAAATAAGTGAAAAGAAAGGGATAATTGGTCCCAAGTAAGTCTGAAGCCAAAAAGGGAAAACAACATTAAGTCCTAAAGCTGGAAAATAATCTCTTTTGACTCTATGAGTCAATTATAGAAAAGCCTATTATCAGTGGCTACTATAGGTCACTTTTTTTTGTTTCCTTTGTTATATGCTCCTATTAAACTGTGTCCATTTCATAGCACTTAATTCATATTATAAATATCTGTTCATGTTTTTGACTATTTGATTAATATCTCTTCCTCACACTTACCTTTACCTGGTATCATTGGGTCAAGAACTGTGTCTCCACTTTGCTTACCATTGTATCTCCAGGACTTAGCACAGTCCTGGCTGTTATTAGACTCTTAAAGATAACTAATACTAGCATCTGATACTTATGTAATATTTACTATGCTACGTATTGTTCCAAATCTTTTGTTATTAACTCATAATTGTAAATAATTATTGAATGAATGACTGAATAGATCTGTCTTCTTATCTCTTCAGCCTCACCTTTTATTACTTCTGCATTTGTATTTATCCTGTAGCCACACTACTTAGCACAACTTAAATTGGCACTATTTGCTTTTTTATTTACATGTACTGTTTCCTTTGGATGCATTCCCTGACAGACAAACTAACATTACCCCCCCAAAACTCAGCTCAAATGTCATTTCTCATGCCATAAGACTGCCTTCTCAGTATTCATCACTTATTAAATCTAGGTTAGGTGAATTGTCACACTGCTTCCATAATTTTGTATGTGTATTTTTCTCAAATCACTTACTATATAATATATTATAATTTTGTGTATAGATATGACAGGTTTATTCTCTCTCATCAAGGAACTTACAAACTCTTTGACAAGAGAGACTGAATTTTTTTATTGTTGATCTTAGAAGCTGTAAAGTAATTGTTAGTAGAATGAATATAGGTCTAAGATGATATTATGGTGTTCTTTCCAAGTGACCTCCATGAAGGTTTAGATCTCCTGGTGTAATGCAACAATTTTCAGAATATGGAAACATAGACAACTTCATTTGGGGGTTGAGGGAAAAATGGATTGAGAAATGGTATGAATGAAAAATTAGGCTGGATGTGGTGGCTTACACCTGTAATCCCAGCACTTTGGGAGGCCGAGGCAGGAGGATCACTTGAGCTCAGAAGTTCGAGACCAGCCTGGCCAACATGGCAAATCCTTGTCTCCACTAAATATTAAAAAAAAATTACCTGGGCATGGTGGTATGCACCTGTAATCCCAGCTACTCAGGAAGCTGAGGCAGGAGAATTGCTTGAACCTAGGAAGTAGAGTTTGCAGTGAGCCGAGATCGCACCACTGTACTCCAGCCTGGGTGACAGAATGAGACTCCATCTCTAAATAAATAAATACATACATACATACATACGAGATAATGATTATGTTTTATATTTTAAATTGATGTGAGATCAACAGGACTGCCCCATTTGGTTATATGGGTTGTGCTTTGCATATAGGTGCCTGGTTGAGAGAGCACAAGTGGAGGTTGAAATACTCCAAGCTTTGAACCTCTGTGCTGGATTGCAGTTGCCTAGTGAAACTGCCCTTTTTTGTAACTGATGCATAGAGAAGAGGTGTCTTTTTCCAATTTACACAAAAGCATAATATGAACTATCCCAGGCCCTGGGCTCAGAAGCTTCAATCTCTAATTTTAGCCTTTATTTATATCATCAGCTTATAGAAATCCTTAGACCTACATGTACAGGGCATAACTATTACTTAAGGGAGGCATACAGCTCATTCAGTTTTTAATGGATGAATGAATGAAGATAAAGTCTTATTATAATATATGTCAATAACCCATCATATTATTCTCTTAGCCATAAAATGTTTTTGTTTCGAATGCTGCTTGAGGGAAATGGGCCATCAGTTACAAATAGCAAATATTGTGTTTCCTTTGGAGAGATTTTGGTTCAGACAATATTTAATTTGAGGGTTTACCTATAGTAAATTTTGGACAAATTATTTTGAATGTTTTTTACACTATAATATCTTGTGTACATTTATCTTTGTAGAGATTAAAGAAGCCGCTTACATCTTGTCACATGTTGATAATGCCAAGATTGGTATACCTGACTTGGAGCATGCCTTAAAATGTTTGAATGTTAATTTAACTGAGGAAGACTTCAAGGAAGCCCTTAACTGTTGTAACATCAGTGGTGAGCAGTTTTTGGCCTGAGATTCTTTTCATTTTTTTCCTACTTATGAAAAATAGTCTTAGAGAGTAAGATGCTAAAGGGAATCATTTTTCTGTTGGAGGCTTAGGTTGATACAAATTAGAGCCAAACCAGTGTACTAATTTAAATATTCATTGAACTTATCTATCTATTCATACTCATATGGATACTGTATATGCTTATTTAGATAATTACCATTCATTACTTATAAGCATGTGTGGAAAAATACCATAAATTGTATATATAATAAAATAAAGACATGACAACAGCAGCTTATTTTGATATACAATCTTTTTCAGAGTAGGTCTGCTTTAATTTTTTTTTTTACAGTACTTGTTCTGTTTTTATTTTTAACCATATGAAATATCTGAGAGCTCACTACATTTTAAAATAAGTCATTTAGTTTTAGTCATTGTTTTCAAGTAGTCCATATTTACCTCGTTTTCTGTCTTTGACTTCATGTAGTATGTACTTGATTGCCTTTCCTATACACATTTACTTTTAGGAAGTCAAATCATTTGGGACTACTTCTAGAAGCCGCTGAGTTCTGTTGGTTTTAGGTGAACATTTATTTTGGGCTTATCTTAACCAGTTTGTGTCTTTGGGAATCCTGTGAGTCCTAGGTTTAAGAATATCTCTCCAGAACAGTCTAGTTATTGATTTTCTCAGGTTCCCTAGATTGTTATTCACCTAGATCAATTTTTATTTTTTGACCTTAGTTTTCTAACATCATCAGAGTGGTATAAATTTAGACTTCCCACCTACATGAGATGCATTTTGGGCCTTCAATTTCTCACAAGAGATTTTTTTTCCCACTTTCTCTCAGAATTGGGAAGATTTAGGCCTTCTTGTTTACTTGAGCCAATAAATATAATATTTTAATTTCTTTTTTTAAAACCAAGATTGAAACCCTTTAAGCATTTCAGTTTTATTTGGTATCTAAGTTCCCACTCTTATTTATATGGGCTTGAATCTTTTTTTATGACTCTGTATGAGCATTTAAATCAAGCACCTAGCCATTTCTGGGTCTCATCTCTATCCCCAAGATAGTTTTAGTGTTAGTACTCAGTGCTTAGCATTCTGGATCTCAGTTCCTGGTTAACTTTTTGTTATTTCCTTCATATGACTCAGTCACACATCCATGGAATGTTATATGTTATAGAGCATCTCTAGGGGTTTGTAGTCAGATGGTTTCTGCCCTACCCAGGTCTGCCTTTTTGTTTAAACTCAAAGTCTCCTTAATATAACTATAGCCCTAGATTGTCTACTGTGTCACATTATTGCACCTTACTTCACTTGTGACTCTGTGTGTGTGTGTGTGTGTGTGTGTACAATATCTACATGTGCATGTATGTGTGTATTCTAATAACATTGTCTCCTCTGGCCTTAGACTGCATCAATTCAAACACAATCCCTAATACTTCCCGACTTTGTGACCTGGACAAGTTATTTAATTTCCATTTACTTTCATCTTTTAAAAATAGACATGTAAAGAATATCCACATCATAGAATTATTGTGAAAATTATCTGATTTAATATATGTAAAACACCATGCAAGGGTGCCTAGTATATATAAGGAACTCAAAAATGTTAGCTATTGTTTGCTGGTAATATTATTAACTATTCACTGGGTAGCTTATAAAAGTGTTAAAAGTTCTATTGAAATAGTTTCAGTCATTTGAGACAGAAAAGTGAGCTAGAGTGAAATTTTAGCTCTTTAGAGTGAAATAAATCCGTCTTTATTTCATGTGCCAATTCAGTATCAGGTTTTTAATGGCAGCATGTTTGTCTTTGACCTTCCAGATAATATGGAGGTGGATTTAAAAGATTTCTTAATGAAAATGAAAGAAAGTCCATATTTCCAAAAGTCCAAGGGTAAGTGAATATTTCTTGTTCAAGAGAGTGGCTAGAAAATACATATTAATAAATGACATTTAAAAATCACTATCTGGATTTCAGGTTTTAAATTTTTAGCCTCTCTAGTTTTAAAAAGGATTTCAAGCCACTTATGCTGTATAATATAAGTAATATAATAATATAAAAATAAGTGAAGAAACTTGGGCAAAGATATAATGAAGTGGAAAATAAGGCAAGGTTAAAAAGATTCATATTAAGTGCCTTTACTATTATTGCAAGGTCCTTTCCCAAAGGTAGTTAGATTTTTCTTAATTCAAGAACTTCTGGATCTGTGAATTAAATCATGTGTGGAATTGGATGAGGTGCCATCAGTTTTTGTTGTGTCATCTTAAGTCATGCCTCTGGAGTTTTCAGGTGTACGCAACTGGACTGCCCATCTATATCAGTTATAGAAATCCTAACTTCAGTTAATAAGTCCTTCTAAATCCCTGCAGTATCAATCCATGTATTACCATACTATCGATGTTGCCTAACCACATCATTTTGCCCTTGCTATTTAAAGACTTCTGCTTGGCCTCTGTCCCTGAGGTTCATCTTATTCTTTTTGAAATTAGGGAGGCCATTTCAACACCAACATATTTTCCTAACTCCTAAGTCTGTAAAGAACTCCTACCAAAGAACTCTTCATGGATGCAGACACCCTTATCAAAGATGTATTTCTAAATGCTTTGGTGAAGCAAATGTCCTTATCTCACATTTTTTACATTTTAATATCTCTAAAATTGGATGCCTTATAATATTTTTAATCAGATGTAGCTTTTAAAATTGAGAAATAATTTATATACCATTAACTTCACCCTTTTAAAGTGTACCGTTCAGTGATTTTTAGTATATTCAGAAAGTTGTACAACCATCACCAGTTTCTAATTCTAAAACATTTTTATGACCCCAAAAGAAATTATGTACCTGTTAGCAGTTATTCTCCACTCCCACCTCTCTCCAACTACTGACAACCACTAATCTACTTTCTGTATGAATTTGCTTGTTTTGAACATTTTATATAAATGTAATCATATTGTATTTTTTTGAGTCTAATTTTTTTTTACATAGCATATGCTTTCTTTCTTTTTTTTCAACTTTTATTTTAGATTCAGTGGGTACATGTGCAGGTTTGTTACCTGGGTATATTGTATGATGCTGAGATTTGGGATATGAATGATCCCATCACCCAGGTACTGAGAATAGTATGCAATAGTTAGTTTTACAACCCTTTCCCCTCCTACCTCTCCCCTCCTCTAGTAGTCCCAAGTTTCAATTGTTGCCATCTTTGTGTTCATGAGTACCCCACGTTCAGCTCATGCTTGTTAAGTAAGAACATGCAGTATTTGATTTTCTGTTTCTGTGTTAATGCACTTAGGATAATGGCCTCCAGCTACATCCATGCTGATAGCATATATTTTCAAAATTCGTTTATATTATATTGTGAATTAGTACAATTGACTGTTGAACAATGTGGGGGTTAGGGGCACCTTGTAGATAATATGTAGGTGGATTTAAAAGATTGCTTAATGAAAATGAAAGAAAGTCCACATTTTCCAAAGTTCAAGGGTAAGTGGATACTTTTGCTTCAAGAGAGTGGCTGGAAAATGAGTGGCTACACAGTCAAAATTTTATGTATAATTTCAGACTCCCTCGAAACTTAATTACTAATAGTCTACTGTTGACTGGAAGCCTTATCAATAACATATATGATTGATTAATGCATATTTTTATGATTAATGCATATTTTATATGCATATGCATATATATATATTACTGTTTCTTACAATAATGCAAGCTAGAGAAAAGAAAATATTATTAATAAAATCATAAGGGAGATAGAATATGTTTACTCTTCATTAAGTGCAAGTGAATCATCATCCTCATCCTCATGATCTTCAAGTTGAGTAGGAAGAGGAGGAAGAGAAGTTGGTTTTGCTATCTCAGGAGTGGGAGAGACAGAAGAGGTGGAGGAGGTGGAAGAGGAGGCAGAAGAGGCAAGGACACTTGGTTTAACTTTATGGAAATACATCATACTTTCTGTCTGACATTTTTGGCTTTTCATTTCTCTAAAAATGTTCTCTATGATACCAATCTTTTGCTTTAGTTTCAATGTCCATATCATAGAAGGGTTCATGTCATAAAAAAAGTCGAAGCAGCCTTGAATAACTGGAACCGTTTTACCAGATTGTCTAATGTCAATTTGTTTCCTGGCATTGCTTCTTATATGTCTTCTTCCTTATCATCTGGCACTGTTTGGAAGCACTCACCTCTATCAAGCCACCTTCAGTTAATTCCTCTGGTGTTGTGTATATGAACTCTTGAATTTCTCCCAATAGCCATATCTTGAAACCTTTCATCCTTCATCTTTTTTTTCTCACCATATCCATAATCTCTTTTATGATCTCCTTGTTTAGCTCTGTTATAAATACTGTGAAGTCATATACAACATCTGGACACAGCTTTCTCCATTGGGAGTTTATTGTTTGGGGCTTGATGTGGCATCCTACTGAAGCCTTTCATGTTGTTCTCTCTGTCAGGGTTCTCTTCCACAATGTTGATAATTATTTCCATACATGTGTAATGAGCCTTTAAAGGTTCTTTTGACCCCCTAATGTAGAAGCTGATGTCATGTTTGGGGGTAAAGATACCACTTCGACCCTTTTGGTGTTGAATTCATAGGGTTTCGGGTGACTAGAGGCATTGTCCAATATCAAAAGAACTCTAAAAGGCAGTCTTTTCCTTGCTTCAGGGGCAAAGCATTGATGAAACCAATCCAGAAAAGGCATTTTGGTTGTCCAAAACTTCTTGTTACCCAATTAAAAGATGGGAGCAGGTGTTTATCTTTTCTTTTCAAGGCTTGAGGGTTAGTAGCTTTACAGATAAGGACAGTCCTGATTTTAAACCTAACTACATTTGCACAAAACATTAAAGCTAGCCCACCCTTCTTAAATCCTGGTACTTGTTTCTCCTCCTTACTAATAAATGTCCCTTGTGACATTATTTTCCAGAATAGAGCACTTTTGTCTGCATTAAAAATGTGTTCTGGGATATATTCTTTCTCCTCAATAATTTTCTTTTTTTTTTTTTTTGGGGACGGAGTTTCGCTCTTGTTACCCAGGCTGGAGTGCAATGGCGCGATCTCGGCTCACCGCAACCTCCGCCTCCTGGGTTCAGGCAATTCTCCTGCCTCAGCCTCCTGAGTAGCTGGGATTACAGGCATGCGCCACCATGCCCAGCTAATTTTTTGTATTTTTAGTAGAGATGGGGTTTCACCGTGTTGACCAGGATGGTCTCGATCTCTTGACCTCGTGATCCACCCGCCTCGGCCTCCCAAAGTGCTGGGATTACAGGCTTGAGCCATCGCGCCCGGCCTCTCCTCAATGATTTTCTTAATGGAGCCTGGAAACTCGTCCATTGCCTCTTGGTCAGAAGAAGTTGCTGCTTCTGTTATCTTGAGATTTTAAAAGCCAAATATCTTTCTAAAATTATCAAGCCATCCTTTGCTGGCATTAAATTCTCCAGCTTTAGAGCCTTCACCTTTCTTTTGCTTTAAGTTGTCATATAATAAGTTTACTTTTTCTTGAGTCATATTAGAGTCTATGCTTGTGTCTTTCTTTTTTTACTAATATTTTCTGTTTTAAATTATACTTTAAGTTCTGGGGTACATGTGCAGATCATGCAGCTTTGTTACATAGGTATACACACGCCATGATGGTTGTTTGCTGCATTCATTGCCCTGTCATCTACATTAGGTATTTCTCCTAATGCTTTCTTTCTCCAATCCACCTACCCCGTGCTATTTTTCCCCTAGTCCCCCATCCCCCCAGGCCTTGGTGTGTGATGTTTCCCTCCCTGTGTCCATGTGTTCTCCTTGTTCAACACCCACTTATGAGTGAGAACATGCAGTGTTTAGTTTTCTGTTCTTGTAACAGTTTGCTAAGAATGATGGTTTCCAGTTTCATTCGTGTCCCTGCAAAGGACACAAACTCATCCTTTTTTATGGCTGCATAGTATTCCACAGTGTATATGCCACATTTTCTTTATCCAGTCTATCATTGATGGTCATTTGGTTTGGTTTCAAGTCCTTGCTATTGTGAACAGTGCCACAATAAGCATATGTGTGCGTGTGTCTTTGTAACAGAATGATTTAGAATCCTTTGGGTATATACCCAGTAATGGGATTGCTGGGTCAAATGGTATTTCTATTTCTAGATCCTTGAGGAATCGCCACACTGCCTTTCACAATGGTTGAATTAATTTACACTCCCACCAACAGTGTAAAAGTGTTCTTATTTCTCCACATCCTCTCCAGCATCTGTTGTCTCCTGATTTTTTAATAAGCACCATTCTAACTGGCATGAGTGTGAGGTGATATCTCAATGTGGTTTTGATTTGCATTTCTGTAATGACCGGTGATGATGAGCTTTTTTTCATATGTTTGTTGGCTGCATAAATGTCTTCTTTTGAAAAGTGTCTGTTCATGTCCTTTGTCCACTTTTTGATGGGGTTATTTTTTTCTTGTAAATTTAAGTTCCTTGTAGATTCTGGATATTAGCCCTTTGTCAGATGGGTAGATTGCAAAACCTTTTTCCCATTCTGTTGGTTGTTGGTTCACTCTAATCATAGTTTCTTTTGCTGTGCAGAAGCTCTTTAGTTTAATTAGATCCCACTTGTCTATTTTGGCTTTTGTTGCCATTGCTTTTGGTGTTTTAGTCATGAAGTTCTTGTCTATGCCTATGTCCTGAAAGGTACTGCCTAGGCTTTCTTCTAGAGTTTTTATGGTGTCATGCCTCATGTTTAAATCTTTAATCCATCTAGAGTTAATTTTTGTATAAGGTGTAAGGAAGGGATTTTTCTCAGCTTTCTGCATATGACTAGCCAGTTTTCCCAACTTTTCTTTTTTTAAGAAATTCAGTGATGTAAATTGAATTTTATGCCTTAAATATTTCACATTTTAAAAAGTTGTATAGGTTTAGTATCATAAGAGCTTAATGGATAAATAGCCTTATTATATGATGTGGATGACTATGGCAATTACTGGCCCTGGAAAATTAGATATGTTCTCTTATTCTCAGTTTTCTTTTCCTCAAAATAAGGATAATAATGTCTATATCATATGACAGTTGTAAGAATTAAATAAGAGCATTTCCCTCTAGTACCTACTGATTAAAAATTTACAAAGTCAGAGATGCAAATTGTAAATATATCACAGTTTTTATTCAATCAGTAGATTTCCTTTTCTAAAATTCAGTGCTGTAAATTGAATTTTATGTCTTCTATATATTACATTTTAAAAAATTGAGTAGGTTCAGAATTAGGAGAACACGGTTGGAAAATAACTTTGTTTTATGGCATAGGTTACCATGGTAATTACTGTCTGGGTGGTACTGGAAAAATTATTCAAGTTTTCTTATTATCCTTTTAGAATATCAGTGGAATCTGAAACACATTTTGTTTTTATATCCAGGCATTGGAATCCTTTACATTAACATGGCATAGTTGGGTCCATTTTGTGTGCTAGTTTCTTTAGAATCAGATCTTCGTAGTGTTAATTTTTTTTTTTTTAAAGAAGAGAACCTTAATGCTGAAAAGGATATAAGGCTAATAATGCTTTTATAGAAGTTGTAAGAATTGAGACCATGCCTCTGTATTAGGTAGATTAAAAAGTTGCAGACTCACGTGTGTGAAAATGTAATTATGTCACAGTTTTTGGTTAAATCAGTGGTCAGGGTTTAATTAATAGTATTATGACTATCCAAATTAGCTCATTGATGAGTCAGTAGTCATCCCATTACCTCCATGCCTCTTTCCATGTGCCATCTGTCCCCTCCCCTTTCTCCTGGAGTTAACAATTATCTTTTTTAAAAACGCTTATATTTTCCTATAAACCTATTACTTTTTCCAATATGTTTCAGACAAAATATTTTGTACTGTACTTGTAACTTTTCTGAGAGTTTGTCATTGTTTAGAAATAAAAAAATGTTTAAAAGCTTTTTAGAAAAAAGGGTTGCAAATTGGTGGTGTGTGTATATGAAAAACAACATTATAGTCATATTTTAGGTACCTGGATATTTTTCTCCTACTGACTGGTTGTATGATGTTGCATAGGTAATTTCACTTCTTGGACTTTAAACATTTCTGACAAAATCATATTTGAAATGTTAGTCAAACATTGACTATGATTTTTGAAATCATAATAAGAAGTTTGAATATTAACATTTTCAAAATACTCAAACACAGTTTTATGTACTTTAGATGCTCTGATTTGGATTGTTTCTCCCCTACACCTGGTAAACAGCTGTCATCCCTCTCTTTAGTAGTATTCTATGGCTCACGTGTTTCCTGAATTCCTGTCGTGATTTACTCCCTTATTTTACTGAAGCACATTTTCTTTTTTTTTTTTTTTTGGGACGGAGTTTCGCTCTTGTTACCCAGGCTGGAGTGCAATGGCGCGATCTCGGCTCACCGCAACCTCCGCCTCCTGGGTTCAGGCAATTCTCCCGCCTCAGCCTCCTAAGTAGCTGGGATTACAGGCACACGCCACCATGCCCAGCTAATTTTTTGTATTTTTAGTAGAGACGGGGTTTCACCGTGTTGACCAGGATGGTCTCGATCTTTTGACCTCGTGATCCACCCGCCTCGGCCTCCCAAAGTGCTGGGATTACAGGCTTGAGCCACCGCGCCCGGCCTTGAAGCACATTTTCTATTAGGTTCCAAAATAAAACACCATGAGGATATAATTTTTGAGTCTTTGAATGCTTTCCAATATCTATATTTTACCTTATCTTCTTTGATTATTTGGCCAGGTATTAAATGTTAAATTTCTAATATATTTCTTATCATGCAATAGTTGCCTTATAAATGGAAGATAGTATTATTGTTGCAACAGATTGGAGCAGGGTTTGTCCTCTTATATCCAGCCAGCTATAATTTCTATTTCACCTATAAATTATTTTATTTATACAATATTCTCAACTGGGGCCAGTTTGACTAAAAACTGGAGGAAGAAGCTACTCATGTCAACAAAGGGCTGAAGTAATTATTTTTCACAATATTAATATCCAGTTTCTTATAACAAAATTATGCTTATACATTATTCATTAGTTTAATCATTTCGAGGTAACATAACTTTAAGTTAAATAATGAAAGACTGTTTTGATTTAAAGTTTACTTGTGTTGTTTCACAATGATTTCAGGGCCACATATGAAGTAATATGTGGCTTAAGGGATAAAGGTTGACTACCTATATGTTTCTACTTGAAGAGCACAGTGGTTAAAATGATGGGCTTTGGAACTATAGGGTCTGTACTTAAATTCTGTCCTTGCCACTCACTACCAATGTATTATTTAGTAAATAACTTAATCTTGCTAACCTCAGTGTTTTCATCTGAAAAACGGGGAGGATAATGCCTTTCTTGGGATTATTACAGTATAAGGACATTTGCAGTTTGAAAAAGTATAATTGTTGAGAACAGTGCCTAGCACTTAGTAAGTGCCCTGTGACTGTTATCTATTATAATAAACTCTGGTTTTTAAAGCTATAAAAATAGTTCCATGTAAAATTATAGAATCAGATCTTCATATTTTATGCAACCTGAGGCTACTAAGTGATAACTAATAACATATACTCTATTTCTACTGTTGAAACATTTGCTTTTGCTCTCTTTTTTGCAGCTACACAGATACTCCTAGCTACTGCCCAAATTCTCCAGAATGATCTAATTGATGTCTCTGACCTCAAGACGTTATTAATGGACAACGACCTTCATACAGCTAATGCTGTACTTACTGTAATGTTAAGACATGTACCTGAACATGGTTAGTAGTTTCAATGCATCTATCTTATAAAAACCATCCTCTACCAGGGGAAGGTCTATGGGTAGGACATGCAGGGCTAGAGGGTTACCTGTGGAAGCTGCAGTGGGATGTCTGCGAGACACTGGTGCTGCCCCTACAGGTGTGCCAACCCTGAGCTTCATGGGGGCCAAACAAATGGGGAAGTCAGAGCTCATCTTATCCCTGTGTGAGTCTAATGATGGTACTTAGGAGGTGAGATTATTTTGTGAAGTGACTGGCACAGGCAGTGGTCAATCAGAATGCCTTCTATGTAGTAAAACAGGATCCTGGAGGCCTTTTTGGCTTTTGGAAGCTAAATTATGGTGATATCCAGGGTTACTGGTGGGTGTTGCACATGGTGGCTCAGGAAAGCAGATATTTATAAATATAAAAAATAATTTTAGTATTTTAATGACTGTTACAGCTGAATATTATCCATGATACATTCTTACAATGAGTTGGGGTGTATTCTTTTTTCCTATTTTTTAGAAGAGACTATTTTCTTCCTTGAATGTTTAGTAGAATTCATAAATTCATAAATTATTGATTTAATGTCTTTAGGATTAAAGATATTAGGATTATTGGTCTGTTCAGGGTATTTAATTCTTCCTGATTTAAGCTAGGAGGGTTGTATTTTTTCAGGAACTTATCAATCTTTTCTAGGTTTTCTGATTTCCATGTGCAAGGGTGTTCATAGTAGCATTGAATGATCTTTTGTATTTCAGTGCTGTCAGTTGTAATATCTCCTGTTTCATTTCTTAGTGAGGTTATTTGGACTTTCTTCTTTTTTTGGTTGATCTTGCTAGTGGTCTCTCAATTTTATTTATCTTTTCAAAGAAGCAGCGTTTTGTTTCATTTATCTTTTGTATTTTTGTTTTGTTTTGTTTTGTTTCAATTTCATTTAGTTCTGGTCTGATCTTGGTTATTTCCTTCTGCTGGGTTTAGGTTTGGTTTGTTCTTGTTTCTCTAGTTCCTTGAGGTGTGACCTCAGAGGTCAATTTGTGCTCTTTCAGTCTTTTTGATGTAGGCATTTAAGGCTATGACCTTTCCTCTTAGTACTGCCTTTGCTGTATCCCAGATATTTTGATAGGTTGTGTCATTATGGTTGTTCAGTTCGATGATTTTTTAAATTTCCATCTTGATTTTGTTTTTGACACAATGCTCATTCAGGAGCAGCTTATTTAAATTTTCGTTTATTTGCATGGTTTTGAAGGTCACTTTTGGAGTTGATTTCGTTTTACTCCATTGTGGCCTGAGGAGTGCTTGATATAATTTGAATTTTCTTAAATCTATTGAGGCTCATTTTGTGGCCTATCATATGGCCTGCCTTGGAGAAAGTTCCATGTGCTGTGTATAGAATATGTCTTCGGTTGTTGGATGAAATGTTCTGTATACTTTTGTTAAGTCCATTGTTTCTTTGCTGACTTTCTGTCTTGATGACCTGTCTAGTGCTGTCAGTGTAGTACTGAAGTCCCCCACTATTACTGTGTTGCTCTCTACCTCATTTCTTAGGTCTATTAGTAGTTGTTTTATAAATTTGGGTGCTCCAGTGTTAGGTGCACATATGTTTAGAATTGTGATATTTTCCTGTTGGACAAGGCCTTTTACCATTATATAGTGTCCCTCTTTGTCTCTTTTAACTGCTGTTACTTTAAAGTTTGTTTTGTCTGATGTAAGAATAGCTACCTCTGCTCACTTTTGGTGTCCATTTGCTTGAAACTCCTTTTTTCCACCCCTTTAAATTAAGTTTATGTGAGTCTGTGTGCTGGGTGAGTCCTCTGAAGGCAGTGATTGGTTGGTGAGTTCTTAACCATTCTGTGGTTCTGTATCTTTTTAGTGGAGCATTTAGGCCTTTGACATGCAATGTTAGTATTGAAATGTGAGGTACCATTGCATTCATCATGTTCTTTGTTGTCTGTGTACTTTGTTTTTTTGTTTTTTGTTTTTGCTTTTTAACTTGATTTTTGTTTTATAGGTCCTGTGTAATATATGCTTAAAGATGTTCTTTTTTGATGTGTTTCCAAAATTTGTTTCCAGCTTTAGAGCTCCTTTTAGCAGTTCTTATAGTAGTAGTTTGGTAATAGTAAATTCCCTTAGCATTTGTTTGTTTGAAAAAGACTGTATCTTTCCTTCATATATGATACTTAGTTTCACTGGATGTAAAATTCTTGGCTGATAATTGTTTTGTTTGAGGAGGCTGAAGATAAGGCTCTATCTCTTCTAGCTTGTAGGGTTTCTGCTGAGAAATCTGATGTTAATCTGATAGGTTTTTATTTATAGGTTACCTGCTGCTTCTGTCTCACAGCTCTTAAGAGTCATTCTTTCATCTTAACTTTGGTTAATCTGATGACAGTGTGCCTAGGCAAAGATATTTTTGCGATGAATTTCCTGGGTATTCTTTTGCTTTTTGTATTTGCACATCCAGAGTTCTAGCAAGGCCAGGGAAAATTTGCTCGATTATTCCCCCAAATACGTTTTCTAGGCTTTTAGAATTTCCTTCTTTCTCAGGTACATCGATTATTAGATTAGATTGTTTAACATAATCACAGACTTCTTGGAGGCCTTGTTCATATTTTCTTATTCTTTTCTCTTTGTCTTTGTTGGATTGAGTTAATTAGAAGACCTTATCTTCAAGCTCTGAATTTCTTTCTTCTACTTGTTCTGTTCTATTGCTGAAACTTTCCAGGGCATTTCACATTTCTAAAAGGGTGTCCAAAATTTTCTGAATTTTAAATTGTTTTTTCTTTAAGCTATTTCCTTGACTGTTTCTCCCCTTCTTGTATCATATTTTGGATTTCCGGGCTATGCATCTCTCTGGTCCCTCCCTGATTAGCTTAATAACTAACTTCCTGAACCATTTTTCAGGTAAATCGGGGATTTCTTTTTGGTTTGGATCTATTTCTGGTGAACTAGTGTGATTTTTGGGGGGTGTTGAAGAGCTTTATTTTGTCATATTACCAGGGTTGGTTTTCTGGTTCCTTCACATTTGGGTAGCTTCTGTCAGAGGGAAGGCCTAGAGCTGAAGGCTGTTGTTCAGATTCTTTTGTTCCATGGGGTGTTCCCTTGATGTAGTACTCTCTCCATTTTCCTATGGATGTGTCTGCCTGTGAGCCAAACTGTAGTGATTGTTGTCTTTCTTCTGGGTCTAGCCACCCAGTCAGTCTACCCAGCTCCAGGCTGGTACGGGGGGTTGTCTGTGCAGAGTACTGTGATGTAAACTATCTATGGGTCTCTCAGCTGTGGATACCAGTGCCTGTTCTGGTGGAGGTGGCAAGGGATGCAGTGGACTCTGTGAGGATTCTTAGCTTTGGTCGTTTAATGCTCTATATTTGTGCTGGTTGGACTCCTGCCAGGCGGTGGCACTTTCCAGAGAGCATCAGCTGTGGTATTATGGGGAGGAACTGGCAGTGGGCGGGACACAAGAACTTCCAAGATTATATGCCCTTTGTCTTCTGCTACCAGGGTGGGTAGGGAAGGACCATCAGGTGGGGGTGAGGCTAGGTGTGTCTGAGCTCAGGCTCTCCCTGGATAGGTCTTGCTGTAGCTGCTGTGGGGTATGGGGGCGAGATTCCCAGGTCACTGGAGTTGTGTACATAGGAGGATTATGGCTGCCTTTGCTGAGTCATGTAGGTTGTCTGTGAAGTGAGGGAAGCTGACAGTCACAGGCCTTGCCCAGCTCCCATGCAAACTGAAAGGCCAGTCTCACTCCCACTGTGCCACCCACAGCAGCCCCCAGACTTTTGCCAAGCGGAGGGAGATATGGGCTTGAAAACCCACCCCAGGCTAACTGCCTCCCAGTTGGGAAAGAAAAGGGCTTGGTTCCTCCCCTGCCTATGGAGTCTGCACACAGGATTTGTGCCCTTCCTGGGGTTCTGGCCAGGTGGCTTCTCACCCTGTTCCAATTGTTACAAAGTTCATCTAGAGATTTACTTTGCACTGTGCAGTTTTACCCACTGCTACTTTCCCATTGGATCCCTGTGGTGCCAGCAGGAATGAAGCTCCCAGGGCCATCAAGCTCCCAGGGCCTTTCTGCTGCTTCCTCTACCCCTGTATTTTGCTTAGCTCTCTAAAGTGACTCATTTCCACATAAAGCTGGAAACTTCTCCCGCAAACAGACCTTCAGCTTCTCCAATGGGGTTTGGGAGAGGAGGTTCTCTTTCTCACTTCTGCAGTTGGGGTACTCAGAGTTTTGGGGTTGTTTTGCAGAAGCAGTCTGCTTCCTTCAGAGGGTCTGTGGGCCCTCTCAGCATTGCTGGTTTGTTCTTGCAGTTCATCTGGAACTAAAATTCACAATGCGAGCTGTTGCCTGTCTGCTCTGTCCAGAGCTGCAATCTAGTCCTGCCTCTTGTCTGCCATGATCTCCTCTCATTCATCTCTTATCAATTTATGTGCTATTCTTGTGCAATGGACTCCTTGAGGGTTCTTAGTTTTGGTGACTTAATGTTCTCTTTTTGTGCTGGCTGGCCTTCTGCCAGAAGGTGGTGCTTTCCAGAAAGCATCAGCTGTGGTATTATAGGGAGGAACCCACAGTTTGTGTATTTTAACTGTATAAATCTTTTGATTATATAAAACATTGTATATTTGAACTGTATAAATATTGTGAATTATATAAAACATTATTATTTTGAATATTTATTTAAATTTACCCACATTTACTCTTTTAATGAATTTCTGTGTCTGTAATGCACAGAATTAGTGAATTTAATGGATTTCTTCATCTATCACTTTCCATTAGGTTAGCATTTAGTATTTCCTTAGTAAGAATTATCTGAGTTTCTGGCTCAAAATGTCTTTAGTTTTCCTTTGCAATCAAAGATTATTTTCTGTGGGCACAGAATTCTAGATTGTTAGTTATTGTCTTTCAATATTTTAATATGTCATTTTGTTGTATCCTGGGTTCCATTAATTCTGTTTAGAGGTCAACTATAAGTCTAATTGTTACTGCTTTGTAGATTTGCCATATTTGTTATTTTTGAACTGCATGATGGTAGGAGGTGCTCCATAAAATTTTCACTCTGCAGATATTTATTACTTGATTTAACCTACCACCACTACAACTGCTGTCACTCTGATTCACTAGAAATTGGGTAATTATTTTGTTTTATTAATCCTTTTTAAAAGTAGGTGTAGCTCACATTTTGTTCAGTGTTTAATACTAGAAGTGTTTTGAGTCTTTGTTTTTAAGTTTGCTAATTTTTTTTTGTTTTTGAGACAGAGTTTCACTCTTGTTAGCTAGGCTGGAGTATAATGGTGCAATCTCGGCTCACTGCAACCTCTGTCTCCCAGATTCAAGTGGTTCTCCTGCCTCAGCCTCCTGAGTAGCTGGGATTACAGGCTTGCGCCACCATGCCTGGCCAATTTTGTATTTTTAGTAGAGATAGGGTTTCTCCATATTGGTCAGGCTGGTTTTGAACTCCTGACCTCAGGTAATTTACCCACCTTGTCCTCCCAAAGTGCTGGAATTATAGGCGTGAGCCTATAATTACTATAATTACTGTGCCTGGCCAGTAATGTTTTTCTGAAAAGAAATATGCCATAGGAATATAACTCTTGTTTATATCAATTAGCCTGTGGTAAAACTGATTTTATTATGTCCTTTTGCTTAAAGTCAGGATTTTCAAGTACCTGTCAATGATGTTAAGTGAACATCATTGCATTAAGAAAAGGAATGGTGAACACTAAACTTATGATGAAAGTTGGGGAAGGATAACGTGCACTGGCACATTGTCGGCTTACTGCAACCTCTATCTCCCAGGTTCAAGCAATTCTTCTGCCTCAGCCTCCTGAGTAGCTGGGATTACAGGCGCCTGCCACCACACCCAGCCAATTTTCATATTTTTAGTAGAGATGGGCTTTCACCATGTTGGCCAGGCTGGTTTGGAACTCTTGACCTTAAGTGATCTGCCCACTTCAGTCTCCCAAAGTCCTGGGATTACAGGCATGAGCCACCACGGTGTAGGCTGTGAAGCTGACTGTGCTGGTTCTAGATTTTTATTTCCTGACTTACATGCAAACGAAAGTATTCAATATTCTGCCTCTTAGTTACACTGTAGGCATGGACTCTAAGTTATTTTACTTGCCATATTTGTTAATTTTTATGAATTTTTTGGAGACCATCTGGAGAGATTCAATTTAGGTGTCTACTGTCATACTAAAGCAGTGTTTCTAACCTTTTTTCCCCTCAGTCCTCTAAGGAGGCTTTATAGACATTTTACTTCCTAATTATCCCCCACACCCTGTGAAAATTTAATACCAAAGATACACCATATATCTGTTTAAGTACTATAGCCACAAAGTATTGTAGTATCTGTGATTTTTTCCCCCTAAGAACCAGTTTTATCCCTTAAGAGCAGTATCACCCTCAATAAGAATGCATGTTCTGAAAGTATCTTGAATATTTTTTTCATTGTACTGCTGAATCCTATTTAGTAGTATTTTACTTATACTTTAACACATGTATGAGTAATATGGGTCTATAATTTCCCTCCCTCACCTCCTCAATGTTATATTTATTCTGTAGTTTTGTAGGCAATTAGGAGCTACTGAAGGGTTTTATTATAGGAATAATCAATTTTTTTTTAAGAGGAATACCTCCCTTGCCATACTGTGAAAAACAAATGGAGGATGAGACTGGTGGCAAAGGTTTTTAAAGATGCTATTGCAATAACATAGGTATTAGTTAATGCAGCAGTAAATTCAAGAAGTATTTGGAAATAGAATGAGCAGAAATTTGATAGTCATATGCATGCAAGACGTAAGGGAGAAGAAATAGCCTAGCCTTACTCCCAAGCTTCTAACCTTTGTTATAATTTGACTATTAGCTTTAGTTATATTAATTAATTCTGAAGCAGTAATTCTTTCATTTATTTAAATTATGATTTGCATTACAGAAAGTGGCAAGGTTACCATTCAAGAATTTATGACTAAATTCTCTGATATATTGACAATTCCTGAAGCTGCAGGTAAGTTTTATTTAATATGTACTTGCTGCCCAGATCTAGAAAGGCAAGCAGTGGTTTATAGGTTAAAAACAATACAGGTTTCAATAGTTAAAGCACAGGTAAGTAAGAAGCAATATAATATGAATATAAAACAACACAAGATTAGATTACATAACTTCTGTTTGAATTCTAAGGCAAATATTGCTAAGCTTAACCCAAACTCAAAATTTTTAGTAGTCTTACTTAGTAGTACTAGAAAATTACTAGATTGTATATTATTCTTTGAGGTTATTCAGTATGCATATTTGACTTTTGAATTTATTAGAAAATAATTTTTAAAACTTTTGACAAATCCGGTGAAATTGACTTTATCACTATCTGTTATGTTCTCATGTATGTTCAGCAACTCTCTTGATCACATTTTTTAAAACATTTATGCTTTTTGAGGTATAACATATATAGCAAAATTTACTCTTTTTAGGAATACAGTTCTTTGGATTCTTAAAAATAATGTCATGTAACCCTTCCTATACACAGCATATAGACTATATCACCGCACAGAAGTCTCTTGTGCCCTTTTGGTAATCCATTTCTTCCTCTACCCTCAACCCTGGCAACTACTGATTCATTCTTTGTCCCTGTAGTTTTGCCTTTTGTGGAATATCTTGTAAATGTAATGATTAAATATGAAGTGGTTTGAGTCTGGCTTCCTTAGAATAATATTTTTATATTCATCCATTTTTTGCACATTGTTTGGTTCCTTCTATATATGAGTAGAATTCCATTTTATGAAAGTACCACAATTTGTTTATCCATTTGCCATTGATGGACCATTGAGTTATTCTCAGTTTTTGGTGATTATGAATGAAGCTGCTATAAACAATTATGTACAGGTTTTTCTGTGGATGTATGTTTTCATTTCTCTTAGTTAAATACCTAGAACTAGGATTACTGAGATATATGGTGAGTGTATGTTTAAATTGATCAAAAACTGCCAAACTGTTTTGCAGTGTCTTTCCAAAGTGCTTTCCCAACAGCAATGTATAGCAGTTCTAGTTGTGCTGCATCCTAGCCAACACTTTATAAAAATATCAGGAATTTTTAAAAAATTAGCCTTTCTAATAGTGTTTAGTGGTATTTCATTATGGTTTGCATTTTCCTTATGACTAATCATGGGTTTGAAAGTCTTTTATATACGCCTCCTCCCCCCCACCAACACACATATTTGCTGTCTCTACATCTTTGGTAAAGTATCCAACTTTCTGCCCATTAGAAATAATTAAGGGCTGGGCATGGTGGCTCACACCTGTAATCCTAGCACTTTGGGAGGCTGAGGTTGGTAGATGACCTGAGGTCAGGAATTCAAGACAAGCCTGGCCAGCAAGGCAAAACCCTGTCTCTACTAAAAATACAAAAATTAGTCAGGTGTGGTGATGTGTACCTGGGACTGCCTGTGCAGTCCCAGATACTCGGGAGGCTGAGGCAAGGGAATTGCTTGAACCCAGGAGGTGGAGGTTGCAGTGAGCTGAGTTTGTGCCACTGCACTCCAGCCTGGGTGACAGAGCAAGACTCTGTCAAAAAAAAAAAAAAAAAGACTGTTTCTTCTTACTAAGTTTTGAGAGTTCTTTATATATTCTGGACAATGTTATTATATACGTGTTTGCAAATATTTTCTTCCAGTCTGTGGTTTATCTTTCCATTTTCTTAACATTGTCTTTCAGAGAACAGTAGTTTTTAATGTTGATGAAGCCTAATGTATAATTTTTTTTTTTTTTTTTTGCTTTTTTCTACCTGGTCTGACCTAACCTTTACCTAAACCCATGTTGTAAAGATTTTCTCCTTTTTCTTTTTTCTATAGAAGTCTTATAGTCTTAGATTTTATATTTAGGGCTATTACTCATGTTAAATTTTATATAAATGAAGATTTTATATTGGTGGAGATTCACTTTTTTTTTGTTTTTGCAAACGTATGTTTAATTGTTCCAGTACCATTTGTTGAAGACACAAATGCATTCTTTCTTGAATTGCCTTTGTATTTTTGTCAAAAATCAATTGACTATGTGTATGTGGGTCTATTTCTGTGCTCTCTATTGTTTTATTGATTTATGGGTCTGTTCTTTCATTATTATTATACTGTTTTGATTACTATAGCTTTATTGAAAGTTGAAATTAGGTAGTTTGAATATTTTAATATCATTCATTTTCAACATTGTTGTAAATCTTCTTGTTTTTAATTTTCCTTTACAAATTTTAGAATTTCTGCAATTTTTATTGGAACTATGTTAAATTTATAAATCAATTTAGGGAGAATCAAAATCTTAACAATGTTGAATCTCTGATCCATAAACACAACCTCTCTCTCCTTATAGCTCACCTTGGATTTTTCTCTACAATGTTGTTATAGTTTTTAGCTTACAAACCTATATTTTATTTTACACACATATGCATATGCACGTGCACATACACACATACACACATACACACAAGGTCCTTTCAAATTGTACATTTCCGATTATTCATAATCATAAGAGTGTAATTGATTTTTGCATGTTGACCTTGTGTTCTGTAACATTAATGAACTCAATAGGTTTAGTAGCTTTTTTGGTAAACTGTTTGGGCTTTTCTATGTATATAGTCATCTCTGAAAAAAGATAGTTTTCTTTTTTCTCTTTCTAATTAGTATGTCTTTTATTTCTCTCACCCATTCCCATGATTGCGTTGACTAGGATCTGTCTAGTGTAATATTTAATAGGAATGTGAAAACAGATGCCTCTTCTTGTTTCTTGTTCTTAGGAGGAAATCATCCAATCTTTCACCATTAAGTTTGACTTTAGCTGTAGGTTTTAAAAATATATGCCTATTACAATGAGGAATTTTTCTTCTATTTCAATTTGCTTAGAGTTGTTATGAATGGATGTTGATGTGTATCAGATGCTTTTTGCATATTTATTAATATGATAATATAGTTTTCCTTTATCTGTTGATATGGTGAATTTCATTGATTAACTTTTAAAGATTGAACCAATCTTGCATTTCTGAGATATATCTCATTTATCATGCTGTATCATGCCTTTTCTGTACTGCTGAATTTGATTTAATAAAACTTTGCTGAGGATTTTTGTGTCTGTATTCACCAGGGATATTGTCTGCCTTGGGAGTTTATCAGTTTTGTTTATCTTTTTAAAACACCCCAATTCTTAGATTTGTTAATCTTTTATCTTGTTTTTCTAGTCTCCTAGTCTCCATTTCATTTATTTCTGTTATATATTTGTTATTTCCTTTCTTCTGTTAACTTTGGGCTTAATTTGTTCTTCTTTCTCAAGTTCCTTGTGGTGTAGCATTCAGTTGTTTGAGATCTTTATTTTCTTTTTAATGTAGGCGTTTAATGGCACTAGTAAGTCCTTACTATGAAGGTATAAACTTGTCTTTTAGCACTGCTTTTACTGTGCTCCTTATGTATTCATATGCTGTATTTCCATGTTAATTTATCTCAAGATGTTTTTTAAAGTTCCCCTTAATTTCATTTCTGACCCAATAGTTGTTGAGGAACATATTGTGTAAATATTCACGTATTTGTGGATTTTCCATGATTTCTTCTATTACTGATTTGCAGTTTCATACCATTGTGGTCAGAAAAGATACTTAATATTATTTCAATCTTCTTAAATTTGTTAAGACCACTTTTGTTGCCTAACATATACTCTAACTGGAGAATATTCTATGTTCACTTGAGAAGAATGCACGTTCTTCAGCTGTTAGTCCATTTGGTCTAAAACATAGTTCAAACCCAGAAGGCCAGTGTTTCCTGATTTTATGTCTAGATGATTTCTCTATTGTTGCAAGTGAGATTTTGATATCTCCTACTATTATAATATTGTAGTCTATATCTCTTTCAAATCTCTTATTGTTTGTTTTATATGTTAAGGTGTTCCAATGTTGGGAGCACATATATTTACAATTTTTATATATTTTTGATGAATTGACCATTTTATCAGTATATAATGACCCTCTTTGTCTCTTTTTAGAGTTTTTGACTTAAGATCTATTTTGTGTGATACAAGTACCCTTGTTCTCTTTTGGTTTCCCTTTTTGTAGAATATCTTTTTTCGTCCCTTCACTTTCAGTCTATGAGTGTTCTTTAAGATGAAATGAGTCTCTAGGGTTTAGCATGTAGTTGGGTCTTATTTTTTATGTACATTCCTCCACTCTATGCCTTTTTATTGGAGGATTTAGTTTGTATTCAAAGTAATTATTGATAGTAAGGACTGACTAGTGCCATTTCTTCATTGTTTTCTGTTGTTTTATATATCCTTTGTTTCTTTCTTCCACTCTTACTTTCTTCTTTTGTATTTTGATGGTTTTGTGTAGTAGTATGCTTTGAATCTTACTATGTTTTGTGTATTTACTGTAGGCTTTTGCCTTGTAGTTACACTGGGGCTTACATAAACATCTTATATGCATAAAAGGCTATTTAAAAGTGATAACTTAATTTTGATCATACAGAAACTCTACACATTTACTTTACCTCCCTCCACATTTTATGTTTTTGATATCACGTTTTACATGTTTTAAAAGTTATATTCCTTGCCAAATTATTATAACTATAGCTGTTTTTAATAGACTGGTCTTTTAATATTTGTACTAGAGAATATAATTGATTTACATATTGCCATTACAGTATTTGAGTGTTTTGAATTTGGTTATATGCCTACTTTTACCAGTTACTTTTATACTTTTGTATGTTTTTCATGTTACTAATTAGCATCTTTTTTTTAGCTTGAGGAATTCTCCTTAGCATTTTTTGTAATGCAGATCTATTGGTGAATGAACTACCTCAGCTTTTGTTTGTCTGAGAAAGTCTTTATCTCTCTTTCATCTTTGAAAGATAGGATTTCTTTCAAAGATATCTTTCAAAGATAGGGTATAATATCCTTGGTTGGCAGGGTTTTTTTTTTTTTTTCTCATTTTGAATGTATTCTCCCATTCCCTTCTGGCCTACAAGGTTCCTGTTGAAAAATCCACTGAGAGTCTTATGAAGGTTCCCTCATACTTAACAAGTCACTTTTCCCCTTGCTGCATTCAAAAATCTCTCTGCCTTTAAGATTTGACAATTTTATTGTAACGTATCCCAATGTGGATCTCTTTGAATTCATCTTATTTTGTGTCTTTAGACTTCCTGGATATCTATTTTCTTCCCCAGGCTTGGGAAGTTTTCTTCCATTATTTCTTTGAATACATTTTTTCTTTATTTCTTTCTTCTCCTTCTGAAACTTTGATAATAGGTATATTGTTTTGTTTTAAGCTGGGGCACAGCTTGGTTTTATACATTTTAGGAAGATATGAGATATCAATGAGTACATGTAAGATGTACATTGGTTTGGTCTGGAAGGGTGGGGGGAAAACAACTTGAAGCAGGGAATTTTTTTATGGACAAATTGTGAGGGAGTTACATAGCTTTTTTTCTTTTTCTTTTAATCTCTGTTGCTGTCTTATTTAGGAATAGAATGGGAGGCAGGTTTGCTTGACACAGTTCCCAGCTTGACTTTTCCCTTTAGCTTAGTGATTTTGGGGTACTGAGATTTATTTTCCTTTCACACCATCAGCTCAAATATTTATCATTTCTTTGTAGTGAGAACATTCAGAAAATTATTAACTATAGTCACCCATTAGTTTTTAAATGGACAAATACAAATCGTATGTCTTATATATTGTGTGATTTATCAAAATATGTACATAGGTTGTGGAATGGCTAAATTGAACTAATTAACATATGCTCTACCTCACCTATTTTTGTGATGAGAACACTTAAAATATTTTCTCTTAGCAATTTTCAAAAATATTATACATTGTTATTAACTGTAGTCACATCACCATGTTATACAACAGAGCTCTTAACCTTATTTATTTTCTAATACTTTAATAAAGATTTTTGAGTATATGTTTATGAGGGATATTGGTCTACAATTTTCTTTAGTGTCTTTTTCAGATTTTGGTGTTAGGGATATGCTGGCCTTATAAAATGAATTGGGAAGTTTTCCCTCCCACTTTTATTTCTGGTTGAGTTTGTGTATTAGTTTGTTCTAATGCTGCTAATAAAGAAATACTCAAGACTGGGTAATTTATAAAAGAAAGACATTTAATTGACTCACAGTTCCACATGGCTGGGGTAGCCTCACAATCATGTTGGAAGGTGAATGAGGAGCAAAGTTATCTCTTACATGGCAGCAGGCAAGAGAGCTTGTGCAGGGGAATTCCCATTTATAAAACCATCAGATCTCATGAGACTTATTCATTACCACAAGAACAGTATGGGGATGCTGTCCCCATGATTCAATTTTATCCACCTGGCCTGCCCTTGACACATGGAGATTATTACAATTCAAGGCGAGATTTGGGGGGGGAGACACAGCCAAACCATATCAGTTTATGATTAGGATTAGGATTATTTTTTTTTCATTAAATGTTTGGTAGAATTCACCAGTGGAGACATCTATTCCTGAAGATTTAAAATATTGAGCTCTATTTATTCAATGAATGTGGAGCTGTTTAGAGCCTCCTTCTTCTAAATCTTTCTGTAGTTGTCACTATATCTTTCTGTAAGTATCATAAAGAAGAAATATACTTTCTATAAGTGGAACTGTGTCTTGTCAAAATTCATTTATTTTATGTAATTTGTCAGATTTATTGTCATAAAGTTGTTCATAATAGCCCCTTACTATCCTTTTAATATCTGTAATATGATGTCTTATTTTTATTTTTCATTTCTGATGTTTGTAATTTCTGTTTTCTCTTTTTTGTCTGTAACCAGTCTTGCTAGGGGGTTATTAAATTTATTAATAATTTTACACAAATGTTGATTTTGTTAATTTTTGTTAACTTTTCTCTTTGTTTTTCTTTTTCATTGGTTTATATTTTTATTTTTACTATCACTTGGTCTTTGTTTTCTTTGGGCTTCATTTACCCTTTATTGCTAGCTTGTTAAGATAGAAGCTTAGATAACTGATTTTTATTCTTTTTTAACATTTAAAACTGCAACATGTTTTTTTTTTTTTTTTTGGTTGTTGTTTTTGTTGCTTTTTAGATAGATTCTTGCTCTGTCACCCAGGCTGGAGTGCAGTGGCATGATCTCAGCTCACTGCAACCTCCACCTCCTGGGTTCAAGCAATTCTCCTGCCTCAGCCTCCTGAGTAGCTGGGATTACAGGTGCATGCCACCACACCTGGCTAATTTTTGTATTTTTAGTAGAGACAGGGTTTCACCATGTTAGCCTGGATGGCCTTAATTGCCTGACCTGTGATTACCTGCTTCGGCCTTCCAAAGTGCTGGGATTACAGGCATTAGCTATCACGCCCGGCCCCTAATGTGTCTTTCATTGCATCTCACAAATGTTATGTTGTGCTTTATCATTTACTAAAATATTTTCTAATTTACCAAATTATGTTTTTCTTTGTAGTATGAGTTATTTAGAAATATAGCCTTTAATTTCCAAATATTGGGCCGTTTTCTAGAAATCTTAATTATTGTTGATTTCTAATGTATTTATTTATTTGTTTTAGGGAGAGGGTCTTGCTTGTTGCTTAGGCTGGAGTGCAAGTGGCACGATCGTGGCTCACTGCAACCTTCACCTCTTGAGCTCAAGCAGCCTCTTGCCTCAGGCTCCCAAGTAACTGAGACTACAGGCATACACCACTATGCCTGGCTAATTTTAAACTTTTTTTTTTTTTTTTGGTAGAAATGGGGTCTCACTTTGTGTCTCAGGCTGGTCTTGAACTCCTGGGCTCAAGCAATTCTTCTGCCTTGGCCTCCAAAAGTGTTGGGATTATAGGTCTGAGCCACTGTGCCAAATCTGATTTCTTATTTATTAAGTTTGGCCAGAGAATACATTTTGCATGATTTAAATTCTTAAATTAATTAAGATTTATTTACGGCCCTGGTTATGGTCTAGCTAAGTGTATGTTCCATGTGTATCTGAGAGAATTTGCATTCTACATTTATTGGGTATCGTTCTGTAAATATTAATTAGGTTACAATATTTACTAATCTTGTCTGGTCTTCTAATTCTTACTGTTTTTTATTCTACTTGTTCTATTAATTACTGATAGCAAGGTGTTTAAATTCCTAATTTTTACTGTGGAATCATTTATTCCCCCTTTAATTATGTCAGTTTTTGCTTTACTTACTTTGAAGGCTTTTGTTCAATGTATACAAATTTGGTATTGTTGCAAAATTTGTGTATATGACCTTAAGAAATATATTTTTTCTATTGCTCTTTTTTATCTTCTTTTTATTGCTCTTCTCTTCCCTTCCCCAGATTTTATCACTTACATTTGTTTGTTTGTTTGTTTGTTTTTGGTGTCCATTTCTTGTCAGCTAACTTGTTTGTTATTTTGGCAACAGAGAAGGACATAATACAAAGAAATGATACTGTCATTTTTCTTAAGTGTAATTTCGTATGTTGGGAAATTTTAACCACCTATCTTTAAAATATAAAGGAGAAACATGAAAATTTCTTTCTAACTGAAAGTGATTATCTCCTCCCAGAAGATAAATTTTACAACAACAGCATTCACAAAAATGATGTTACAGCCATTTCTGGTCTCCAGGAAAATTTAAATGCCATAGGAATCTGTCTGACGGATGATAAAATACAGAAAGCTTTGGATAATACTAATCCTAATGGTGAGTAATTATTTCACTTTAAATTAACAAAGTTGGAGTATGTCAGAAGAAACTAAATGCCTAAGGAGATACAACTAAATTATCTTTTAAAAGAAATATCAAAACTATTTTTCTAGTTTTTAATTGATGAGTTTGTATTGAAGGAATTTATTTTCACAGTTATATGTCTGGCAACTTTATTTTGGATCTGACATGCATATCGTATACAACACAAGATAATTCATTTCTCCACTTTATTTTCATATTTCATAGCTTTGGCTTTATAACATCAAATGGTCATTTTAACAACAGTATCTAAATTGTTACTTCCCTTTTTTTAAAGATGAAGTGGTGCATTTTAAGGATTTTATCAAAGAATTGGCCAACACTGATGAATTTATTGAATGCCAAAGTAAGTATGAAATTTAAAGGAATATAAACAGAAACTTCATGTCTCTGGCTTGATATGTGTAGGGGTGTGTGTGTGTGTGTGTGTGTATGTGTGTGTGTGTATAACTTTTTTTTTTTTTTTTTTTTTTGATATAGAGTCTTGCCCAGGCTAGAGTACAGTGGCATGATCTTGCAACCTCTGCCTCCTGGGTTCAAGCAATTCTCATGCTTCAGCCTCCCAAGTAGACGGGATTACAGCTGTGTACCACCACACCTGGCTAGTTTTTGTATTTTTTAGTAGAGATGGGATTTTACCACATTGGCCAGGCTTGTCTCAAACTCCTGACTTCAGGTGATCTGCCCACCTCGGCTTTCCAAAGTGCTGGGATTACAGGCATGAGCCACCATGCTTGGCCACGTATTTAACTTTTAACAAAACTCTGCCAAGGCCCCTTTTTCATTGTGTCATTTAAATGATATAGAAATATATATTTTTAAAACCCTAGGTTTTCAAATTTGTGGATACACATTTTTCACAACATCCTTAATTACTTAAAAAATTATCTCTGTGTTTCTTTCTCTCTTTTCATGGATTCTGTTATGTTGCATTTTTTTCTTTATTGGTTTTGTCCAAGGTTTTTCTCTTATTATCAGAATAATCTGGTTTAGTTTCTTTAATCACCTCTAGTGTCATTCGCTCTTTTCTTATTTTTCTTCTTTATTTCTTCTTATGTATTTGGGTTTACTCCCTTGCTCTTTGTCAAAAACTTTAACTAAGTGCTTAACTCAGCTTTTTAAAGTCTGTTTTGAAATTTCAATACAATGAGACATTAAAACAATCATGGAATACAAACATTGAAATTGTGAATGGAAATCTTAAGACTGGGGTTTTGAAATGAATCTTAAGTGTATTATCTCTAAATTAGTCTTTAATTTGAATGCAATTAAAATCAATATTCCAGAAAAATTTTGGTGGAAACTTTGAGAAAATAATTCTGATATTCATTTGAAAGATGGACCCTTTTGAAAAGCAATAATGATGGGGAAGTTGCCTTACCATACCAGATAGAAGGACATATCATAATGCTGTTGTAACAGTGTTAGAAATAGACCAATGCATCACAATATGGAACCTGCAGAGACTCATGTATATAAGAACTTGACATATGATACAGAGATCATCAATCAATTGGGGAAAAGATGTGTTATTTAATATATTATTTGAGAAATTGCCACACTTTGTGGAGGAAAATGAAATTGAATTCTTACTTTATGCCATATGCAAAAATAATCTTTAAATAAATTAAATAGATGTTAACATGAATCTGAAATTAAAACTATAAAGCTGGTAGAGGAAATTATTGGAGAAAATATTGTGCCTTGTGGTTGTGAAGGATTTCCTAAATGAGACTTCTAAAATCACAATCATAGGATAAAAAAGAATTCTATTATATTAAAATTAAAGATTTCTGTTCAATAAAGACCTCTGAAGAAATGAGCAGATATGTAACAGACTGAAAGAAGATTAATTACAACTTTTAGAGCTAACAAATGATTAATATTTCAAATATGTATAAAGAAATTCTACAAATAAGCAATAGATAAATAAAAACCCATTGAAAAAATGAGTAAGGATGTAAGAAGGCAGTATGCAAAAGAAGAAACACAAATGGCTAATGTGTATATGAAGAGAAAGCATTAGGAATACTTATAAATAGCTGGTGGGTAAGTAAAACAGTGTTGCCATTCAAAATAGCAGTCTAGCAGTACTTAGTGAAATTAAATACATGTGTTCTCATCACCCAGTAATTCAGTTCTTAAGTACACTTATTAGCCCTGAGAAAGTTTTGTGTTAGAGACATTTATAAAGATGCTGATTGCAACATTATTTGAGAGAGAAAAGAGATGAAGGTAACTTAATTGTCCATTACTAGGGGAATCATTAAATAAAATATGGCCTCTACATAGAGTAAATAATAAACAATAAACTAGATTTACATTTGCACCATCGATATATTTCCATAGATACATTTCAGTAATACATGGTTCAGTGAAGAAAGGGAAGAAATAGAACAAACTTGTAGGTCAAAATGCTTTATATAAACTGATTTATACCAATGCCCATAAGGCAACACTATATTTTTTCAGGTAAACATAAATCTAAGTAGACAGATGAGATAGATTGAATAGAAATACATTAAATACACTGGAGTTGCTACTTATGAAGGAATAAAACTGGAGATAGTAGTTAAAGGAGAAAAGTAATAAAACAAGCAGAGGCCCTTTGAAGATGAGTGGTGACAAAACACCATGCATCCAAGAGTGTGATCAATTCAATTCTGTATGCCAGAACTCTTTAATAGTATGAAAAATAAAATTGACAAGTTGGATAAGATTAAACAGAGTACATATATTTATACACAGAGATAAAGATAGTTTTGAGATTTAAGTGACAATAAGCCTGATATAAGAAACGTGTAGCACTTCATATTCCAAAAACATTGAATATACATTTTCAAATGCCTATGAAATAGTCACACAAATATATGATATAGTTAAGTCACAAAGAAAAAAGGCAATGAATTCTGAAAATCAGAAGTTGTTCAGACCACGTATTCTGATCACCATGTAGTAATATATTAAAATTATTTATGAAGGAATATGGAAAACATTTTGATCTGAAGATTAAAAACAGATTTTTAAAAAGCAAAAAAATAGCAGATGCTCCTCTAAATAATTATTTGGCTAAAGAATAAATCCTGAAATTAAAAATTATTTAGAAATGGATGAGAATGATAGCACTACATGTGAAAACATGTAAAGTATGATCAAAACAGTCTTACCAGAAATGTTACAGCTTTAAATGCTTTTATTAGAAAATGAGAAACACTGAAAATAATTTATCTTAATTGTTCAACTCATGAAGCTAACCAGCAACATCAACTAAAATAGCAAAACAGTCCCCACAAAAAGCAGTAGTTAGGAACTAATCAAGTTGAAAGTAGGAGTAATTGAAATAGAACATACACACAAAAACAAATTATTCGTTTAACGAAAAGTTGGGTCTTGAAAAAGACTAATAAAATAGAGAACTCTTTAGGAATTATGATGAAGGAAAATAAATGGAGATGGCATAAATAAGAAGATAGTGAAAAGTGTGGATACAGAGATTTAAAAATATTTGAATAACACTTAAAATTAAGTTAATAAAATGTCAGTTTATGGACATCTCATCAACAGCACTGTCATTCTTTCCAAACATGTAGATAAGAATAAGGGCAACTTTTTAAATTAAAAAATTAAAAAACAATTCATGGTACCATTTCATTGCAATCATTTTTCTGTTTTGTTGTTTAGTTTTTTGAGTTGAGCACTTCAAAATATTTGTTTCTTCTTTTCTCATATAAATATTTAACCTATAAATTTTGTAGAACTTTCCATTTAGAAGATATTTCAGAGGCAAAAAGGATTGGATATTCTACAAAACGAATATGTTTCAAACAAATCAGGTTGTTATGTGCTTATATGTATACAGTAAGTACTGTGACACTTTCTCATTTATATATATATATGTATGTACACACACATAGGAATAGAAGATGCATGTAACATTGTTAATAGTATCTGTGATGGAAAAGTTGGAATTAAAGACCTTTTATCCACTTTGAAGAGCCTGGAAAAACCTTTAAATGAAGAACAATTTAAGGTCTTATCAAACCATGCAACAGATGGTGAGTACTTCAGTTACTTCTCAGCTCTCCTGTTTAGAGTACACATGTTCCCACAGGCTAAATTTTTAAAAAGTAATAATAATACTGTATACTTATTATGGAACTAGTATATTCATATGTTGCTCATTGTGAATTGTTACAACCCTTTTGGAAAGTGTATCAATGTTCTTTATTTGGGTAAGACAAACATAATCTTGTTATTCATGTTTTAAAACCAGATGTTCATAAATTGTAATATAATGGCCAAATACTACATATGGTAGGGCTCTACTCTTCCTTTTCTCCAACCCCGTATTCTAGAGAGAAGATACTTCATATATACAGAGTTCCACAGACTTTTGTGTTCTTTTGAAGAAGAACATAACCTTAGTGACCCTACCATTGTTGGATTCACGTAACTTTTAGACTAGATGGAGTGTAAAGACAACAGTGAGATTCAGCAAATGACTTCTGGAATGTCTAGAAGGCATCCATTGCATGGTTCTAACCATTTCCTTGCTTTTATTTATTTATTTATTTATTTTATTATTATTATTTAATTTTATTTTTTTATTGCATTTTAGGTTTTGGGGTACATGTGAAGAACATGCAAGATTGTTGCATAGGTACACACATGGCAATGTGATTTGCTGCCCTCCTCCCCATCACCTATATCTGGCATTTCTCCCCATGCTATCTCTCCCCAACTCCCCACCTCCAGCTGTCCCTCCCCTTTTTCCCCCAACAGACCCCACTGTGTGATGCCCCCCTCCCTGTGTCTGTGTGTTCTCATTGTTCAACACCCGCCTATGAGTCAGAACATGAGGTGTTTGATTTTCTGTTCTTGTGTCAGTTTGCTGAGAATGATGGTTTCCAGGTTCATCCATGTCCCTACAAAGGACCCAAACTCATCGTTTTTGATGGCTGCATAATATTCCATGGTGTATATGTGACACATTTTCCCTGTCCACTCTATCATCAATGGACATTTGGGTTGGTTCCAGGTCTTTGCTATTGTAAACAGTGCTGCAATGAACATTCGTGTGCATGTGTCCTTATAGAAGAACGATTTATAATCCTTTGGATATATACCCAGTAATGAGATTGCTGGGTCAAATGGAATTTCTATTTCTAGGTCCTTGAGGAATCGCCACACTGTCTTCCACAATGGTTGAACTAATTTACACTCCCACTAACAGTGTAAAAGTCTTCCTATTTCTCCACATCCTCTCCAGCATCTGTTGTCTCCAGAATTTTTAATGATCGCCATTCTAACTGACGTGAGATGGTATCTCAATGTAGTTTTGATTTGCATTTCTCTAATGACCAGTGATGATGAGCATTTTTTCCTGTTTGTTGGCCTCATGTATGTCTTCTTTTGTAAAGTGCCTGTTCATATCCTTTGCCCACTTTTGAAAGGGCTTGTTTGGTTTTTTCTTGTAAATCTGTTTTAGTTGTTTGTAGATTCTGGATATCAGCCCTTTGTCAGATGGGTAAACTGCAAAAAATTTTTCCCATTCTGTTGGTTGCTGATTCACTCTAATGACTGTTTCTTTTGCCGTGCAGAAGCTGTGGAGTTTGATTAGGTCCCATTTGTCTATTTCAGCTTTTGTTGCCAATGCTTTTGGTGTTTTGGTCATGAAGTCCTTGCCTACGCCTATGTCCTGAATGGTTTTGCCTAGATTTTCTTCTAGGGTTTTTATAATATTAGGTCTTATGTCTAAGTCTTTAATCCATCTGGAGTTAATTTTAGTGTAAGGTATCAGGAAGGGGTCCAGTTTCTGCTTTCTGCACATGGCTAGCCAGTTTTCCTAACACCATTTATTAAATATAGTGGAGTTTTTGTTGTTTTGTACTTTGTATAAATGTAATAATACTGTATATATTTTTATAGTTTGCTTTTAGCTCAGTATTGTGAAATTTAGCCAAATAGATACATTATAGCTGTGGTTCATTCCTTTTTACTGTTTTATAGTTTTCTATTTCATGAACAAACCACTATTTTAAGACAAATCTGCCCTATTGATATTGAATTTAGGCCAGATTTCAGTTTTTGCTATGCTGTTACGAAAAAGAATGTCATATTTATCTCTTGATATGCATGTCCAAAAGCTTTTTTGAGTATATTTCTAGGATAACTGCTAGGTCTTAGAGTATTTTCACGTTTTACTTTACAAAGCAATGCCAATTTACAAAGTAGATATAATGATTTATACCCCTACCAATAATGGGAAAGAATTCCTGTGGTTCCATATATTAACCAACATTTGATATTGTTAGAATTTTTTTTTTTCTGTTTTCAAATCTGTTGGGAAAATAAAAATACCTAATTTTGGTTTTTACTTAAAATTCTTTGATTACTAATGAGATTGAGCACCTTTCAAATGTTTTTAGCTATTTCAATTGACTATCTAATGAATGCTCAATTAGAACTTCTCCTCATTTTTTTGGTGAGAGGGATTTCATTTTTAAGATATTAATTTATAGAGGTGCCTTATATATTCTGGATACTGGCCTTTAGCACTGTACTTTACCAATATTGTCTCTTAGTCTACGGTAGTTTTTTTCACTTTTTATGGTAACTTTTGGTATACATTATTTCTTAATATGAATGTACTCAAATCTATCAATATTTACCTTATGGGCAGTAAACTTTGTCATGTTTGAGAAATCCTGCCCCTATCCTGAGACTATGAAGAGATTCTTCTGTTATCTTCTAAAAGTTTTGCCTTTCACTTTTATGTCTTTGATCTATCCAAATGTAATTTTTATTATGATGATTAATAGGGGCCCAATTGTATTTTTTTCTATCTTGTTTATTGAGAAAACTCTTCTTATTGAACAATAATATCATTTCTGTCTGTATCAAGTGTCTGTATATGCTTAGTTCCTTCTATTGGCCTATTTTTCAATCCTTGTATCAGTACCATATATTTACTATAGTTTTAAAATAAACCTTATGTGTATTAGATGATACTCCCGTTGCCCCCATTTTGTTGTTCTTCAAGTATGTCTTGGCTGTTCTTGAACGTTCCTTGTCCATATAAATTTAGGGAACAGATTGTCAAAATCCTTTGGGAGTTTTGAATATATAGTTCAACTTGGGAGAACTTGTATCTTTTGTATGTTAAATAAAAGCTTTTTTTATTTTAATAGTTTTTGGGGTACAAGTGATTTTTCGTTGTATGGATGAATTGTGTAGTGGCGAAATCTGAGATTTTAGTGTACTTGTCACCTGAATGTAGTGTACATTGTACTCAATATGTAATTTTTTATTCTTCAACCGCCTCACACCTCCCCTTTCTGAGCCTCCACAGTCCATTATACCACTTTGTATGTCTTTGCATACCCATAGCTTAGCTGCCACTTATAAATGTGAACATGCCATATTTGATTTTCCGTTCCTGAGTTACTTCACTTAGAATAATGGCCTCCAACTCCATCCTAGGTGTTGTAAAAGACATTATTTTATTCTTTTTTATGGTTCAGTAGTATTCCATGGTGTATATATACCACACTTTCTTTATTCGCTCATTGACTTATGGGCACTTAGGTTGGTTCCATGTATTTGGCATTGTGAATTGTGCTGCAGTAAACATATATGTGCAGGTGTCTTTTTGATATAATGATTTTTATTCCTTTGGTAGATAACCAGTAGTGATATTGCTGGATCAAATGGTAGATCTACTTTTAGTTCTTTAAGAAATCTTTATATTGTTTTCCATAAAGGCTGTACTATATTCCCACACGCAGTGTATGCATCTTCCCTTTTTACCATATCCATGCCAACATCTATTGTTTTTGGACTTTTTAATAATGCCTATTCTGGAAGAAGTAATGTGGTATCTGATCATGGTTTTAATTTGCATTTCCTTGGTTATTAGTGATGTTGAGCATTTTTTCATATGTTTCTTGGTTATTTGTATATCTTCTTTTTTTTATTGTACTTTAGGTTCTGGGGTACATGTGCAGATCATGCAGGATTGTTGCATAGGTACATACATGGCAATGTGGTTTGCTGCCTCTATCTCCCCATCACCTATATCTGGCATTTCTCCCCATGTTATCCCTCCTCAGCCTCTCCACCCGCTGCTGTCGCTCCCCTAGCCCCCCAACAACAGATCACATTGTGTGATGCTCCCCTCCCTTGTCTGCTCATGTCATTTACCCACTTTCTAATGGTATTATATGTATATTTTTTTCTTGCTGACTTGTTTGAGTTCCTTGTAGGTTCCAGATATTGGTCCTTTGTCAGCTGTATAGTTTGCAAATAATTTCTTCTATATTGTTGGTTGTCTATTTAGCATATTGATTATTTCTTTTGCTGTGCAGAAGATTTTTAGTTTAATTAGGTCCCACTTATTTATTTTTGTTTTTGTTGCATTTATTTTTGGGGTCATAGTCATAAATTCTTTGCCAAGGCCAATGTCCAGAAGAGTTTTCCCTAGGTTTTTCTTCTAGAATTGTAATGGCTTCAGGTCTTACATTTAAGTCTTTGATCCATCTCAAATTGATTCTTGGATAAGGTGAGAAATAAGGAGACAAATGTGGCTATCCAATTTTCCCAGTACTATTTATTAAATAGGATGCCCTTTCCCCAATTTATGTTTTTGTATGCTTTGTCAAAGATCAGCTGGTAATAAGTATTTAGTTTTATTTCTGGGTTCTCTATTCTGTTCCATTAATCTATATGTCTACTTTTTCTTTCTTTAATCAGTACCATTCTGTTTTAGTAACTATAGCCTTGTAGTATGATTTGAAGTCAGGTAATATGATGTGTCCAGATTCATTCTTTTTGTTTAGGATTGCTTTGGCTATTCAGGCTCTTTTTAGGTTCCATATGAATTTTAGGATTTACTTTTCTAGTTATGTAAAAATAATGTTGGCATTTTGATAGCAATTGCATGGAATCTGTAGATTGTTTTGGAAAGTATGGTCATTTCACAATATTGAGTCTCCCAATCCATGAGCATAGGATGTTTCCATTTGTTTGTGTCATCTATGATTTCTTTGAGGAGGGT